ATTGAAGCGTGATTTCGTAAAAGGGTAGCAGAATTTGAACCAAGTCCGCGGCCAGGTCGAAGTCTTCTTGTTGGAGGTGATAATTGCGGGGTATGCCAAACTGCTTATCACGCTGCCACATGATGCTTTCATGATGAATCGGTCAGTTTGGTTAAATATTGAGGATCAACATATGATTAGACTTACATGGCTTCCTCACATCGGAAAATACTTGCGAGTTGGAGGTATGTTGAGTTCCACCGAGTCGGTACATCACGCTCAATAGTGTGGGGCTTCTTGCATTCAGTTTCTTGACAAATCTCGATGAATTTCGCCTTTGAGTTCGGTGACTTCCTCAGTTTCATTGCAATTCTACGGAACTGCACAAAATTGATAAGAGATTAGTTATGCTTCAGAGTTGGGGGAAAGATGCTCTTGAGTGGATAATTAGATAAAAGATGAAGAAACTAAGTTACTAACCTTGGCAAGGGATTGGCGGCACGAGTCAGAAGTATAGTTATCTCGGGAGTCTTCCGCTTCGAGATCCTCAAGATCGGCCAGAGTGAGTTCATCATCCGAGGGAAGTTCTGGATCATTGTTTCCTTCAGGTGTAGTGTGGATATCGGCATCATCATCCAAGTCACTGTTCTCTTTCTCTTCATTGAATCTAAAATTTTCCAAGTATTATTAAACTTCTAGTGTCATAGTTGCTTGCTTGGATGAAATGGCTTACCTCTCAATGAGTTCATGCTCTTCTTCATCATCAGACTCCTCATACTCAGCCGTGCCATGGGATTTCTTCCGAGCGAAGGGTCGAAGGATGGCCTTGACAATCAGATTGACGATATGTGCAAAGCACCTGATCCACTGCTCCTCGCCCTTAAATCGTTTCCAATTGAGACTTTCCAACTCTGAAATCATCTTCTCGTTGTTACTTGCATTGTCAGAAAAAATACCACATATCTAGACAGAGATGAGGAACAGGGGCAGATATCAGAGAAATAAGGGTGAAAAACATCACACATGGGGGGTTGAGACAAAGAAAATCATACGCACCCTATTTTCTAAACCAAACTTCTCAACAATATATCTTACCATGCGCGCCAGGTATTCGCCTGTGTGCCTTTCTTTGAGCTGCACAAAGTCCAGGGGCATGGCGTCCAATTTTGCATTGCCAGTGCCATCGTCCACAAGTCGATATACCACCGTGCCAATAACATCGTATCCGTTTGGTGACTGCCACGCATCAACACCCAAATATAGGGCCCCCTCATGCATCTGAATAGCCCCAAAACAAAGTTTGTACTCCTGTCAGTAATAATCAAAGGTTGATTGATATATGATATTATCAGAGCCAGAAAATTTAATCACTCACCTTTAACTCTTCACATAGTTTCTCCTGAACACATAAGTAGAGCATTTGAATACCTTGTGAAATCATCTTTCGGTTCGGAAGGTTCTTCAAGATTGTTGGATGAAGCAGTCTCTTCATGCTGTCTTCTTCCAAGGCTGAAAATGGCTTCGCTGACTTGGCACACCAGACGACACATCGTTGCAAAACCTGAGGGAACTCAAACACATCAGTCTGGAATTAATAATTATCCAATCAGGCAAAACCTCTAACCTCCCGTGGATCGATATCACCTGTTCCTGATACGCCAAGTGATGCCAGGGTCCTGTGACCTGAGGGATTGCTTGCTTTCTTTGAGCATCGAGCCGCGTACGCAAGGAGATTACCGCAGGAAGACTCGTGTGCGGGTCGATTGATCTTCTTGGAACACCTAGTAACAGTGATTGTAGTTGAGATGATATGTTAACTTAGATGATAATTATTATTTGACAATATGTTTTGGTAATGAAATATAACAATTACTGCCACTTGCTTAACTCACGTCTTACATTGCCACGCAATCATATAGCGATCATACTTGTCCTTCTGATCGGACATGGTCGGTACCTCATAGGATGCATAGGCAGAGCTGACTTGATTACGAGCAAGCTTGATTGCATGGTCTACATAAAAAATTTAATTAACAACCAAAAAAAACATAAGAAGAAATCTGCCCAGTAGATTACCCAAACGTAGTGCATCCGTTGAATCAGGGTCCATGTGGTTAGTCGTTGAGGCAGTTGACTCTCCCTCATTGGGCTCCATCGGAGGTGGATCACTCGTGTCTGAGTTATCATCTCGTTCCTCACGTCTTCGGATCCTTTTCGAACGACGTTCCATGATTTGGTTGCTGTTTCTGAGAGCAAAAGGAGAGATTGTGAAGAAGAAGGGGGGGGTAAAAAAATGTCAAAAAACATAGAAAAGATTTCATCAGCAAGAATGTGGGGAAAGAGGCAGTTGAATATGACACATGATGGCTTACTGGTATGTTGTGTAAGGATTTAATGAGTCAGAAGAAGCCTGTGGAAGGGAACCAGTGAACAAGCCTGGAAGGGGTTAAAAATCAAAACAGCAAGGTGACAGGTCAGCATCCATCATTAACAATGAAATGATTCATTGAGGGTGAGGGACCCCCCTGTCTAACAACTAGAAACATACCTGTCAAAAAAAAAACCTGGAAGGCAGGTTGGAGGTAGGCAAAATAAGCCGGGGTCGCGAGGACGAGTCGGCAACGCAGTCGGCGACGGTGAGGCGATCGCCGACGATTCGAGGCCTGCGGCAAGTCAACTACGAGTTGGGGGGTTGTGTGTGCGCTGGTCGTCGTTCCGAGACGCACGGAGCGGAATGCGAGCGCCGAGGCGAGATCGGTGGACGGATCCGATTGTATCGGACCAGGGGGGATCAACAGCCTGTCGAGGGAGGGAGTCAGACCCGATGGGGTCAGCGATGGTTGTCGGAGGGCAGGGGAAAGAAGGGGATGGGGGGGGGAGGTGGTACTTACTCGTCGGGGGGGAGGTTGGTGCTTCGTTCCTAGCGAGTACCGTGGTGAGGTCGGACGGAGGGAGGTGATGGATGTCGGCGGCCAATACAGCTGGCGTATTGGCCGCCGACAAGTGGATATGCGGCAACAGGTGGGGCCGCAGCTGCAGCCTGCGCAACACAGCCGCGGCCTATATGGGCGGGTATCCCTGGGGATATCCGGATACCCGCCCAAATTTCCGGGAAAAGGGCAAATCCGAACCCGAATCCGAATCCCCTGGGGGATATCCGCTGTCTCTGGCGGGTATCCGCCAGGGGATAGCGGGTATCCACGACGGATACCCTTTGACCATCTCTAATCAACATTTGGGATACTAGTATTATTCAGACAGAAGACCAGAAGACAGAAGACATACCCATCTCAAGAATTCTCCAAAGCCACACCTTTCCTTAAGAGTCCACAATCTTATCTTTTTCTTGTTATCTTACTCAACCCAGTTTACCAGAGAGGCAGCCCATTAAAGCATCTTTCCCTCTCCAGCTCTATTCATCCCAAAGAGTAGTACCACATCGGCCAGCCAACAGAAGAACTAGTTCCGCGGGGGTAACCAGCTTGTCAGGAGGAATCCCTCCCGGCGATCTGGTACACAATCCAGCTCGTCAGGAGGGATTCCTCCCGACAAACTGGTGAACATACCAGCTCGTCGGAAGGGATTCCTTCCGACAAGCTGGTGTACATACCCTCTTGTCGGGAGGGATTCCTCCCGACAAACTGGTGTACATACCAGCTTGTCGGAAGGGATTCCTTCCGACGAGCTGGTGTACATACCCTCTCGTCTCCCGACGAGAGGGTATTTATCCCAGCTCCTCAGGAGGAATCCCTCCCGGCGAGCTGGTACACAATCCAGCTCGCCGGGAGGGATTCCTCCCGACGAACTGGTGTACATACCAGCTCGTCGGAAGGGATTCCTTCCGACGAACTGGTGTACATAGCCTCTTGTTGGGAGGAACCCCTCCCGACGGTGTGGCCTCTGCCTCTCTAGGCCGAGGGGGGCCAGTTTTTTTTTTTTTTCTTTTTTTTTTGAAAAAACATTCCCTGCTGGAAGGTTATCCTTCCAGCCGGCAATAGTTGACCTGTAAAAGGGCGGTTATCTGCGGATATCCGCACGGATACCCGCCAGCGCCAGCGGATACCCGCCCGCGGATGCAAATGCGGATGCAGATGTGTGATTCCGCTGAAATCTTGAGCGGATATCCGCATCCGCGCGGATATCCGGATTCAACGCAACCATCTCTAGAATTGTATGCTGGAAGTGAAGCAAGGTGTTTGTTTTGGGTACGGGTTGTATATGATGTGAGAGTCTTATTGAAGCGAGAGGAGGAGGCTTTTGGCATTTTCAAGTATTGGAATGGGGAAAGGAATTCGGAAAGATTCCCTAACCTTAAGGTGTCTTTATAGAAATCAGCAAATATAGAACAAGAGTATTCCCTTTTCACAGGAATTGCAGGCGTTTAGCAGAAAAGGCCACTGGTGTGAAAATCTGGGGGTCCAGTCAATGCAGTAGTTTGAAGCGGCCCTGTCGGTGAAAAGACACAGGGCCGGCTCAAGGCTTCCATTCAAGGTTGAGGTCACCCTTGTGTTGTTCTCAGTAAGGTTCACTGCTCAGTGTGCAGAGTTGTTGAGTTCAGGTGTGTTACAATTGTACATTTATTTATGTAGTTATCTGTGCGCGTAGGTGTTTGACTTTGACACAAGAGGGGGTGGTGGTATCACACAAGTTCTCGCATGTCAACTGCGAGCAGTTGACCCTTTTTTTTTTGCAGTGTGGTACCCTCCTGAAGTACTGCAGTAGCTGCCACTCCAGACTGCACTGGGTGTGGTACCTGGCACTGCAAGAAAAAGTCAGGCAACTGTGTACAGTTGACATGTGGTATTACAAAGGCACCTTTGTAATATCACATGTCAACTGTACATACTTATCTGACTTTTTCTTTCAGTGTTGCACTGGTTTTTGGCTAAAAAAAAGCCCTGGGTCCCACAGGGCCATCTCTATGCCCAGCTCTACTGGCTGATCTTGTTAAATTTTGCTGATAGTGGTTGTTCTCTCTATTGGTTTACCCCCGAAATGGTGGGCTTGGCACAACTGAAGGTGTTTGAAGCATTTTTATTGAGCTGATTTTGAATGTAAAATCTGTGGATGACTTGCTAATTTGAACACAGAGGATGCTTAAAGTAGATTATGTTTAATAGCTAGACTTGCCAATGTCTGAAACAAAAACCAAGTTTGCAAAAAAGGTCATTTCTGAATTGATGAAGCTAATACAATGTGCTAGTTAATATGGTGCATGGATGATAGTTCTGAGCAAAACAAATAGTACAATAACAATTATAGAACTCAGCTTGAAAACAAGAACAACTTGGATACAAACTCATTATATAATGGAACATTCTTGGGCCTGCACAAGAACTGTAACAAAAACAGTCAGCTAATAGACATGGTAAAGCACAACTTGAACACTGTTTAATTTGCTTGGATACAAAAGCAATTTATGAGCAAGGTCAATTTTAAACACTGTAGCACCGTCTGCATGATTGGAGGATGAAATGAGAAGTGTCAGAGCTTCTTTGGCTTGTATGATTAGGCCGTAATGGTATGCAATTAGACTCACTGAGCATTTAGTCCAAACACATTGTCCAAGGCACCATTTTCTAGCCCAAACTCGGTTAAACATTCTCGGAAGATCTCGAATTGATATTCATAGCGACCAGTTGCTTTGTCCGCTGGAGAGGATACTTGAGGTACATCATAGTCTGTTTGTTAAATCGACAGTTAGTGGAGCAAAAGGTGAGATAGCGATCATCTGGGCGCATTAAGGTTGGAAGCTCAGCCTACATGGGAAGCCGCTGGCATAGATGAGGCGATGATCACCAAAGGCTTCAAGGATCGGTTCTAAGTAAAACTTGATCCGCTTCTTGACCTCTCTCCAGGCCGATTCACCCTGAGCTAGTGCATCCCTATCAGTCTCTTGCTTCCCTCCATCCTCGTCTTCATGCACTGCGACAGGAGTAGAGGGTTCTAGGTCGCGACGTGGATTAGGTCGGTGAGATTGTAAGAATCGTTTACAGGCTCGTTTGTTGAGTTCCTCTTCGAGTATCAATGGCAAGCCGGATAATTTGATGTGAAAGTCAGAAAATAATGATAGAGAGAATAATCGTGAGAGTATTGATGAATAAGATGCAGAGCTTGGTACTAGCGATTGCGTAGAGATCATCTCCGGCATGCCTATGTGAGTCGAGGAATGGAGCATATTAGTTTGTTGTTATTGGGAGGTTTTTTTTTCTTGACATTGAACTTCATTTATTAATCAACAGACGAGTGGTAACATACCCATCTGACACAGGACAAATTTAGTTTCACTCTTTGAGTCTTGGCCGCGTCTGACAGCTGAGACGCACTCCAAGACTTCGTCCAAGATTGCCCTTGCAGAACGTTCATGATTACCATCGACCATCAACTCGACACTGAGGCCTCTTTCTCCTAGTAGTTTGAGACTCTCGATGAATTCAGGGTCGACCAGACTGACGTTACGGGTAGTTGATTTCCTCTCGATCAGATGACAACATCCACAGATTCGGATCGAAAGGTTGGAGAGCTGGTCGAGATAGGATCCTAGGACGGATGGACCTTGGTGTAATGGTGCCCAGATGACTTGACCCAACGGGGGCGCCATTTGGATTTCGACGAGTTCTTTATCGATCCTGTCGAGAAAAGAAAGAAGAGAGGTAAGCGGATGATGATCTAGATCGACTTGCATATAGAAATTGGACTGACCGAAGTATATTTTGAGATTCAGTCTCCCATCTCTTGGAGGAGAGTTGGGCAGCCTGCTGAGGATCATCTGGTGTTTGTTCTAGTAGCCATGCTGGTTGTTGGTGAATGTGAATGAAGCCTTTGAACTGAGTGGTCGTCTGGTGAGAGTGTGCTTGTTGATGATCGCCGGCTGAGGTGATTTGTTCGGGATAGAATGGTTGTATGGAGTCGTGCCATAACTTGGCGCTCGTTCGACTATGGCCTGCTTCAGAATCTTCTGGTAAGAAGACGTGAGCATCGATGGCGACCAGTGGGACCCTTCGAGTGAGTAGTTGGTTAGCCTGCTGCTCTGATGATGCTGGGTTGGATGAGAATGCCTGTAGCGGCAGATGGGGTGGTGGCTTCTTCGGCATTGTGCTTGGTTTTTGCAGTTTTCTTCTTGATCAAGTTGGGAGGCTGCTGCTTGGAAATCGGGGGCAGGGCTGCTCAAAGTGGAGCTGGTGGTGATATATGGCACACGTACCCTCGCCGGCCTCCCGGTCACACGGACGATGTATGTACGACGGCCAGCCGTCGGTCCGGCCTGAGGTATGTACATATGTAGATAGACCCCTTTGTAGGCTCTGATGAACCCTCTCCTTGCCAAGCCTTTCTTTCTTTTCACAGCCTCCGATCATGCCCTCGCCGGCCCCGCCAGGCATCCCGGCCGAGTTTCACAGCCCAAGTCAACTCAGACGCGCCCCAGCCTCACCCACGCGTATCAGAGAGCTCTCAGGCTCAACAACATCCATCCTCCAACACTCCGCTACATAAACGCGTCCTCGACGACTCTGGCAACCCTACCCAGAACCATCAGCACACCCACCCTTCAAAACCGTTTCGACTCGAAAGACTATCTGTGTTGACCCCAAGGATACACCTGCACTCACAGCCCTCGAGATCCAATGTCAGGCTTTCTCGAAAAGCTCAGAGGGGCTGACTTCACCGGTCTCAACAGGTTAGCAGATCAGCTATCCCCTTCAAACAAAAGAAAATCGATCACTGTTCTCCTCTACTAGCTATAATAGCCCAGTCTGGACGCTAACCATCATTCCCTCTATCTATTGAAACAAAACACGTCTTCACTAACACTCCATAGAGCCTTCGGAAGAGGGAAACATTCACCCAAGATACCTCCCATAGGTGGGGTTGCATACGAATCACGTGGAATTAGTGGTGGCCCGCTATCCTCTCAAGATAATAGTCCTCAGGCTCGATCCGGTCGAGGCTTCGGTCGGATCCCTGCTGAGAACGGTAACCCAACTAACTCTCTCCTAGATGACGAAGATACCGGTCCAACTCAAATCGCAATCAGATCTCTAACCGTTTGTTATCTCTATCATCCGCACTTGGCTGGCTCATAAAAAAAAACCCTTGCTGACTTGGACACCTTCATCTTAGATCTTCTTCCTATTCATCAACCTGTTTATTTACATCGCCATAGCTGTTTTCCAGAAGGTTCGTCCATTCTCCTTGCAAATATTCATCGTCCTCGCTCACTCAAAGTCGTCTTCTTCCTTTTTCCTTCAGAAATGGGGCGTCGGGCCCTCTGGACTCACTGGGCTAGCGATCGTACGTCTTTGTTTTCGTAATTTGTGTGTCAGGAAATTGAATCGATCCCATTATAACTGTAATCTTTGGTCTACGCTTCCCTTTCGACTCATCTCGACAAATTCAGTTTGTTCTCGTACAAGCTCTTCTACATGCTCTTGTATTTCTTCTGGTGCCGCAAATATACGAGCGTACCGATATGCGTAAGCCATTTGTTTCCCTCATTCAAAACCATCTCGAGTCTCTATTCTCAACCGCCAGCTCTTGTCCCACCTGCAGTCAGGGGCTTTGCCCGTGCTATCCGATTGACGCGTATTCAGTTCATCGTCTACGGTACCCAAACTGGCTTAGCGCTCGTTCTCTCGTCAGTCTCAAGAATTATGGAGCCAACCTCTTTCTAGAACTCTTTGCGAGTTAGTGCTAACTTGAACCTGCCCGGTAATACCCATATATTCCAGGCTGATAGCTACCATTTCAGCGTACACAGGGGGTTGTAAGGACTCGAAGTCAGATCCCAACGCCTCGAACACTGACTACATTTCTCATATTGGTGGTTTTTGCCGTAAGTATTCTTGTTTTTTTTTTGGGGGGGGCAGGGGGAATCATCAGTGGCTGCCATGGAAATTGATCGATCATCGCCTCCTTTCTAACCTTCCTTTTTACAGGGAACAAGAGAGCTGCTGCCGCTTTTTGGTGGTTTTCATTTTGTAAGTTTTGCCTTTCCCACATAACAACCGTTCACTCCTTTTTTTATCCATTGACTAGAGCAAATGTTGACTCTCGCTGAATCCAATCATGCAGTGAGCTTTGGGCTCTCCTTGGGCATCGTTTTCAAATCGTGGTATTCTATTCGAAAACTTGGACCAAGGCATCCTGCCTTTGAGCCGCCACAAGGTGTCGGAGTCAGAACAATTGACGATGAGGATGATGATTTCCGAGCTGACGAGCCTTATGATCGATCGCCTCCACAATTCCCACAAGAAATGACCGCTGTTCGACCAAGTAACGTTGGGGGCTATTGTGAGTACTAAGATTATCATATTTACTCTTCACATAATGCAATCAGGTTTTTGATCCATGCGAGATGATGTGGTTCTTGAATTAGATGGAGAAAGGCCAATATTCGACTCAGACCGAGTCCCAGCTGGCTATGCAGCCCCTTCAGGTAGCGTACATGAAGTTGATCACACCCGATCACCCCCTCAAATGGCTGCCTACAAGGACCCATTTGATGAAATTCGAGCTCAGATATATCAAAACGGTCGCTGAAGCGAACTCATAACTTTTATCATCCTAGACTGTACATACGACAGAAAATAAGCTCACAAAACAATTATTGGGCTACTCTGGCACTTCTACATGGATTTATTCAGCAGCAAATATTGTATTATTCTTCTTTGCTCAATTCTGATCTGCCTCTTGCTTCTATTTCTTCTTTCTGGTTGCCCTGATTTGCTTCATCTTATGTCTACATGGAGATACCTTGAGTACATTTTACATATGTTTGTACAAGTTGTTAATTGACATCATTCTGATTGTGAATGTTACCGTTTTGAGTATCTTACAATATCTCCTCCACTTCCTGCCTATTTACTGCTTGTTACTTCTACATATACATGCTGCTCTGTTATCCCTTGTGTTTTCGGGTTTGTAGGTTAAGGTAATAAAACAAGTGAATGAATGTATGACTAATAATTTGAGAAAAACCTGGCTTGCATTTGTTTCTTCAACTTGTTTGGAATTTATTTCCTTATCTGATATGTCATGGTCCAAAGCATTAGCCACTAGAGGAATCTTCTAAAACAAATGAATGTGAGCTTTCTGGTAGATGCATTGGTTGCTCATATATAAGGCAGTACATGCTGCTCTGTTATCCCTTGTGTTTTTGGGTTTGTAGGTTAAGGTAATAAAACAAGTGAATGAATGTATGACTAATAATTTGAGAAAAACCTGGCTTGCATTTGTTTCTTCAACTTGTTTGGAATTTATTTCCTTATCTGATATGTCATGGTCCAAAGCATTAGCCACTAGAGGAATCTTCTAAAACAAATGAATGTGAGCTTTCTGGTAGATGCATTGGTTGCTCATATATAAGGCAGAGGAGCAATAAGTGTGAATCCATTTTGCTCCTTAACTTATTTGTACATTTTCAGGGATATTCATCCCCTTGGGTCTGACAGCATCCTTGAGAGTTGTTCTCCCAATCCCTCAGGGGGAATTGGCACTTTTTCTCCCAATCCCTCAGGGGGAAGTGGGAGTTTTTCTCCCTATCCCTCAGGGGGAATTAGGAGGCAGGATTGGGAGTCATTGTACCAAAAGGCTTTTTATTTTATTTCATCATTGGGGAGAGTTGGCAGACCAAACCCTCCCCTTTGAGTGGGAGGTTAGGGAGTTGCATTCCTTCTGGTTGTCATACCCCATTGACCTGGAGGATTTCATTCTGGCTGAAGGGGTGGTTTTACCTAGTGACCAGGGTAGTTAAACCTTGTAGGAAAAACTCTTGGTAAATGAGGTTCAACCACCCATCAACTGGGAGGAAATTTTCCTGGTCAATGGGGTAAAACTACCCCATTGACTGGAAGGAAAACCTCCCAGACAATGGTAAAACTACCTCATGTTTCCTTCCAGTCAATGAGGTAAAACCACCCCATCTCACAAAAGGAAAGCCTCTTAGTAGATGGGGTATGATGGCTAGCATGGAGATAAATCCCTAACGTCCCACTTGAAGAAAAGGGTTTGGTCCCCCAACTACCTGCAAAAAATAAAATAAAAAACTTTGGGACAACAACTCCCAATCCTGCAGTGGGCAATGTGAGAATGACTTCCAAAGAGGTCTACACATAGTCCTGGCAGTTGCTCACCCAAATTTTGGGAGTTTTTTTTTCCAAGAACCAATCATTAATCCCATTGCATGAGATTTGTATTTAAGAAATATTTGACTGGCCATCTTCACCATCAGAATAATTTGATTTTTTTTGTTTTGATGCCCTTTCAATAGGAGTTTACCGATTTTGATTGAGTTCGGTAACACCCAGCTTAAGTGATCTTGAATCAAACAATCCAGCCAATAACACTGCCATAATTCACTGGGCTGCTTTAAACTCACTTGGACTGGGCTGAACATAACCTATTCTGAATTGGTTGGGTGTGAATCAGTTAAAGGGACATCCAATTATTCTGGTTGGGATTGTGAGGCTTTTCTGTCTATATGTCAAGCATCATAATTCTTTTTTGCACAAATGTAGAGCTAGTTTTTTATTCAAAAATATGCTGTTTATCCACAGTAAAAAAAGGCAAGGTATTGGTGTGGCAACTGTGATTATCATAAGTACAAATTGCTTTCTCATTTTGTGAGGATCACAGACCTGTAACAACAATCAATGGTGGGCTGTTACACTTTTTGCCCAAAAAGTGTGTTAGCATAGTGATTTTTTTGGCACAGAAATCATGTGGTTTTAGCAAAGAATTAGCAGGTTTTTGCTGCACTATGGACCACTAGCAGCCACTAAAGAGCCAAAATACTGCTAACCAGTGTGTTAGTGAAGTGTAGTGGGCACATTTTTGGGGCCTGCATTTCAGGGTGCTTACTAGTGGGGATAGTAGTTGTTGAAACTTTGGCTGATTAACAGGGTGGAGTTTTTTGGAGAATTTTGGACAACAAAATAATTTTGTTGGAACAGCTCAAAGTTGCGAGAAATGAAGGATAGAACTGATGAGGTTTGATTTCTTATAACTAGCTATGTTAAATAGACTATGTACAAGATGGTCCGAAAGTGGTTGTGGAGAATTTGAATAAGAACAAACAGACTGAGAGGAAATTGAGTTCAGTGTTGATGAAGCTTGAGAGAGACATTCTTTTATTTATGATAACTCTACTTGATAAACAAGAAAAGAAAACAAGAACCACAATTCTAGTGAAGATGTTAGTTTCATTAGATCAATCTCAACACCATAACTTTAAGAATAATCAGAAGATAAGCATGGAGAAGAAAGAAATTAACAACTAGGGATTCAGGGTTCATTGACTACAAGAATTTGATGTTTAACTTCATGACTTGCTACTTGTCAGACTATAGAATTATTAGTAGTTGAGTGTATTAATGGTGAAAGAATTAATATAAATTTGAGAAGAGAACAAGATGAAGAAGGGAGGAGTCAAAATTCCAACAGTAGTACCTATAGTTATGACTAGAGAATGTAGAGGACACAGCAAAGTGGGTAAATGAAGGATGATTATTATTTGAGACTTTGAAATGGCACAGAGAATGATCAATGAGGCTTATGCATGTCTTCCAGCAGCTTATAAGCCAGGGCAATCAACTCAAGAAGACTCAGAGGTGTGATGGAGGTGAACAGGTAACTTGAGTAATCTTAATTAGTTGTGAAAGTGGAGGTGAGAGTGTTAAGTAGTTGTAAGGATGTGAGGCAAAAATACTAGATGTAGTGATTGCAGTGAGGGTGGAAAGAGTAGAAGGAACTGAAGCCTTCTGATTAGGTAGTGAAAGTGCCTACTAGTATAAGCTAAAAAGTGCTAATCAGTTGGCAGATAAGTTTTTTTCTTTAGTTTTCACGTTTGTTGCTGATGATACTAGAATCTGGGTTATAATTGAACTGAGGAAAAGTAATGGGGAAGCCCAGTGGCCCCTTTCAATACTAAAAGGAGACTCTGGTGGATCTGTGGTCATCCTGTTCCTTGGGGTAAAAGAATAGGATGGAAACATAGTAGACATTTCATCCAACTGTTGGGGCATGAGTCACATTGCAATGCGTTGTTTCTTGCTGCGCCACAGCATATTCATTCATTCTTTTTTATTCATTTATTTGCACTTGCATGTTATCTTATTCTTATTTCTTTCTTTTTATTCTTTTATTATTATCTTTTCTACTTATGGAGGGGTTCAAACTTATTAACCCCTGACACTGCACATGTAGTGTTAGTGCAGACATGGTAGAATTCCACTACACTACATTATTTTATAGTGGAATTCTGCTTAGCTAAGCTGCACTAACACTACAGTTAGTGTAACTGACCCACCATTGCAACAATGACTTGTCTAAACTTGCTCCAACTTCCATCTTATCTCTTCTTCACTTCACTTGATCAGCAATCCCCAATCTCTTCTGAAAGACTACTCATCTCTATTCCCATCAACCAAAATTAGTCAATCTTTGGTACTTCTTTTGGATCAAATTCACCTCTAAAGCATTAGCATTTGGACACCTTAGCAAACAAAGCTCAGCCAGTCTGTCTAAATTAAGCCATCTGATTGTTGGGAAGTCCTCCAATGTCTTCTTCTTTTCCAGATAAATTCCAGATCAACCTGTTGCAATTACAACCAGGCAGTTTTTGACATGTCTTTTTTCTGCCCCCCCCCACATGAAAATAGTCACACTCATCTACTCATAAAGATAAGCTTCAAAGGCAATTTTTGTGAGCTCACACTGATCAAATCATCAGAGCATTAGCCTGCTTGGCACATCCAGATAGATGATTGCTTTGAAACAGAAGTTCTGTATCAGTAAGAGTTTTGAGTACTCTTGTCCCCTCAGTCAAAAGACAATCAGCACCTATGACCACAGCATGCTTACTGCAATAGAGAATTGGATGTAGAGTTTTAGATCCATTATGATCACTCAAAAAGTTTCATTTTTGAGAATTGGATGCAGAGTTATAGATCCCTTCACACAAAACTGTCAATGCACTGTATGCATACCCTAAGTGTGTGGATAGCAGGCGATGGCCCGACTGAAATCTTGCGGATCTCTTGCTTTCGTTCTTCGCATGTTTTTGAACTTGACTCTTGAGTGATATGTATGTATGTACAAACCACAGATATATCATTATCATGGAGACCTATTTATCAACCTCCTGATTTTGCTGCAGGTGACTTTGGAATTGGTTCCAAGAGAGTCAAATGGTTATCACGAGACATGATAAATATGGCATGTTTATGATAGATGGTGGCCCCACCCCGGAGTTTCCATAGCGAATTCAAAATTAGGTTCAAGTCTTTTGTCAAAGCTTCTCCGTAGTGTGATGCACCTCCCGCCCCCACCTTGTGGAGCTGAAGCGTGTTGGTCCAGAGATTGCATTTGCAGCAGTTTGTGAAGCCCCTATGGGGAAGAGAGAGAGAGAGAGAGAGAGAGAGAGAGGAAAAGAGAGGTGAGCTAACTGGAGTCTGAGATTTAAGATGGAAAAAGTTCATGAAGCGTCGACCGGGGTGGTGGATGGTTCTGATCATTCATGAGACGGCCGGCGCATTCGGTCTAGTCAGCTGCTCCCTGAGGATTTCAAGTAATGCCGAGGCCGGGCAACTGTGGAAGGCCAAGATCAACCAACCGGATACACATCAGAAACCAAGAAAGAAGCTCCAGAATTCTGTATGTAGAGGAAGGAAAGCGATATGTTGATGCCGGTCAGGTTCTATGGACGCCTCGCCACAGACCAACCCAAGAACGCCGATGTATCGCTAAACCAGACAGGGGCGCGCCAAGTGCGACCTCCCATTGGGTCGGCAATGCTTTGATGACTCCGGGCAAGCCGTGCCTGTTCAGTCTTATACCGGGCTACTGCCGACTTCTCGGTTGTCTGGCTTCATGATGATATTAAAAATGGATCATGTAAGCATGTATCGAAAAGATTTGTATTCTTGTGGCCATTCGATCTTGCTAGGATCTGTTATCAAGCTCCTCAGCCCCCAAGTTTTTGATGCCGGGACAGAGACTCGGGCATGATTCTCAGCCAGCACTTGTCCACACCCTACTTCATCCCACTGGGGCGTTACCTTCTCTTGTAACGATCCAGAATGCTTTGTTCGGTTCCACACATTTGCTTACAATCTGCAATTCGATCGGAGCTTCGATTGAGCGGAATCCTGCAGAAACAGCAGCTTGGTACACAGTTGTATCCTAGTGAGCCTTTTGTTCAAGTCTTCTCCAGTACATACTGCCTACATTTGTATCGTACACACGCGCCGTGGATCTGATCTTTTCAATCAACCTCAAGGCCTCGTGATAGCTGTTGTGGCGATTTCTTTATAAGATTGTCAATACTTGACAGTATGTCAATACTTCCATAGAATTTCGAAAGTTGTCCAACTCTATATTCCGCGACTGGCTCTCCTCTCGAAGCCGGGCATCGCTGTTGTTCAGTCAAGATTCCCTTCCGAAAACAAATCGGCCATCCTCCCTCATTCGTCATCAGCATCATCAGCATCAAAAATTAAAATAACAAACTCATTTTACTTGTCATACGTACAACAACTTCCCCCCCAGCGCGTCGGTCTTGATAATCTCCCAAACCAGTCTGCACCACTCTGAGTTCCCACCCAGGCCTGACATTCCTTTTCCTTTACAAATCCCAACTGTACAACTTCTTTCAAAGCCTTCAACCTGCCTCCAACCTCCGAACGGTCCATCCCCAGTCAGCCCATCCTTATTGTACATATCCATACACATCCTTTGTCTTACATATAAATATATCCAACCTCACTCTCCTGCCATCCCGCCACCGGCTTCCGCCATCTCTGTCTGCAAGCTTCCTTTTTGTAAAACTGACCTACAGTGCTATCTGAATACCCCTCCTTTTTTTAGATTCATCCGACCCCAGCAGACGACCATCCTCTCCAGGCCGCGAAGCTCTTACAGCTTTAAATATCCCCTCTGCCCATCACACTCCTTCCATCCACTCAGCCCAGATCATCAATCTCTGATCACTTAATAAAATAACCAACCTGAACCACCCACACTAATAACCAACCACCAATACTAATCACCATACCCTCGTACCACAACGAACACCCGTTCCATATTCAGAGTTGATATATATAGAGCCATATATATCCAGCACTGTTTTCATACGAATTGTGTATGTCCCTTGTCCCCTTTCTCCTTCCTCCTCTGTTTTTTGTTTCTATCTTTTTTTTTCTTTCTTGCAGCAACCAGCCGAAGAAGAAATACCCACTAATTGGTGCCGAACATCATCCCATCAACCATCCACTTGACACGCTATCAACAAACCTGCAACCATCTTCATCCTCACCAACCGAACTCGTGTCTATCAACAGACTGCCATCGTCATCTCTACCAAGTCTATTTGCTCCCCTCATTTAAACTTCAGCAACCTTGACCCCTACGGCCTCATACATACGAAAACATCAAAAAAAAAAAAAAACTATACTTACGCATTACATATATATCTGTTATTATAAAGCAATCAATACGAAAGTATACATTTATTTTGTATGAATATATTCCCTCTCATCATAACCATCGATCTCAAATCCAGACAGACACATATACCACTCTAACCTCGACTTCATCTGCTTGAGATTCGATACAATCTTCCAAGAAATAACACATAAATAAATACTTACTTGCCGTTGCCTTCCCCTCGTCTCCAGCAAATTCCCCTTCCTCCATCCAGCTCTTTGCCCTGGGTCTAGTCATTCACAAACATAGACGTAAGGCCTTGCAGCTACTCTTGCACCTCGCGTTATCCAGATTCGTCGTCCCATCCAGGAACAAACCATCCTCCCCCCTTCGCACTACCGATTCCTTGCTCTTGTCATGGGTTGCGGGCCTTCAAAACCGGCGGAAGACCGAGACGCCAGCCACCGTAGTGCAGCCATCGATGCTCAGCTTAGGAAAGATCGAAGTAATGCTCGGTGCGTAGGATTATTCAAGTTTGGCTGAAGCTCCTCGAAATTTTCTTATTCTGCTCATCTCCCTCATTACAGAAAGGAGATTAAAATTTTGTTGCTCGGTGCCGGAGAATCCGGTAAATCCACCTTGGTCAAGGTACGCCATCCATCACCCGTTTCGGATCAGTTCCAGATGCATTTCATCCGTTCATACTGATCAAGGCTCAACGATTTCTAAAATAGCAAATGAAATGCTTATGGGATCAACCTTACACCCAAGCCGAACGAGAAAGCTACCGTGAAGTGATTTTTGCCAACACCATCACCTCAATCCAAGTCGTGCTCGATGCCCTGCCTGCTCTTCAACACATCACCATTCCTGCCGAGCAGGGGGACGCCGAACGGATCGATCTCCTGCTCACCCTCCCACCCGATTCACACGATACCCCCTGCCTGGACCCCAAGGTAGCCGACGCGATCTGCCAACTCTGGTCTCGCCCCGGACTCAAGCAGGCCGTCGCACTCAGCCATCTGTACCAGCTAAACGATTCGGCTTCATAGTCAGTCTCCCCTCGAGCCATCATATTGCAAACCAAAAACCACAAACGCTTAGCCAATTTTTTTTTTCTTTTTGTCTCAGTTATTTTGACAACATTATCCGGATCGCGCAACCAGGCTACATTCCTACAGAACAAGACATCGTTCGATCCCGAGTCAAGTCCACCGGCATCTCTGAGAGCAAATTTCACGTTGGCCAGCTGATATGGAAAGTCTTCGACGTCGGTGGCCAGCGCTCCGAACGTAAAAAATGGTATGCTGCCTTCAGTGTCTGTGTTCATCGAGCCAGCTGTGATTATTCCCATCGCTCACCGGCTTTCATGACTGCTTGCCCTCGCCAGGATTCATTGTTTCGAGAATGTAAACGTTTTGATCTTCTTTGTGGCTATCAATGAATATGACCAGGTACTTTACGAAGACGAATGTGTGGTAAGTATACATTGTTGTCTTCACCTTCATTCCATCACGTCACTGAGCTTTACGACATTTGCATGTAGAATCGGATGGCAGAAGCGGCTACATTGTTTGACTCGATCTGCAACTCTCAGTGGTTTCGCCAGACACAAATGATTCTATGTTAGTTCCTTGCCCCCCCCCCGCCAATCTGATTCCTCTCTAAATGCAAGCAGCGCACTGACCAATCGGTCAAACAGTCTTTAACAAGATTGATCTCTTTAAAGCGAAACTTCTAACCTCACCACTCTCGAGCCGTTTTCCCGACTACGACGGCGACAATTCGTATGAATCCGCAGCCAAGTTCATCCATCGCAACTTCCTGCAGCTGTGCCGAGACCCAAACAAGGACATCATCACTCATTTCACCTGTGCCACCGATTCTCAGCGTAAGCCACACAAATCCCTACCCATTTTCCTCACAATCATCTACTGATCATAATTCTTGATACTCTATGCAGAGATATCCGTTGTTCTAGCTGGTGTTCAGGAATCAATCCTCAGGAAAAATCTGGCAGCAGCTGTGAGCTCTCCTGGCCTTCATCCACTACCTCCTCTTTTGGTTGGCTTGCTAATGAGTTGCCCTTGGCACACCACATGATTCTAGGGTTATGTTTGAACATCTATGATATCAGCCTCACATTTTGGATTGGCAACCTTCAACCTTTACCATGCATCCCGTCCAGGGCTCAAACTTGCATATATATATATATACAACCAAAAGTGTTTTTAGTACTCAAAATTTCACTTCATCTCAAACAATCATCATGATTGCATTCAATTTTTGGTTACTACATCCTCTTCTGAATCATAAATATCTTTACAACTTATTCTATTTGACATTGCAGTTAGTTTAATCTAAATCTCTCTTTTTCAATTTCTCTATCTCTCTTTAGGTATTTATTGCTGCTGTCATGCATTGTTTGTTTCTCTGGTCTGGAAGAAGGTCTGTCCTTCCTGCCAAAGAAAGGGGGTTCTCAATTTTGCTGTGTTTTGTTTTCTTTTAGCTATTCATCAAGGCTGGGGCTTGGATATTTTTGTTTCCTTCTCTTCTTTTTTGGTTTCAATGTTCTTCCGCATCTTTCTCTTTTTCTGTCTCTCTTCTCATCCTCGAAAGTTCCAACAAAGGAAAGCTTACAGTTATGAATTTATACACCAATATACCATTTGAATGACAAGTTGAATCTATCTGTGGTGCTCACATACTGTTTCCTTCCGTCTTCTCACTCCTTTGCAAAGATACTGGTTTGTTCATGTTGAGGTCTGGGATGAAGGTGATGATTCTCTATCAGCTGGTCACACCCAGTGAAGTGGAAAATAATTGCCATCAAAGTGGCAAAATACCAGATCATGTGAACAAGACAATGGCAAGACCCTACATTCCTCAGGCATACGAAGCCACGGGAATTTTCCTCAGATCATCCGCCAGGCTCCCCCAATTCAGGGAAGCCTCCAATCCCACCAACACCAGTTGATTCCAATACCAGTCACCCCACCTCTGTCCCTTTTCCTCCTCAACACTTGTAGTCTCTTCCTTTTCTTCTTTCCTTTTGTTTTCCTTTCTCTACCAAATCTCTTTCTTTTCTAGTATCACCTCAGGATATTAGCTATACTCTTCCTCTACCATAAATGTTTTGTTAAGTATCACCTCAGGATATTAGCTATACTCTTCCTCTACCTTAAATGTTTTGTTACGGGATTAGTCCTGCATCTACATTGTCTTAAGTTGCATATGCATAGTGCGCAATGTCATATCAAATCCGCACTAAAAAAAAAAAAAAGACCCTACAAAACAAAACCAGCTTGTATTGCAGGTAGAAAAACCACAATTTTGTTTGCAAATGATATAGCTTGTGCAAGTGCTGGATATGTAGCAGATGTGTTTAGTTTTTGGAACAATAGTGGAGGACTTGCCACAGTGATGGGCTGCTATGATGCTAAACTATGCTAACCAGCCCACTAATGTTAGTGTAGCAGCCCTCAAAAACACACACCAAAACTGTAGTCTTAGCATGCTTTGTTATGCTGCTCTACAGCACTTTCAGCAGCAAACAGGGTAAAAAAACTGCCAACATGTACTGTAGCACACTGCAGTGGACCCTTCTTTGTGGCCTGCACATGTAGTGTTAGTGAGGTTGGGCCCAATTATGCTACACTAGGCTAAATGCTAGCAAGCTTCTGGTACATTATACTGTATTAATGCTCAAGTTAGCATAACTGGCCTATTGATTCTTTCCATTGGATGATTTAAAACCTTGAAAGCCAAAAAGCCACACTTTCTTTGCTGAAGAAATTCAATTGATATCAAGCTTTTACCCCTAAATAAAATTTACAATTTAGTTTTGCAGGGGCTAAGTTGAGGATTCCAGGCTAACAGGAAGTCCTCTGCTTTGAATCTTTGCTTGTTGTTTCAACTTGCAGAAAAACTTATACTTGTTTACCATAGGAAATTCAAGTTTTTTAAGGTAATCTGAGGTAGACAGAGTCGGATTGATTGTCACAAAAAATGTGATCTGACAAGCCAAGTTAGAAATTTTAGTTTTTTAATGTGTATATTACCTGATGTGCAACAAATTTAAACATTCAAAAAATATTGCTCACAAATAATAATTCCTGTGTATGTTGTAGCAAAAAAAAAAAAAAAACAGATTTTTGCACATATCCAAAGTTGCATTTTCCTCAGATTTACACTCAGGTGTTATGTTAAGGAATGTCTGGGTCCTATGTAGACATGGAGCTGTCTGAGTTTCATCCATTATGATTTATAGGTACGGTGGGCATGGGTATCTGCCAAGAATTCCTATTGATTTGGACACCCACTATCACACCTAGCACCTGCCCACAGGACCTGTCATACACTAGTGGGTACCCATCAAACAACACTATATTTTTTCCAATGAGTTCTAGTTGTATTCTGCTTACACTAGCAGCTGTGACCACTTGCTCCACGCAAACTTAACACAAGCCCCCCCCCCCTGGTGGGAGGCTTGCTGGTGTAACTGGCTGGGTGTGAAGGGCAACCTCTGTCAGGGAGGGACTTGAATACTAAAACACTTTTCTGGTGTGAGCTAGAAATAGGGTTTTGGTGGTGTCAACCTTGTTTGCCCTACCCCACATTCATTATAATTCAAAAAAAAAAAAAAGTTCTGGAAGATCAAAGATTGATATAATCCATATTTTTCTGTATTTTTATGTTTCATTGCAAAAACCTCTTTGTTTCTGATAGAAAATATGCAATGAATTTCATGATTTTGAACTTTGATTTCCAAATTTGGCAGAGGCTCAAGTGCAATCTCAGTATAAGCATATTTTGTGCCTGAAAAATGAGAGTTTCCTCTTTTTGTGTTCTTTTAAAAAAGATTGGCATGGAAATACAAATAAGAAAGCTGCAGAAATATCAATAAGATGGTAGATAGCAAATGTGCTACAATGTATTTTTCAAAATAATGGCATGGAAGCCAGAGGTGAAAATACAAAAACAGGCCTCAAAATCACCTCATGTATGTAAGCCTCTCTGGTGAGACTGAGCTTCCACCCAGACCTTCCTACACAGCACTCTCACCACAAAAGGCTTTACAGCACTGGTGAGCTTCTTGTTTCCCCCACTGCCAACACAATTGGCTGGGTTGAGGGTATCCCAGTTTAACTGGGATGCACACAACCAATTCAAACTTGGTTGAGATGCAACCAAGATCAACTTGGTTAAGTGAATCCCAGTTTAACTGGGATACCCTCAACCTGGCCAATTATACTGACAATGCCCTCCAGCACCATGCAGTGCAGCATAGCAGAAAGCCACTAACAGGGGAACTAACACTACACCATTTCCACTCAAAACAATCACTACTAAGCTATCAATTTTTGAAAAAAGTGTAAGTGGGCCACCACTGAGAATACCAAGGCATGTTTTTCAAAAAAAACATCAAGATAAGAAATGCTTGGGAACACATGAGCAGATGATCTGATGATCTGCTAAAACATATATGTCAGATATTCCCCCTAACAGAACTAGACCATGAAACAGCAGATAATTATAGCTTGAAGTGGAAATGCAGACAGAGAGGAAACCTACTCAATCAAAATCTATGTTCCATCTTTTTTTGGAATTTACTTAACAGCCCAAGACTTTTTTGCTTTTCTTGTCATTCTATACTGTGGGCTGGATCTGATGACATGTAGAGCCCAATTTTGCAGACAACCCAAAACAGTAAGTCATTGTGGAGCTGTCAAGTTATTTATGTATTGTCATAGATAGCCACTCCAATGGTTCAGTTGCTCCCAACTTCACTGTTAAATCATTAGGAAATATCTGGACAAATATTTATATTGGCTTGCGGTGATGTTGACGTCCCATCACAATTAAATGTTGGGTTATGCATGCTGAATTTCTATCACTACCCATCAAGCAGTGGCTGAGGTTTACAGTGAGATGAATCAACCAGTGGTGCTTGCTTTATCAAGGGAAAACAGAGCAAGAAGTAGACACACAAAACACAGACTGGGTGCTAAGATCCACAATCCTCCCAGATCTGGTGTTGAGTTTTGTGATTCTCCATTGACAAAAATGTGACTTAATCTATCGGCTATTTCTGTTGTAACACAAAAAATAACAGAGCATCATCTTTCTTTTTCTTCCAGAGAGCTGGGGGATTATGTAATGGGTTAGTCTGTTGTGGTTGCCGACAGCGGTTGAGTTGGATTGTCTCCACAGCAGCAGGGCCTTCTGATTCTCGACCATCCAGTCCCCGATCAACTCAGCAATTGCTGTGCAAGCCTACATAAGCCAACCAGACTCAGGAAGACCGGCGCATACAATAGCCAAGCACGAATCAGTAGGAGCCAACTCGAGCGACCGAGAATCAAGATCTCAAGAAACCGTCAGTAATCCACAACCACTCCCTATCAAGCTCAATCTGTAGCAGTTGACTAACATTTCTTACCTATCCCAGCTCACCTTTGCCAGCGGATGTCGGAGCATTCTGGGAAGATGGATCCTCCATCTGCCGGGCCATCCCGGGATCAGAAAGAGACAACTGGTCATCTATTCGTCGAGTCGCTTCAGGATGAAGAGCCCGCCGACGGTTTCCAATTTGACGACCGATTGAATCATCCAAGCTCGCCTGAGCCGTCCGAACCCCATGAAAGCCAGGATCTCCCAATTTATGACGACCCAACCGGATCCATGTTTTCGGGCCCTGTTGCAGAAGTGACCCCGAGTAGTGTGACGGCTATGCACTTGGATAGTCGGTTTGACTCAAGGTCGTGTCGGAGCACTCGTAGTCGCAAGCAAGGGACTTCTATCCGTGAATCTCGTCCCTCAAGTCGAAGGAAGCCATCTGTCGGAAGTCGATCTGTACGGAGCCATGCACCAAGCAAATCTAATCGATCCCGCCGAGCACACGATGATCGCAAGAGTGAGGCAGGCGTTAGCGTGTCATCTTCCCGTCGTCGACCCGAGTTGTCTAAAACCAGAACTCAAGATTCAGCCCCAATGACTCCCTCGGAAGAGCCAGAGTCCGGATTTTTCAACAACTTATCAGCATTTCTCAAGGGGAAGGGTCGATCACATAGTAGAGACTCTCGCGCAAGTTCTAATCGTGAAAACTATCATTACCACTCTGTCAACGACAAACGCAGACGCCAATCTCTGAGTAGATCCATCCGATCTGCCAAAAGCTCAGCCTGGCGTAGCCTCAAATCAAATCGATCCAAATCGAGGTCAGCTGCAACAAACACGTGTCATGAATCAGATGATGGCTGGCCTGACGAGACTGATAGCCTTGATTGCTCATCTTCGGCTTCCTCAAACTCAACTTCAACATCTAATTCGGATCCTTCATCGTCGGAATCTTCCCTACTCAATAGAAGAACAGACGGCCCAAATGATCATCGTATCGAGGTTATCCCGCTCACTTATCCCCTTCCGGGCTCCAAATCACATGGTTGGCACCCCTCAGACATCGAAATGACCAAGGCACAACGTCTATCAACCCAATCGGTATATATAATCGAAGATGACCTCCAGGTGCAGTTCCTCGGCTGGAAATCTGTTGGTTGGAGAGTCGCTCTCTGGTGGATAGGATGCGCCATGTCAGCTGGTATACTATGGCTGGTAGGACGTTGGAAAGTGGCTTGGAGATTGAAGATGGGAATCCTCGAACCGTTCAATCAAGCCTCCCATGTTGTGGCCTACACCGAATATGGCCAGCCGGACATAATTGATCTTCAAACCCTCACTTTCAATCAGCCGATCAAGCTATCCACGCTTTGTCCTCCGAGTTTGCGCGTCCCCCCATCCACCAAAGACGAGCCCTTGATTCCTTCTAATGATGATGGAGGCGCTCCACCTTCGTACCCCAATCCAACTCCCCCAGCACCTGAGGTGGGCATTAACAGGCCGCTATCCGAGCTACTACTAACAGAGATTCATTATATCGACTTTCGCTACCATCGCTTTTTGCTGCATCCTATCACTCAAGCATTCATGAGGGCTCGTGACTGGCAGGATCCTGCATGGTCGACATCTGTAGCCAATCTTGCTGCGGGATTGGATCAACAGGAAAGCCTTCACCGCACCCAACTTTTTGGCAATAATATCATAGAAGTCGTTGGTAAAAGTACATCACAGCTTTTGATGGACGAAGTAAGCCTGATTATCATTTTCTTGCCAGCGGGTCTTCATCCATGTCAGTTTCTCTGACTCAACTTTTTGCCGTTCTAGGTTCTCCATCCGTTTTATATCTTTCAGATTGCATCGATTATATTATGGTCAGTTGATGACTATTACTGTAGGTTGCATCTCTCTTTCATAACCCATCATTCTTGAGCTAACATCTTCGCATGTTAGATTATGCATTTTGCATCGCGTTGATTAGTGTGGTCAGCGTACTATCCACTTTAATGGATATGAAAAGGGTCAGTTTTGGTTTGTTGTATGCTTGAAATCACAAGTCCTTGATCATTTTTCTGCTACATCTTTTCTAGACACTGGCTCGCATGCGTGAGCTGTCCAGATTTACTTGTGAAATCAAGGTACTACGTGGTACAAGTTGTAGGTGATTCCATTTTCATATCTCTGGCATATTTTGACGTTTGCCCGCCAGTTAACCCACACCATCCTCATCCGTTCAAAGGGCAATCTGCCGATTCAACCGAGCTAGTTCCTGGCGACGTCATTGACGTATCCGAGCCCAGCCTTCACACCTTTCCAGCCGATTTCCTACTACTCTCAGGCGATGCTATCGTCAATGAATCAATGCTGACCGGCGAATCTGTGCCAGTATCCAAGTTTGCACTGCCCAGCTCCAACTTGAACTTAATGGCTTCACTGAATGGCGACCCCTCTCCTGCACTTGCGAAGCACATCTTATTCTGTGGGACTAATATCATTCGAATTCGTAAGGCAAATCAATTGGCTAGGTCGAAAGGCTCGGTTCCTGAAAATGCCGCCTTGGCTATGGTCATCAGGACTGGGTTCAGTACCACGAAAGGCGCTTTGGTCCGATCGATGCTGTTTCCCAAACCCATGGACTTTGCCTTTTACCGGGACTCTTTTCGATTCATTGGTGCCTTGGCCCTCATCGCTAGCTTTGGGTTCATAGGAAGTTCGATAAATTTCTTGAGAATGGGAATCGACTGGGGTACGATAATGGTTCGGGCGCTTGACCTGATCACCATCGTCGTCCCACCCGCACTACCAGCCACTATGTCGATCGGCACTACATTTGCTATGTCTCGCTTACGCAAAAGAAACATCTTTTGCATATCTCCTAATCGTGTTAACATTGGAGGGAAAATCAATTTGGTGTGCTTTGACAAGACGGGGACGTTGACCGAAGAAGGGCTTGATATCCTTGGCGTAAGGACAGTCGATAGATCGGACGGAAACTTTAGTGAACTTTACGACGAGATCGATAATGTTCCTGTGATTGGTTCTGAAGACCTCAAGACACCCTTGGTACACGCCCTTGCAGCATGTCATGGATTGAAAGCGGTGAACGGACAGATCATAGGGGATCCGTTGGATTTGCGCATGTTCGAATTCACAGGCTGGTCAATGGAAGAGGCTGGTGACAGTTTAGGTCCTAGTAATCCACCAGATCAAGATCAAGCTTTGCTGTCTGCACAACCTCATAGTACATCCCTCTTTTCTTTATTCCACTAGCTAGCATATCGATCGGTACTTATTGACTTATATCCCTTTCAGAAACCCCCAAAATGATTGAGCGACAAGCCGCCTTAGTCCAAACAATTGTACGACCTCCAGGCGGCTCCACATTCGAGGTAGAGGACGCTTTAAAATCTACTCGGTTTCTAGAATTAGGAATCATTCGAACGTTTGATTTTGCATCCGAGTTGAGGAGGATGAGTGTACTAGTCAAGAAACTCAAATCTTCGACAATCGAGGCCTACGTCAAAGGCGCCCCTGAAGCGATGGTCGAAATATGCATGAAAGAGACGCGTGAGTTGAGTTTGTCTCAGAATTATAAATATTCATCACACCTCTAATAAAACCTCGTATTCTACAGTTCCGGCAGATTACGAGGAGTTTTTGAATTATTACACTCGGCATGGTTACCGGGTGATTGCTGTGGCAGCTAAATCTTTCCCGAAACTCTCGTGGATCAAAGCCCAGCGCCTGACAAGATCGCAGGTTGAATCTGAACTTCGATTCATCGGATTCGTTATATTTGAAAACAAATTAAAACTAGGGACTGAGCCTGCAATTCAAATATTAAAGAGTGCACACATTGGTGTACGGATGTGTACTGGGGATAACATCCGCACTGCTATCAGTGTCGGTCGAGATTGTGGTATGATAGAAGAGTCTATGCGGGTTTATCTTCCAACCTTTACTTCAGGTACCTGTTTTTCCTTCATTGGATCTTCGCCGACCGTAACGTTGATCAAAGTTAACTGTCTTTCCCAGGTTCATCAAGTCTTGCGGATTCAACCATCGCATGGTTTGACATCGACAATGAATCCGCTCTCCTCGACTCTTACTCCCTCATGGTCAGACTCAGCAATCCACCATTTGTAATCATCTTATTCATGCTCATCACGTCGGGGTTTTTTTTCCTTTTCCTGGATTTATAGCCTCTTCCGAACGAAAGCGATGAAGGTGATGCGGGGTCCATGGTTTCTAGTGCCACGACTGTCAGGTCCGAGGATTACGTGCTTGCTGTCAGCGGGGACGTTTTTCGTTGGATCATGGACTATGGTTCCCTCGAAACCATTGAACGAGTTCGTGTCTCTCAACTTGCAGAATCCTGTATTCGAGTGCTTATTGTCGAGTGTAACCATTGTAGATGCTTTACAAAGGTGTCATATTTGCCCGTATGTCGCCGGACGAAAAGCACGAATTGGTGGAACAGCTACAAGGCTTAGACTATACCGTTGGATTTTGCGGGGATGGGGCGAATGATTGCGGTGCTTTGAAAGCTGCAGATGTTGGTCTATCGTTGTCGGAAGCCGAAGCCTCGGTGGCTGCTCCATTTACCAGCCGACAGCCTGAGATTACCTGCTTTATTGAACTCATAAGAGAGGGTCGATGCGCGCTGGTCACCAGTTTCTCATGCTTTAAATACATGGCCCTTTACAGCCTCATCCAGTTCACAACAATCACTCTACTGTACAGTCTACCTTCATCACTGGGGGACTTTCAGGTAAGTTTTTTTTACTCTCAATTGCGTTCAAGTTTCGTTTTCCAAAACTAATACGCTATTTTGCGATGTCCAGTTTCTCTACATCGATTTATTCATAATCATCCCGGTTGCCATTACAATGGGAAGAACGCACCCGTATGGCAGAATAGCAGCCAAACGACCCACCGCCAACCTAGTATCCAAGAGAGTGCTCACTTCGCTTACTGGACAAGTTCTTATCAACTCTGTTATTCAGTTGCTGGTCTTCATGCGAGTCGCTTCCCAGCACGAACCAATCCAAGTTCCGGCCAACGGCGAAAAATTACCAACTACCAATCAGGAAAATTCAGCGCTCTTCCTGGTCTCGATCTTCCAATACATCTTGGTCGCAGCCACTTTTTCAGTCGGACCTCCGTACCGAAAGCCAATCTTCTCCAACTGTTAGTCCACATGCGACTGTCATTGCACTGACCACTCAAAGGTGGACTGACTACATTTACCTCTTTCCCGTAGACCTGCTTGTGTTGTGTCTATTGATTCTTGGCGGGTTTTCGCTCAACCTGCTCTTCATCGACTCAGGTTTTCTTTTCAACTTACTCGAACTGGTATCGTTGGACTATGCGCTCCGATTAGAGTTGCTTCTCTGGATCACGTTTAACATCTTTTCCAGCTGGGTCTTTGAGAATTATGCTACTCAGCCCATCGCTCTGTGGGTCGGTGGCCAATCCAAGTTGTTACGCAAGAGGTGGAATATGTTGTTCGGTCTCGATGGCTCCTCCAAACGAGATCGTAAACGATACAAAATTATTGCCGATAGCATGGATACGCCGTAATTTCACTTTCCCTTCGGCTTTCACTCAAATATTATTGGCCTAGCTGGGCCTCCGAGCTTCTTGTCCGCATCTTAGTGCATGGTTACAATCTAATTTTCAGCGTCACAACACGCTCTGAGCGTCATGAGACCTTCAAACTCATCACACCTGTATCTAGTCACATTGTGTATCTAAGGAACCGCATCAATTGGTCCGGGACCATGGGTAGTTTAAAAAATCAAGGAGGGCAACGCGCGTCGACTTCGCAAGCTGGATCTCAATTGCATCATGTAGACATTTCGAAGGGAAATCGCACAAACACTGAGGCATGGAGAGAATGTGCATAATATTTCCGGTTAGAATCAAAGTGTCGTATAGTCTGACAAATCTGATTTTCCTTAGTTCTATTGGTGCGCCGAGTTTTCCCTATGATTTTGTTTGGCTCAGTTTTTAATGAGAAGAGTGATATTAAAACATGAAGCGGATAACGAGCGGGCTGGCTCCAGCTACATGAACTGGTGCAACACCTTCAACATGAGTGGCAGAAAGGAGCGGGACGAATGGGGGTTGATAAAATCGGGCCTGGGGAGGGTATCAGTGTGACGCGGTGGGTGAGATCAATACCTGTGATATTCATGCCCTATGAGGTATAGTCAGTGTCAGTTTAAGGCCATGCCATACTCCCCATTGGGACCACTTGTAGGAGATCAAATCTTGAGTTAGAATAGGACAACTGACATTTTAAAGGATAAAGCATCTGATGCAGTCTGCTGCTGGCCGGCGAGGCTGGATGACAAATCACCGGAGCGGATTGGTGCGTTAATTGCTGTCTTATGGGTTCACATTTTGAAGTGACTACATACTTGTAAGAAATGTCGATGTCCAAATCACGATGATTTTTTGCATTTGGACGGACCGCAAGTGTCCCCTCGATTTTATCGCCTTTGACAACGGTCAGTGTGTCCTTCAGGTAAAAGACGGTTTGTTTCCCTGCAAGCAACGTCGTTGAGCGGGTTGAACGTTCGCGCGTAAGGAAAGGTTTGACTCACAGTGGGTATATTTGGCGTGGGGCCCGGTGGAAAAGGAGACTGGCTTGTGGCAAGCCCTGAATGATACATCAAACCATCCAAGCAGTGCATGGACGTCTAGGAGTTCACAAAAGACGCGTAGGATGGTCAGTGAGTCCAGAAAAAAAAAAGAATGCTATAAAATAGAAATGGAACAAACAATCTTGACGAGTGGCTTCAAGGGAAAATGGGGCTTCGAATGCCAAATCCTCCTTGGTCACAGTAAGCAAATCGAAGGTCCGAACAGCACAGGGATTGGTAGTCACCGCTCTCAGTTCAACGGTGTCAACCAAGGGTTCCCGTAGAGCAATCTCCTTGATACACGAGTAGTCAAATCCATAGACATCATCCCAAACTTATCAACCCAGGAGAACGAGAGTGTATTGATGAGATGACGATCATACATTCGGCTGCAGAATGAATAAAAAGCCAAGGACATACAGTTAATTTTTTCTTCCTTGTAATCCTGATCCTCCAAGCCAGCCATGAACAATGTTGCCGAGTCGGGGAACATCAAACCACCGGGTTTCTATATGGCATGAATAAGTTGTGTGCTCAGTGTCAATTGTAATGCGAATCAGGGGAATATGACAAACCAGGTATCGGTCTCGAGCCAACAGGACAGTGTCCAACATGGACTCATACAGCCTGTTGATAATTCAACTTTACAATCGTCAGAATTGTACTCGTTAATTAGTATTGGTCAGTTGAATGTTTGGCTGACAAGAAGTAACCCATCCACTCGGAAATAATGATATCGACCTTGTCGACTGGTAATTCGACATCCTCCAGTTTACCCTTGATCAAGACAATAGCTGTGAAAGAGCAGAGTGGATTGCGTTAATTCTCCTGACGAAAGAATGAAGACAAAAAGTTGATAATGTTGACGAACTATCTTCGAATCCATTAGCCTTGACGATTTTCTTGGCTTGATCGATAATGCCTGACATATCAATCTATAGTGATGGAGGTGTAATCAAAAATCGATCAAAAAAACTTGGGAATAAAAGGGGGATATGTTAAAGACTGAGTACAAACTCCGATGACTTGCTTGGCTCCAGCTTTGGCAGCAAACATGCACAAGATTCCAGTCCCACAGCCGACATCCAGTACGACCTTGTCCCTAAAAGCGAATAAAAATGACGGAAAAATTAAGGAGACGTCAGTCGACTGATGTAAAAGGCGAGACCTAGAAAACCCAGCTCAACTTGAACAGATGTTGGTTCCAGATCATCGAGTTGCGATAACTCAGCGTTCGGACCTCATCTTTCAACATCTCTTCGTGAATTCCAAAGTGGGCGTAACTGTCTGAGTAGTAATCTTTTGAGGTTAATGATTCTGCCTAGATTGACATAAAGGATGGATCAGAAGATGGTCAGCAGTCGTCTCCTTGTCTCGTAGGGTTGTTTGAGTTGGGATTTCCATTGTATTGAATTTTTTTGTAAGAGTATCGGCCAGATCGAATCACCCACCGTTTTAAGCTCTGAGGAGGACTGTCCGCCGTTAGCTTGTGCCATTTCGAATTGGTAGGTGGGTATGGATGGGTTGGTGGTCGGGAGCGAAGGGCAGATGGGGTTTGGCGTGGGTTTTGGGATGGTGTTGGGTCTTGCTTTTGTGAATGTGTGGATCTACTAAGCAAGGGTCCGGTATCCGACAGGGTCCACCCCGACCCACAAGCCAAACACACTTTGCATATTCATCCTGGGATTGCAGACCCACTGGGTCCCACAGCGCCACTCCTCCTTCTCAAACTCTCGGTGCCAGGCAGAAAGAATGTGGTGCTCAGTGAATCAAAGATTGTAGTCTTGGGCACAGAGTCATGGTAGCTGAACAGACGAAACTGGCAACTAGAGCCAATGAGCAGTTCTTACATACATGTTATAGATTTTATGCATAACAGTTATCTTTTTTAAAAAAGAAGTTTCAAGCCCTTCTAAGCTCTATTGAATCTTCTTGGTAAAATTCATATTTTACTGAAGGGTTAAAGTGAAAATGTACTTTGAGTGATCACTTGAAAATTCCAGGGACATGCCCTTATAATTTCTTTTGCAACACCATACCCCACAGTGAACTGTTCTATTGTAACCATTAACCTTGCCATTGATTTAGGTTCTGAATTAATCAATGCAGTACTCCATCCCAGCACAAACCGTCTGATCTAGCTGGCTGCAGGGGTGATTGATGGCAAGCCAACCTTACATAGCAAGAAGCTGGAGGACATGACACGGTGCCTCGTCCTCCAAGTGGCTTCGTTCTTGGAAGGCAGGATCGCGAGAATGCATATGCCGGGGGGCTGCTCATTGACCCACATATGCAATTTGACAAGCCCTCCTTGTGATTTTCTCCAGGGGGGTCAAGCCGGACCAGGTGAGACTGATGTGCTTGGCTTGGACACCACCGGAAGCTGAACAGACATCATCCACCTTCAGAAGAATGCAAGGACCATCGCAACCCACCTCAAGCCGCAAGAGGCTTGATCCAAGGATCCAATCCCTCATCAAGAACTGCGTCAAAACAAACCACCGATCATTCTTCATCGTACTGGGCGATAAAGCAGTCGACCAGGTCGTCAACCTCCACTTCCTCCTCTCTCAATCACGCCACACCGCCAGGCCCAACGTACTATGGTGCTACAAGAAAGAACTAGGATTTACCTCCAATCGCAAGAAGCGAGAACAGAAAATCAAGAGAGAAGTCAAGAAAGGTCACAGGGAGGTGGGTGATATGGACCCATTCGAGTTGTTTGTTAGTCTAACCGACATCCGATACACGTACGTCCCCGCTCATTTATCAATTCTATTTATCAGTTTTCATCAAGACTCACATATTATATTTTTGTGGTCATCATCAGATATTATAAAGAAACCGAGAAGATCCTAGGTCAAACTTTTGGCATGCTCGTCCTTCAAGACTTCGAGGCTTTGACACCGAATCTACTCGCTCGCACCATCGAAACCGTCACCGGGGGTGGGATCGTCGTCCTTCTATTGAACACCATGAAGTCTCTCAGGCAACTCTACACGCTCTCAATGGATGTCCACGAAAGATATCGTACCGAGGCTTACGGCGATCTGTCGGGAAGATTCAACGAAAGATTCTTGCTTTCCCTAGGTCCTTTCCAACAGTGTCTGGTACTCGATGACGAACTGAACGTGTTGCCCATCAGCGCTGGGAAGGATGTAAAATTACTGGAAGATGTCGATCAGAATCAACTCTCCAACACCAAAGGGAAAACCCGCCAGCTCGAATTAGAGGAAATCAAACGTGAATTAGTCGAAACAAAACCAATCGGTGATGTCATCCAACTGGCTCGTACGGTTGATCAAGCAAAGACTTTAATGGAATTCACTTCATCCATCACCGAAAAAACACTGTCATCCACTGTCACCCTAACAGCCTCACGAGGTCGTGGCAAATCAGCAGCACTCGGAATGGCAATTGCCGTTGCCGTCGCCCACTCATACTCAAATATATTTGTCACTTCTCCATCTCCTGAAAACTTGAAAACTCTCTTCGAATTTATTTTCAAAAGTCTAACAGCCCTTGGTTATGAAGAGCATCTCGATTACAACGTTCATCAATCATCTAATCCGGAGTGGAAAAATTGTATCGTCCGTGTAGATATCTTCCGCAACCATCGACAAACAATTCAATATATTCAGCCTCAAGACTATAAGGTTTTAGGACAAGCTGAATTGGTGGTGATCGACGAGGCAGCAGCGATACCGATCCGGCTTGTCAAAAATCTCATCGGTCCCTATCTAGTCTTCATGGCTTCTACTATCAATGGTTATGAAGGCACTGGCCGCTCGCTGTCCCTCAAGCTTATTGCTCAACTGCGAGAGCTGTCAAAAAAATCTGTCGTAAATTCGGCCGCTAAATCGCACAATGACTCATCATCGACAAAAGACGCAAGCGCCACCACTGCTGTAACCTATCAAAAACCAAGCCTATCCCGAAGCTTGAAAGAGCTCAAGCTGGATGAGCCCATCCGGTATGCTGAAGGTGACGGTGTTGAGAAGTGGTTGAACGGATTGCTTTGTCTTGACGTTCAAACTTCTTCGAGCAATCGAAGCCTTCAAGGCTGTCCACATCCCAGCAAATGCGATCTATATTTTGTGAATCGAGATACTTTATTCAGTTATCATCCTGCCTCGGAGGTTTTTCTGCGTCGGATGATGTCGCTCTATGTAGCTAGTCATTACAAAAATTCGCCAAACGACTTACAGCTAATGAGCGATTCTCCCTCTCAGCAACTTTATGTTTTACTGCCGCCCATCGCAGACGGGGACAACGGTAGTCTGCCGGAGCCGCTGGTGGTCATTCAAGTGGCATTGGAGGGCAAGATCTCTAAACCTAGCGTCATGGCCAGTCTTAGCCGAGGTATCAAGGCTTCTGGCGATCTAATCCCGTGGACGATCTCACAGCAATTTCAAGATGAGGACTTTCCCACTCTTTCTGGAGCTCGAATAGTGAGGATCGCCACTCACCCCGATTACTGTCGGATGGGCTACGGCACGCGAGCGATCCAAATTTTAACATCTTATTTCAATGGCCAGCTGGTCAGCCTCAGCGAAGAATCGGTCAAGGAGCCTACAAAATCCAACCATTCAAGAGGGGAAGCAGCAACAGAAAAAGATGGAAATCTAATCAGCATGCGAGACATAAATGAGCTTCCAGCACTCTTGCAAAGGCTCAGTGATCGACCACCCGAGCCCATCGAATACTTAGGAGTCAGTTACGGATTGACGCCCAACTTACTAAAGTTTTGGAAGCAACTGGGCTTCTTACCGGTTTATATTCGACAAACCGAAAATGAATTGACGGGCGAGCACACATCCGTGATGATTCGAAGTTTAAGCAAAGAAGAATCTGAGAGGCCTTACCACCCTGAAGATTGGCTCACTGCCTTTGCTCTTGGTAAGTGTTTCTAATCTGGGATGGACTAAGTAATGAAAAATTGATCAAGCTCTCCCGACACGGTTAGATTTCCGCAAACGGTTTCTTACTCTACTTTCATACAAGTTTCGTGCTTTCCCTTCGATTGCCAGCTTAACAGTCCTAGAAGCCGCAAACGCAGGCGAGCTGGTCGAAAGACAAGAAAATTGTTCGTATTTCTTTGCACGTGCGATGGCCGCGTTTGCACTCAAAGGCGTTGAAAAAAAATACATGACTGACATCTTTGCTCTCGCTTATCTGACATAGTGCTCAGCGGAGAACAAATATCTCGGTACTTCTCCCCGTTTGATTTAAAACGGCTCCAAAGTTACTCCAACAATATGCTTGATTATCACGTTATCCTCGATTTACTGCCTAGCTTGACTGAGCTTTACTTTGGTGGGAAATTTAACGCTGAAACTCGATTGACAGGTGTCCAAAGTTCAATTTTGTTAAGCTTAGGTTTGCAGAGAAAGTCCGTTGAGGAAATCGAAGTACGTTTTCCTTCCCTTTTTTTTATCATTTGTGAGATCACATATGGCCAAATAGCTCACTGCCTTTTTGGATCCAAACTTGGCAGAGCGAGATCAAGCTACCTGTCTCTCAAACACTTGCATTATTTGTGAAAGTGATTCGCAAGCTGACGAAGGCCATCCAAGAGCTTCAAAAAGCCAAATTTTCTTCCCAGTTGACTAAGACTATCGAACATACTCACTCCACAAGCGCCACATCAGAGCCCCAATCAAGTGAAAAACTTTCCACTGTGTCACTCAAGAAAACCTCAGAGGCCAAAGCAAACGGGAACTTGCCGCAGGTTCCCGAAAGATTGAAAGAACAGCAACGAGAGTTGATTGACAGTCTCGATTTGAATCAGTGAATATGTCTGATCGCATGTCTCTTCTTCTTATTTCTTATTAAACTGTATATGGTGGCACTGACTCGAGGTATTTGATCGCCATAATAGATACGCGGTAGGCGGAGATGAATCGGAATGGGAGCAAGCTGAACAGAAAATTGGCGAAACCTTGGTAGGAGATGCTGACAAGTCAATGACCGTCAGCCTGGCCAATCCGAATTCCAGTAAAAAATTGCTGAAACGCAAAGTCGAAGAGAGCCAACCGGTCAAAGGCGGTAAAGATAAGAAGAAGAAGACAAAAAAACACAAACCCACTTCGTAAAAGTGTTTAAAAGTGTTTTGAATTCTCTCCTCTCTCTCCCCCTCGGCTTGTTGAGTTCGGAAACGCAGTTTTTTCGCTTCATTTTATGAGACCCTCATTGCTTTTTTATTGCTTCATACTCATTGTTACCACGACTTCTCAGAGGTTCCTGTCATCGGGATCTCTTCATAGCTGCAAAGAATATTTAACCATCGGCACGCCATTTTCTGATTAAGATTTAAGATCAAGCAATAGAACTTTTCAAATTCATGGTGTTTTTTCTCCACCTGCAGATTTGCATGGTGATTGATATTGTGATCATGATGAACGAAGCACCTCAGATCCTCAATCCACCCGCACGCCCCAAGGGAGCAATGTTACTTTTCTGATGAAAATGTAACTCGTGCGTTGACCCCGAGTCTGTCTTCAGTATAGTGTATTAAGCTTTAAGCCATAGCCCCTAACTCCCTACCTTAACGCCCCTCAACTTCCACACTGCTGTACAAAGCCATGAACTAGAATAAGTGCATAAATGGGTGGTTTCTGGACTCGAGCCCGCAGGGGCTCTTCTTTCGTTTACAATCATAGCACTAGACATTACGATCATTGAGGAGGGTTGAGGAGATGAAAAAAGTTGGAAAGATTAGGCTATTATGAATGTGACTGTGGAACAAACAAATTGCGCCTTTTGGGCCATTAAAGTTGAGGATATATGTATGGACTCAAGTCCTAAACAATCTTTGCAATCTTAGGGTTACGTGGGCTGCGCGAACAAGCGCTTCTAGAGTGATCAAATTTTGGGATCGACTTGTAAAGGGCGTTCGATTTGCTCTTGGCGAGCTGAAACTCTTTGCGGGAGCGGTAGGACTTTGCTTTTTTATGCCTATGGATTTTCTGATGAAGTTTTCCAAGTCGTTTATATCTATCTTTGTCGTCTTTCCCCTTGTTTGCCTTGTGGGCATCGTGTGGCTGGTCAGTGCCCGTGGTGGGGACTTCCTCTTGCTGATCCGCATAATCGATCACCTCGTCCTCATCGTCATCTTCTTCGTCCTCGCCGCTTTCATCATCCACGCGCGAAATTGTAAAAATAGGACTTTGTGCAAGGATGGCACCGCCTTCCTATGAAAGCACAGAAAGTACACAGAGAAAGCTTCAGTCACAATGTGAAGGACACGGTTTATACTCCAAGAAAAAGGTTAACCCACTAGACTCATGATATTGATTTGGTAACCCCTGCCTTCCTTGAGTCCTTTTAAGGCCGAAGCAGGTAATTCATATTTGCCCCATTTTTTGCGTATACCTTTTGCGACCAGCGTGCTCAGCGCCGAGGGGTAGGTACTGAAGTAATGGGTTTGCGATCAGTTCCTCTGGTGCAACATACGTCTCGCTCAGCTGTGACTTACCTGGGATCGTGGTTTGTTATTGCAACTGAGAAACGTACGGGATCAGTACTGACACTTGACCATCTTAACACCTTCTTGCTCCCGAAACTAGAAAAAATAATGCATTTGTCTTGAGACTCTATACTCAGGACTAATGAAACGAAAACGAAACTTCGATTCAGATACTCAACTACCAAAAGTCATTCGCCACCGGCGAAGTTATGAAATACGCGTCCGCGGAACGGAATGGTGTGAGTACGCCGATGAGGATAACGACTACTAATGTAAGGCTAGATGTAAGCCTTAGCAGGAAACTATCTTGTACCATTGTAAGAGTTTTCCACTGGTGCGATAATGTTTGATTTCTGACGCAGCCAAGCTTGATCTGGTTATCACACTTTTTAGGTGGTGTTCGTCAAGAAGCTGTTGATCAGACATAGACGGACCTTGAGAGCTCATTTTATAACTTGACACATAGAGTAAGTTTGTCATTTTCACCTAACGTCGGCGATGCCTACGAAATTTCAGGTTGTCCATAGACGGAATCTTTGCTGCCAATCCTAGTCATTCGTTGCGCCGGCTGGCATATTTCTTCCGAAGAAAAACGCTTGACACCGGTCGATGACTCAACAATGATTTCACATCAATGCATCGGTTTATCAGTTTGTAAAGCAAAGAAAGTAAGGAGGGTTTGCGTGTGAGAAATCTTCCTCCATATATCCGATAGATAAAAACACATCCCCTATGGTCGAGTGGTTAGGATTGATTAGGAATCGGATTGATTCCAATCGAATTCGAATGCACATCATCCGCCCAGGTAGCTCAAGTGCCCGCCGGCGTCACGGGGTACATAAGCGATACATACACTGAATAAGTCGGCATATAGCTGGATAAGCTAGTACGAGCCATCTTGTGGGTTTCTCGGACTCGGAGATTCATTAGCAGTTGGTCTACCGAGTTGAAAAATGCCCACAGAAGTATATCTTTCACTCGGCATCTTAACCAAGTGAAACCAACGAAGTGACTATCCGCTCGATTCTAACATTGGCCAAGCGTCCATCAGAGGTCTTCTGCGTTGTATAACCATTCGGCCGACCATGAATCTCTTACATGAGACTAACCGAGCTCATCCAACTTGATGGGCAAGCGAAGCGTTTTCCGCCCAGACGCGCCGCGCGAGGGGCTTTGTTAAGCTACATAGACGACCAGTATGGATGCGCACTCTACACATGTGAGGGCGGCATCGCCCGGACTATATTTGTCCTCTGGTAAGACGATCAAAGGCTACACGGAGTGTATTTGTCGGATTGCGATGCTTGATCTGGCTCGTGATGCTCGAGTGATTGCATAGTTTCTCATGGAAGTTCTCAAGGGGCACATTTGACGAACGCTCTGTGTGCTTCACGACACGAGTGTGAATTGCGAAGAGAAGGGACTTGTCATTGGTTATGGGCAAATATATCTGGCGACAGTAGTATGAAAAATAAAAAAAAGCAGCTGTAACATCTTCTTCAACAAAAACATGAGACATAGGTTCCCGCAGGGATGAAGGTCAGGAAAGTCTTATTACTCAACAACAAGACTGATTTCCCAAGCAGAGCAACATTTCTCCTTGAATGGAAATAACAATTTCCATGGGAGCTTTGAAACAATAAATGAAGAAAAATGAAAACCAAGTCCCAACGCCTGAACCGATCACAGAAGGACCTGCAACTTCAGGCATTTCCATGTTTCGATTTCGAGGGAGAGTGCAATGATTTTCGGTGCCGCGATTTAGAAGGCTTGTGCAATGATCTTCGACGACGAGATTCTGAATACAAGGTCGGACCTGGTAGAGTCGACGAAGGCCCCAAGTTTCCGTCGTGATAACCCTCCGGGAATTTGATCGAAGGTGCGTTGTTTGCTGATGCCTGATGATCGGATTCGATATAGAGTTGACCACATGACGGGTAGTACTGGTCCTGAAGGCCTTCGCTTTGAACCGATTCACCCCAGGTGATTCTATGGACAAGCCCAGGCCATACTTGGATCAGCGGCAGGTTGAAAAACAAGCAGATTGGGATTATAGCTTACATCTCGAATCGAAAGATATAGCTGCCCGAGGCAAGGTCCTTCGGGATAGGGACGTCCCACACATCACCACCCAACTGGGAAGAATAATGCTTGCGCAACTGTGTCACGCCGTCCTTGACTTCTTGGATCTTGAAGTAGGAGGCAGTTGATGCATCAAAGGACTGGCATGCAGTGGGGGATGGACCGCATTTGCCGAGATACGCCAGAATGTGACCGTGATAATGAGGATATCTTTTGAACAGGCAACAATGATCAAAACTATGGAAAACCATGGAAGGACTCGAATCCACAGGAGATGGAAAGCTCTTACCCTCGACCAGTATCGCCCTGCAGAACCAGAGATACTTTTCCCCCAGCTTGAACTTTCAACGTTTTGCCCGCCGATTCGTCGGCGTCCGAAAAGAATTTGCCTCCGGATGGGGCTACGTAGCCCTTCGGCGTGTGCGAAGCCCCACACACGATGGCCTTGTTGGCAGTCAGAAACTTGCTGCCGACCCATCCAATGCTGTCCGAGGCTCGACGATATGCGGTGTTTTCCAACTTCCATTCCTTCTGACCAGGTTGCCAGTCTGAATCGGACGTAGTCTTCCAGTGTTTAACGAAAACATGACCCGAGACTGGGGCCAAAAATAAAGCAAAAAGGCTGAGTAATATGATGCACGAGCGGGTGACAGAAGAAGCCATGACAAGGGAGTTGGTTGACTGATGGGAATAATGGGAGTAATGATGTGTTGTATCCGAAGTGGGATGGATGATGGCTAAGAATGAAAGTGAAGAAGGCTGGATGGGGGTGAAAGACCAAGACACCAGCGCTCTCGAGTTGTTGGGGAGCAGGCAAGAATCTAACTGGAGACTATGTAGAACAGGTTCAAACTCCAAGAGGTGACGGACTAGCGAAAGTAATGGTGCAACAGGGCTAGAGTCAAGAATGGTCTGCTGATTCTCTCCGCGTGCTTGTTCCACGCCCTCCGTGCCGAAATAGATGACTTCTTTAAGTGATGGTCATCACAATCGCTGTTATCGCTCAAAATTTGTAGGGGGGAGCGGGCAAGACAGCACAAGACTGAGCATTTGGCCTCAAATTGTCAAATTCATCAACCAGTGGTGACAATATTGGTTTACGATGTCAGTCGAATGCCGTCGGTTGTTCAACAGTGTTCAACCGAGCTGTTAAAAAATGGCTGACAAGTCCCAACTATATCGAGCACTGTCAAAAGTATTTGTCCGCCGTGACCTGCCATATGACCCAGCGCCATTCATTGCCTGTCACGGCGTTCAAATCCGGTGCGAAAAGTATAAATTTACATCAATGATCGATGTTCACAGGAAGGAAGGTGAGGCATTTGTTTACCTGCATTTATTTCAAAGGCTGCTTCAGAAAACTTAGGTAACACAACTCCTGCCCAGTGGAGGACTTCCCGTGCGAACTGGAGCCCTCGCAGAAGTCGATCTAGACTGGAAAACTCTAGATTCTCGCAGGGGAATTTGGTTTTCGAGGCTCTAGATCGGTTCTGGGGGACTCGCAGATTCCGACGGGAAGTCCTCCAGTGCCCATGCTTCATGAGGATTTCTGGTACAGAAAAGAAAGCAGAAATTCTTGAAGATTTCTCTTTTTTGAATTCATCTCACTACAACTTGGCCCAATGTAATTTTGGCACAAACTGATTGCACTATGTCAAAGCATGGCTCTCTCTGCAAAATTTCTTCTGGTGAGCGCCCTTTGACCAGAATCAAGAAATTATATGTTTCAATCAACTTGCCACATTTAGACAAATTGATCAACCTCAAATGACAGGAAAACTGACAAGGAGTGGGCTGAGAGTCCTAAAACTTGCATGTGATAATGGGTTAGGTAGATTATTCTTGGATCCAAACACTATTTTTACACCCACTGTAATTATAAATTTCCCTTTCCATCTTTCTAGGACCCAGGAGAGTGTTTCCAGATGTTAGTAACAAAAATCAATATCAAAACCATGGGAGCAAACATTTTCAAAACAGTTATCCTGCTTTTCTTGCCAATTATGATTTGTAGTGACTTGAAAATACTAGTACATTATTTGCCTTACAAGCATACATGTCTGGTTGTGAGCCAATGTGGCTTGAAACATTCATACATTTTTGTTACTAAAATCTGGAAGCCCTCTCCAGGGTCCTATCTTTCTACAGATTGAATGGAGATAAGAGAAGAAAATAACACAAAAAACCCATGAGGCTGCTGCTATTGACAACCTGGTATTGAAATCCCCAATATGAGAGCAGTGATACAAACCCCAGGTTTTTCTATCCATACCCAGCCTGTGAATGTGCAGCGCATCCAGAAAACTATACTGACACTTGGCTTTCATTGTTTGGGGATTTTTTTGTATTTTTTCCCCTTCACTAGTGGTTTTCACTGGAGATCGTTTGTTTGTACAGTGCCTAGACAGTGAAAAATGGTGTCCCATTTTTTTTTTTTTTTGGAGGGCAAGGAGCCACTTTTCAAATCCAATTTTTTTGTCATAGGGGCACAGTGGTTCAGAAAAAAAGAATATAGAAACAAATTAATTACACAGGTAAACAAAAAAAGATAAAAATTGTTGAAAAAAAATCAAATTTTGTAGTTTTTTCAATATTGATGTAAAAAATACACAATTTTGAGAAGAAAGAAAGAAAGAAAGAAAGAAAGAAAGAAAGAAACTGTAGAAGGTTTTAGTTTGGATATACTCAGAACTAACCACTATGTTTTAAATCTAAGATCAAGGCTCTTTAAAGGGAAACCTATGTGGTTTTCTGGTTTACCACCAAACAATAAGATGAAGTATAGAATTGGTTAAGGTTAAGAAAGAGTGAATCAGAGAGAGAGAGATATGGTTGAAGAACCATGTGTGAGACTTAGAAAGGCAGAGCAACTTACAAAATCAATCAACAAGAAAGAGTACTAACTGTCAGTCCTAGAACAACCACATGGAGGTAAAACTGGGAGTTGGTATCCTTTCAACAAGTTAAGCGCCAAGTGGTAACAGGTTTGGTTGGTTTTTTGGTGGTTCTGGTTCAAATTGAGTCTAAAAACCTTGAAGATCCTGAAAATGTGAACTGAGGATCCTCTGACAGGATTGTTAGAGTTGGATTGTGCATTGATTACATTGTACAGTCTCCTCCCAGATGTCTATAGCCATCTGTTTTGAGCTCCACACCTGGAACACAAAAATTTCAAGTCACAAGAGTTGGTGGAATGGTGGAAAATGGGTCTCAAAGAATGAATATGGAAAAATAATAATGATAAACAAGATTTATATAAAATTTGTAAAAAGCAAAAAGGAGAAAATCACAAAAACTGACAGCTCTAATATTTCTTTCAGGAAAAGATGAAATATCCAAATTGATAGTATGAGATCTGGAATGAAAAATAAGAAGTGAAAATTTGGAAAAAAATTACTACTTGATGGTTTAAAAAGGGTGCCTAGGGGGTCATTCATCAATCAATGTGGCATTCTGGTACTGCAATCTACTGATTTTGACTGCACACAATGATGAAGCAATGTGATGTGATGTGATAAATGGCTATCTACATTGCATCGAAAAAGCAATGCATTGCATCAGCATTGTATTGGACAGCAATGCAAGCCAATGCCACCAAATTATAGTGCATCACATTGCATCACTTTGCTGATGCAATACTGAGGTGCTGTATCAAACAATCCAATGTAAGCAATGTGATGCGGGGCTCCACATTGCTCTTGTGATGTGATACGATAAAGGCCCAATGCAATATGATGCCTATGTGACATGTGCATCACATCAGTTATATTGTTGCTGCAGGGTGTCCACCCATGTCAGACACTGAGACACTAGCCCAGGTGTCTACAATAGAATGCAACCCCCTTGGGTTACATAATAAATATGATTCTATGTAATCTTTAAGTTAATAAGTATTGATTAATATTATTTATTATTATATGTATTTTTATGTTAATAATTATTCTGTAAATTAATAAAGATTAACCTCTTTATTAATTTAACTCTTCCATGAAAATTATAATCAAGTTGAAAAGGATAATTATCTCTTGGGTGCATCCAAGAGATGATTATCCTGTTTATCTCTCTTGTGTGAATATATATTCTGTTTATCTCTCTTATGTGTATTTTCTGAAATAAAGGATATTCATCACATGTACAGTGGGTGGACCGTTATTTTTGGCTGCTTGTTTTGGATTCCAGAGCTTCAAAGCACAAACTTGAAGTCACAAGAATTGGTGAAGTGGTGCAGAATAGGTCCCAAAGAATGAATATGAAAAAATAAAAACAAAAAACAAAGTTTCAAAATTTGTGAAAAATAAAAAATAAAATTTATTTTTCTCAAAAGCTTTGAAATTCATTTTGGGGGAGTGAGAGTGCTGAGAGAAAGGAAGATTGGGATGTTAGAAAAATGATTATAAATGAAAATTTTGCAAAAATTGGTTTCCAGATGGCTTCAAACAGCTGTTGAGTGGGGCATTCACCAGCCCACATTGCAGCCAAGCACTAGAATTTACTGTTTTGGCTCCAATCTGGACAACCAACCTGGCCAAACCTTTTTTGGTTCCAATTTTTTTCATTTATAATCATTCTTCCCATGTTCCACTCTTTCTTTCTCTCAGCACTCCCACTCCCCCAAAATCAATAACAAAGGTTTTGGAAAAAAACATTTTTATTTTTTATTTTTCACAAATTTTGAAACTTGATTTTTTGTTTTTATTTTTTCATATTCATTCTTTGGGACCTATTCTGCACCAATTCACCAAGTCTTGTGACTTGGAGTTTGTGCTTTGAAGCTGTAGAACCCAAAACAAGCAGCCAAAAATAACGGTCCACCCACTGTACATTTAACATGCTCTGAATATCCTGACACTTTCCCCCAAGGAATAGTGCACCAATAAGGGGACTGCACCAGTCCCAGCAGCAGTTTGACCCCTGCTCTGTAATATTTAAGAGGATGGCTCTCCACCTGAGAATCATCCCCCAGACAATTATTACCATACAAACCCAAGCACCTTACTAGATATTACATACTAATAAATAGTGAGTGGGGTTTTACAATAGTCTACAAAATTATTAGTTGCACTTTCCTCTATCCTCATTACTAGCCTTATAAGTTACTTATTAGGGGGTATCAAATATAACCAAATCCACCATTATTTAATTGACTGGTTTGAAAAAATCCACCTTTTTTTAAACATGTTGTTTATCCATTAGGGGGTATCAAATATAACCAAATCCACCATTAATTAATTGACTGGTTTGAAAAAATCCACCCTTTTTTAAACATGTTGGTTATCCTTTGAACCCCTTTTGGGGCCCATTTATGCAAAAAATAGTTTTTGGAAAAGTGACTGGTTTCTGATGGTGGATTTCCTATATTTGATACCCCCTATTTAAACCCTTTTGGGGCCTATTTATGCAAAAAAATGTTTTTGGAAAAGCAACTGGTTTCTGATGGTGGATTTCCTATATTTGATACCCCCTATTTAACTTATAAGACTAGTACAAACCCTTTTCTCTTAATTTAACTAAGCTCTGGCACTGTGAAGCTCATTCCACAGCTTTCCTTTATTTTTATAAGGATCCAGTCCCTCCACTGTACCAGTGTTGAGTTGGACTTCATTTCCACTGGCCCTCTTGGATATAGTGTGACCATTACCCATCAACTCCTAGTCACATAAGAGACAGGAGCTGACAACCCACCATGCTCAAACTTTTTTTGGATCAATATTTTTCATTTATAATCATTCTTTTAATGTTCCAAACTTGCACTCTGTGTGTTCACTTTGAACTCAAACAAAAAATTAAAGTTTTCAAAAAAGTTGATTTTCTTTTATCTTTTTCACAAATTTTGAAATCTTGATTTTTGTTATTATTTTTTCATATTCATTCTTTGAAACCCATTTTCCACCATTCCACAAACGTTTGTGACTCAAATTTTTTGGGTTCCCACAGTGGAGCTCAAAACAGATGGCCATAAACATCTGGGAGGAGACTGTACTTGTGGTAGAGGGGAGCTGTAATCCCTGAGTAGTAAAAGTGGTCAGTGGTTACTAGGGATTCATTTAGCTGGGAAATCCATATCTGAAGCAGTGGTGGGCCGCTAGGCTACACTTTTGGCCCAAAAAGCGGAGCGTAGCAGCCCTAAAAACAGCACACCAAACCTGTAGTGTTAGCGCGCTGTTAGCACCACTATGCTACATTACGCTACACTACAGCTCTTTTAGCGGCAAAAACATCCCAAATTACGCTTAAATTGTGCTGCAGCGCAGCATAGTGGGCCCTTTTCTGGGGCCCACATGCGTAGCGTTAGAGCAGTTGTGGGGGAATTCTGCTGCGCTACGCTAAGTGTTAGCGGAATTCCGCTACGTTACACTAAGTGTTAGCAGAATTCTGCTACGTTACGCTACACTAACCGCTACGTTTAGTGTAGTGGCCCACCGCTCTCTGAAGTCAGATATGAAAAATATCTTACAAGTAGAAAGTTATGATGATATTGTAGTAGGAGAAAGAAGGTCAAAGCAGTCTTTTGGCCAGCTATGCTGGCTCTAAGTCTGACACACCATTCATTGAGTCACCAGGAAAAAAAATTGGAACTCTTATAGAGGTGCCTTCACTTATCTCTTTCCTAACCTTACTATATCCAACCTGTATCTCATCTGTACCCCCACCTTTGCTAGCATACATATTTGTATTATTATTTATTTTAATTTGTCATATGATTCCTCCACAATTAAAGTAATTCCAAATATTTGATTGATATCCTTTCAATTTAAAGGTAAAATACTGGAAGCCTTAAAGAGAGACAAAATTCAGATCACAATATTCATCTTCATCCATTCAAATGCATTACACAATAAAAAACCAAAAGAATCTCAAAAATAAATGAATTAAATCCCTATCCTAATAACATATTATTTGACTAGTATATGCCCCCAAATTTGGGGAGGCTGCTTGTTTTTGCCCCGGATGTTGGGGGTTTTACTTGTTTGAAGGTCCTATGGTGTAATAGCCTTTGCTTTTGAAGGTCGCTATGATTGTAAAGTCCTAACGAATGTCGGAAATGCCGTTGAATTGTGCAACATTGACGCCGGTGTTAGAAGCTGCATGAGAAACAATAGAAATACTGATTGAAGCCTGACAGTTTGTTTGGTCCTCTGAGGCTATTCCTTTAGTTATATGTAGATTCAAGTTATTTATGAAACTGCCAAGTAAGAATTCTAATGAAAATATACATATATACCCTCCTTCATGAATCAAATAATCTTTATTGAAAAATTTATTCTTATTTCCCTTTTTTATGCATATTCATACTCTGTTCTCCCCTGTACTTGCTGTTCCATTCTCAATCCTTCAGACCCCTAGGTGTATGTGTATATTTAATTCTATAGATTTTGAATCATCTTTATAAGGATCAGAGAATTCAAATTGTTCTATCTGGGAGAATTCAGATGATGTGAAGTTTTGACAAATTGATATTAGGGGGTATCAAATATAACCAAATCCACCATTATTTAATTGACTGGGTTGAAAAAATCCACCCTTTTTTAAACATGTTGGTTATCCATTTAACCCAATTCATGAGGGTAAATTATAGTCAAAAATAAAATTAGTATTCATGCAATTTGGCTTTATTGATGAAGAAATGTGGGATTGATATAATTATTATATTTTTATTATGGATTACTGTTCCCTTCAAAAAACCATCCCAATCAGACAGGTTTTTTCTCAATCTTAATTATCATTCACAGATAAATGGAAACTACAATATTACACAATTACTTGATCGCTTCTCAAGGCTCATCTCATCTACTTCTAGAATTTGAAGATAATAAAGCTGTGGTGTGTTGTACCAGCATGTCTGATAATAATCAAACATCCAACCCATTAAACTCAGTAACAATTCTATTCTCATTAAAAAAACACAAACAAATTGTGTCTACAATCCCCAGCAATGCATAATTATACTCAACTCAATGGCCCAATTTTATGAAATTATATTTTATTCCAGCCCCTTTGTAGAATCATTTGTTTTCACACTTGGCTGCTTCCAAGCCTTGTGTTTCAACCAGAATTTTGAGTCAAATTATCCTTCTTCTCCCAAGTCCCAATTAATAATGAAGATTATTCTTAGGAGTAGGCTGAGGCATGTAGTGTCTCACCAGCATTCCATAATATAATTACATATTTTAAGTCCAATATGTCAAGGTTTCCCTCCCATAAATATTTTTCATTTTCTCCTCATAATAACTGGGCAATGAAGTATTACTGTAAATGCATAATTTACAACCTCTACAGCCTCAGGATTGTTGCCTAAACCCCCTTCTTGAATTAGGTCTTTGGAGGTTTTTACATTTCAAGAAAAAATATGCCTAGGAATTGGCCTAAGACTCAGGCTATGATATCAGAAAAAATCATGAGTTTAACTCTCTTCCAGTTGCAAAAAGTAGGCAAGGAAATTGGAATTTTATACTGTGATTTAATCAAGCATTTGTCCAATTCATTATTTATGAAAATTTTCTGAGTTCAAGTTTGCTTGAAATTATTTCACAGAAATTCTATTAATTCTTTTATTGGGATATGATACACCATCTCATAATTAGCTCCTTGATTTGATTTGTTTTTCAAAACACAAGTGGTTATGTAAGGGCCAGTACCATAGGACATGAAAATTCAATTTCTCAAAATTTCTCTTGCTTAAAATTTCATATTATCAAAATTGACCATAGCTAGAAGCTAGTCTTTGGCATGAAAGTGAAGAATTTCAACACCAGATCTCTCCAATTTTTCCCAGTTTTTGTGTAGAGGATGGAAAAAATGCCCATTTTTGAAAATTGAATCCTATGGTACAGGCCCTAAATTGACTCCAGTCTGATTGGTATTGATAGCTGTCACTGGTGGATTGGGATGCATGATGAGGAAATACATCAATATCAATAATCCAACTTTGATATTATCCACACCATCATTCCTGTAATATGAGTTGTCTATCCTTTGGTCAATCCAAGATAAAGCTAAGGATAAAACTCTCTTAATAGTCAAACCTTTTCATTGATGTTTTCTTTGTTTTTGTTTTTTCAAAATCCAAAAAGTTATCATGGATGTGATTTTCAGTCAGGAAACAAAAGTCAAAATTCCATTTTCTCACTATAATTATTCATGCAGCTGTACAACATCTCTATTGGCAAAATCTGGAAGAGGAAACAGGAGTTAATACTGATCTTACATATACACACATCGGATCAATACAGGCTTAGGTATTTTTTGGATTAGCCAGAGGGTCTGGTCTCATTACCTGCATGAATAAATAAAGCTTTGTTTTTCCAAGCAGCAGATAAGGACAATATTTATTTCCCTCCTTGCTTGTTCAAATACAGATGCATTGGTCTGGACTCTGGAGGAGATCAGAGGCATTTCATTCAAATTAAGACTGCCAGTATTATTTCTGAATGTCTGGAAGTGTTTTGTTTGTAATCACCAGTATGTCAGCAATTCAGCCCACCGGTTTTTATCTGTTTGGATAAAAATTACCCATCTGCTCTTGTTGCTTGATCAAACTGCTTTATGAGTGCAAAAGCAATTCAATGAGAGAAAGATTTCTCTTTTCCTGATTTGATGGACATCAAGGATCTGGTTTGATGCAAGAGGAAGTAAAAATATTGGCCTTCATCTCCTGCTAGGACTGATGAATCTAAAATATTTTTTTTTGGGGGGGGGCAGGGATTTATTTTGCTTCCTTAACTGTCAGAAAATGCAATTTTTTATTATCAGAAGATATTCCAGGACCAGTGAAACTTCTCACTTATGAATGTAGAAACTATCAGACATATTTTTAAACCAAGAAAAGTTGAAGATTCTGTCCTCCTGATTCTTAGCCCTTTGAAGATGCTCTTAGAAATGTTTTTCATTCTTTCTCTGCCACTTTGGATGATTCCATGCGTGCATTGACATCCGAAAGATTAGTGTAAGAGCCTTTTATCCCATATTCAGAATTCCAGAAATTATGGTTGATTCCAAATCCTGAATGGGTCTACATAAATTTTGTTTGGTGTTGTATAAGTTTGTGTTGAAAATCCTCACTAATATATAAATTGGTGCACAGGAATTCACGATAAAGTGAAGAAAATAATCTTGACTCAGCTCAAGAAGGTGTAAGCACCATTTTGACATAGGATTTTTCTGTTTTGATGAAGAGAAGTGATGTGATTGTTTGATGAAGAAAAAAAACAAATTTCATATTTCAGATGATTAATACGTTGATAAATAGAAATTGAGTGTTTGAATGAATTGTTTTTGAACAGATTATGATGTATTTTTGGTTCAAAATTGCACTAACAACTGGGCCCAAGTTTCATTGCACTGGTGGAACATGTTTACATTTGCAGAAACTACATGGAGAGTTATTTTTGGCTTGTTTTCAGCTACTCAACCTGAAAAAATGTTCTAAATTAAAATTTGAAGGATTAAAAATCTTGTTAGACAAATGTTTTATCCTATTTTCAACTTGAGATTCTAGTTAAACTTGTGAAATTTGAATTATTTATGATAACTGTTCCAATGAGTGTTTTGCTAAGTATCTATCCGGCATAAGGTATCATAGCGGACTCTAATAAGTCTGATTGCTGGCAGAAGGGAGTCAGGATGAAACCGGGTCCAAAAACAGTGCCCAGACCCGACCCGGCAAATGTGGCGGTTTGGGTCGGGTCGGGTCATAAAGTCAATATTGCTGCCCAAACCCGACCCACCTGGGGGAGCAGGCGGGTCAGGGTCGGGTCGGGTCGGGTCAGCCTTGGAATAAATTTCTAGAGCATATTTGGAGCCTAGGCAATGTTGAGTCTTTGGAGCATGCACTTTAAGTTTGCAGTGACCCTAGCATCAGGTGGGGTGGCAGATGCGTCTGAGACACCAGGTGCAGAGGTCGCTACTTCGGAGTCTAAGGTCTTCTCGCAGGAATCTATCAACGTAATACACATAGGCTCTAGGCTAATTGTGTAGCCGCTTACGTTCTCAGGGCTGGCTACAGGCCTAGAGATGGTCGAAGGGTATCCGTCGCGGATACCCGTTATCCGCTGGCGGATACCCGCCTGTGCCAACGGATACCCGCCAGCGGGTGCGGATTCGGGTGCGGATGGCCCCTTTTCCGCAAATCGCCGGCGGGTATCCGGGTATCCCAAAGGATACCCGCGGCCGGGAGGGGAGATGGCCGGCTGGAAGGAAGCCCTTCCAGTCGACGAGGTACAAGTACCTCGCCGGTGTGAGAACTCCTTTGGGAACGGTGGCAGTCCTGTGAGGGGGAAATAGCAGATGAGATATATCACGTATGTAATGATCTACTACAACTGTTACGGCTGGTTTGAAAGACCTGCCCCTCTATTGTACTACACAAGAGTTAACACAACAATTTATTTTATTGTTGTGGCAAAACTGATGATAGAGAAAACTATGTGTAGCAGTCTCTTATCAAACCTAGATCAACGTGGATTCAGCAGACTATTTGAGTGGAAATGTTGAGTAAGAGGTGTTTTCTGTTTATATGTTTATGTATTTTGAAAAATGATTGACGTATGTACTGATGATAAATGTTTATTTATGAGATGATAGTGAGGAAAAATGTGACTATTGACCGTGTCTTTCCCTTCCTCCTTGAATCTTGGTCAAGATCACAAGTTGTACTGGTTACTAATTTCTTTCTCCTATGCTTCTCAATGTCTGAATGATCTCAATGGGGCACTTGAGTAAGATCACACTAGTTAATGTATGGATTGATTGCTCTGTTCTGTCTGGTTGATGATCAGATGAGATGATGAGATCATTCGAATGAGGGGGGAAAGCCCCTCCTTAAATAGTCTATTTTTACAACCCGGCTGACTTGTGGTTCTAGCCCTAACCTATAATCTATAAATGGCCAACTTGTGGTTCTAGCCCTAACCTATAATCTATAAATGGCCAACTTATGGTTCTAGCCCTATACATGATTCTCAGTGTACATACAAACAATGTGGCTCCCTTGTGGTTACCCTATGCAATGAATATTGAATATGTAAGCTAACTAAGGCCAACTTGTGGTTTACATTATGCAATAAGCATTTTGTATGCAAATAAAATTTAAATCCCAAATAACTTTTGACTGAGTGGAGCTAGACTATTGGTTCCAGTGAGTGACTATGGGTTAAATGACCCGTAGAATGTGATTATGCCATAATACGCCTAAGAATATATGCCTTTCTACATATTGGACTGTGACTTTATGCAATTTGATACTTGAAACACAATTGGCATACTACACCGGCTGGAAGGAAACCCTTCCAGCCGGTCCGTCGCCGGCCCTTTAGAGGGCGGGTATCCGAGGATACCCGCTCGGATACCCGCTGCGGCCGACGGATACCCGCTAGCGGGTGCGGGTGCAGATGCGGATGTGCAATTTCGCTGAAATTGCCATCGGATATCCGCATCTGGACGGGTATCCGGATGCGGACCGACCATCTCTATACAGGCCCCTTATACTTGGCTTTGGCCATGAAGTAACAGGACACTAGGGGGTATCAAATATAGGAAATCCACCATCAGAAACCAGTCACTTTTCCAAAAACTTTTTTTGGATAAATGGGCCCCAAAAGGGGTTAAAATGGATTATCAACATCTTTAAAAAAGGGTGGATTTTTCCAAACCAGTCAATCAAATAATGGTGGATTTGGTTATATTTGATAGGGGAGTGATAATCACACTCCACCCCCCTTTGCACACACACTCCAAAACTCCCTTCAGAGAAGGGAGTGTTGGAGTGTGTGTGCGAAGGGGGGTGGAGTGTGATTATCACTCCCCTATTTGATACCCCCTACTATAACGTCTAGCCCTATGGTGAAGACACTACCCGGGTCAGGTATGGTAACCATGGTCTCACTGGGGCCAGCTGATGGATCGTCCGGGTCATCCACCTTGGCAAGGCTTTGTACCTTTACTGACTTGGGCATAGTGACAGTGATGATCTTAACTGTGTGGGACCCTTCATACTACAAGCAATACCCATTTTGCCCCAAAAATAAATGGCAATTTGGGTGGGGGAAAATGGATCAATTTTCTGGAATTTTTTTCCAAAATGCCTCAGGAGTAGAAATTAGGCTAAACTGAGCTATTTTAGCCCAGAGATAGAAATTCATCAAACATTCCAAAATGAATTTTTAGCTCATTTGAGACATTTTTATTTTTTTGGCTAAAGTAGCTCATTTTAGCCTAATTTTTTACTCCTGAGGCATCTTGTAAAAAAAGTGCCAGAAAATTGATCTATTTTCCACCATCCAAATTGCCATTTTTCCTTGGGGCAAAATCAGTATTGTTTGTAGTGTCAGATTCTGAAGGCTGAAGCCGATGTGGTATGTCCATACCTTTCCATGTATCCTCATTTTTCTTCATCATTTACATATATTCTTCCAAGTATTATTTCATATTCAGATTCTACACATCATTTCACCCCTAGTCACCTCTTACATTTTTTCAGTAGCTCTTATAGTTCTCTAGTTATCACCTCTTCAGTATATTCATAGTTACAGAACAGTACATTACTTCATACATACAGTACATATACATTACACATTATCTAGTTACAGTATCTATGTAGCATCACTCCTTCATCATAGTACATCATCTTAACTACACTACATCATATACATATTTCCTTTCACACTGCTTTGACTTTCCATCTATGATTAGCACTTGTATACACAGAACATCTATCTCTAGGTTACATTATTTCTCATCCCTCATTACTGTTTAAGATTTACATTACCCATAGCCAGGATTTCCCCAGCCATGGTGCCTTGCTGTTGTATGTACATGTTGTACACATATATACTCTCTCTTCCTTCTCATGTATTTTCCCCCTTATGCTATGTACCCTGCCTGAATTATCTTCTAACCATAGTCTTAGAAATCAGAAATACTAGTATCACCCTTATATCTTTACCAGATATCATTGCCAGTTATATTTGCCAGTTATACATCCCCCCTTGCCAGTTATAAATCCTCATTTGCCAGACTATCCCCTTTGCCAGTGTCATCCCTCATTGCCAGTGTTACCCCCTTGCCAGTATTATCCCATCACACCTCATTGCTCCTCCTCCTCACACCTCAGTAGGTACTACATACACAAGCTCATCAGTAATAGTAGTCTAAGATAAAGTAGAAATCAGCCACACCTCTATTCTTCTTTTTCTTAGTGTTACACTCTTCCCATCAGCATTGTACAGGAGGGCAGCCTCATCAGCACCTGTAGTCTCAACTTACATTAGTACTAGTGTAGTTGTCTAAATCCCCTCCAAGCTCTATCTCCCTGGTTGAGTAGTTCCACACCGACCCACGGACACTGCCCTCAAGCGGGTTGGTAGTCGGGTTTTCGGGCCGACCCGAAATCAAAAGACGCTGCCCGAACCCGACCTGGTAATCAAGTGGGTCACACGCGGGTCAGGTCACTTAGTTTTTTTTTCACATAAAGTCAACCCAAACCCGCCCCGAGACCCGACGGGTTGTGGGTCACTTGCGGGTCGACCCGACCCACTTTCATCCTGAAAAGGGAGTGAGTAATGACTCTCAGAATCCTTCTGAGTCATCTCCAGGTGCCATTCTGTAGCTAGTCAGATGCACATAACACAAATGTTTCAGCAGAAGAGTGCTGATTGGTCCAGACATCCAAATGGCCACACAGGTCTGTGCATCATTGGACAGGTCATCTGCGGAAATTTTCAACATTGGCCGGTGTGAGATCTGATCTCAATCCCTCTCAGACTCTAGTAGCTATTTCCAACAGAACTGGATGACGTAATCAGCCCATTTGACAATGACATCATTTCTTCTCGACTCACTCGTCTCACTTATATAGAATCTCTTCTCTCCGCCGAACTCATTTCCTTCTCCCCATGATTCCAACAACATCTCACTTTAAAACTTTACATCTTAAACATTATACTTAAAGTCATTGGTCTCATTGCTGCCGTTCTCTCTTCATTATTCCAAACGTCCTCTATCATATTATCACATCACAACTCTTCTTCTTAAATCATCAGACCTGTCAAGAACTCTCACCTTCTACTCAACCACACTCTGGTCTGGTCATCACTCCCTTCCTTATGCAAGAACTCTTCCCTTCTATTCGACTGTCCGCCGATTATCAAAACCTTCCTATCATTGTAGGTTATCATCTCATCTCTTCGCTTAATCGAACCGGTTATCACTTCTTCTGACACTCTTTATTTCTTAGTCGTGTCTCTTATTTTCTCTTCTTTCCTTGTCGTCGTCGTGTCCTTGTATTGTTGCTCCTGCCTTAAGGTATTTCTTTATTCTATCTTTTGTTTTATTTTATTTGTCTTTTGTATTTCTTTATTATTGTACTAATCAAGAAATACAACCCTTAAGTTTGATACTTAACAGCCGGACCAGTTCATAAAGCCCACCATGGACTTGGTTTACTTGCAGACTGCACAATGGGTGCCCAATGGCCTTGACAAACCCCAAGTATCCAGTGAGCCTGAAGATTTAATGAGGCTCCAGTATGGATATCATTGATATCCATTTACTCAGGAAACTCATCGGCTTCAGAATCAGGCTAAACAAAATCCTACAATCCCTGAGCCTCATTGACTCCAGATTCAAGCTAAATAACATCCTACCACCCCTGAACCCCAATGATTTCAGCTTCACAATACCCTGCCACCTTATGACCTCCAAGCAATGCTAGAGAATATCCAGCGGAGAGGAAGTGGATATGATGAAATTTCACGACAAGAACTGAGAAGGGGGAGAAGTGACCGGTGACAAAAAACTCTGATGAGTGAAAGAACAAGATCAAGAAGCCCTCTTTGAGGGCTTTTACAGGCTGCTAGCTTGTGGGTCGGAAAAGCAATCCCACTACAAGAGGTTGTATGAGTGACCTCAGGGAACAGACGCAGAAGACCTGATGATTTTCATATTCAAACTCATGGTATGGCTAATTTATCTACATACAAATTTTGGTTGAGTTGTGGAACAGAAGGTGAAAAGAGTGCATATTCATCCGGAAGGGAAAGGAGTGACATTGGTGTGAAAGGGAGGAAAGAAGGAGAAATGAGAGAGAGACGACGGAATTCCAACAGGATAGGGGGAAATTAGCCAGCCAAGACTGGATTGTAACAGGTCTACACCAATTTGAATAATTTTCTCCTCCACAAGGGAAAAATCCAAAGGGACTTTCCAGGGGGGCTTTGGTTATGTTTGAGGTGGTCTGATCCTAAAACTAAGCAGATACCCATTTGTCATTTGGCAGGCTCAATTTGGTGAGCATATGTGTCATCCTGGTTGACCCTAATAAAATCAGTCAGCCCAATCCACCTCTTATGATACAGCTGGCTTGGGGACCAATTCCATCCCCTTTCAGAGCATCTCTAACGGTCCGGGGGGCAAGTAACTTGTGTTCCCCAGCCCGCGACCACATTTCACAGGGGTTGCAGGTCAGCTCCAATTATGGACTGGCACTTTGAGTGGCTATCCAAGCTATTCTTGACACCACACTCAAATCAATATCATCGATTTTTTGCTTGTTCCTCTTACTCGCTCCTCTTCTCCCTTGCCTGTTTTTTCTTCTCTCACTTTTTTCATTTCTGTTGGATTTTGTTCTCTCACTTTTTTCACTTTGCTTGTTTTTTTGTACTCGATAGTTGGTGAATAAATTATAACATGACATGACTTCATTTGAAGGGTAAATGAAAGAAATGGAAAATGTTTGTAAAACATAAAAAAAAGGGAGGACTTGATTGGGGATGATTATCGTTCCGATCGGCTGGCAAAAGGATAGTGACAGGAGTGAGCAGATGAGGTTAAGAGTTGAATAAGCGATTGGGGCTGTCCTTCGATGTTTGGATTGAGTTTGTAGGTCTGAGCTCGTACCGAGGTAGACATGGATGATGAGTCCGGCTAGGGTCGGTGTTGGAGAAAGTCCTTTGGATGAGGAGAAAGTAGGTGTTGTAATCAAAAAAGGCTGTGAAGCTGAGTGAAATCTGTCTGGTACTGGTGAGTGCGGCTGGGAGGCAAGCCGCAGAAGTTGGCAGGTCATCACGGGTTTAACTGCCCCCGGCAATGTTTCCAGGGTTGTTTCCCAGGACCGTTGGATCGTAAAAAAGCGGGTGCGTGAGTTTTGCAAACCATAATTTACAAGGGATAATCCTTGTGAATCTGGTGCCGGGCAAATTTATTGTTGAAATGGAGTCAATTATATTTTTACAAGGGATCCAACAATGTTTCAGGCCATGTAAATACTCCCTTGTGAAACATGCTTTGAGAATTTGCTATGTACAGGGCTCCAATGTAATATCACACAGCTTGTTTCACAATCCTTGTAACACCACTGCTTTAATTTCCACATACAATCTGATATCACCATTTTTACGGTGTACAGAATACATGGCTTGTTTTACAAGCCTGTACTCGCCTGTAATACTTCACCAGAAGATGGACGATGTTGAATTTTCCAAGCCTCAACCAACACCATTACACTCAATTCCGAATCCAAGCGAGGAGGCATTCGTGGCTGAAAGCATCGTCAAGATCGGCCAGGACAACAATGGCGCTCAAGGTTTGATGCCGTTTGTGAATCTGGGCGCACTCCTTAACATCTCGCCATGTCCTCTCCTTCGGACAAATGAAGATACACTCACAAAGGACTCGGACGCTCCAGAGGCTGCCAGTGCTCCCACAGTCGTCAATACTTTGGCAACACAAACACAAATATTGGTTTGCACAGAATCTGAAGAAGAGAAACCCGCAGTCCTCAAACGAAAAGTGTCTGGAGAGTATAAGATCCGATTGAAATTCACAAAGGTGAGAAGCCCAGAATCAACGACTGAGGAAGCCCCAAAGTCTGAAGAGCTAGGCAATTCGGCTAAGATTGAGGAAAACGGTCAACCAGTCAGCAGCAAGATTAGCAAGAAGAGTGTACTTGGCCCAACAAAGAAGGCTAGCATGCCAAAAGCTCAAATCGCGAAGCCGAATCGTGCAGGCACTCGATCGAGTACCCGCAAATGTCTGCAGATTTGATTTGGTGGCGGAGCAGGGTTGTTGGGGTTAGCTGGGAGTTTTCTTAAGATCCACCCGACTTAAGCAATTACCTGTATCGGTTTTTTTTTCCTTTGTAAATAGTCTGATCCCTTGTGGAAATCGTGCATGCCTCAAGATTGGGGTAATTTCACACTGCTTGTGAATTCTAAATTGCATCCCTTGTGAACGGACCTTCGCAAATCTCGTTTTTTTGGGCCTTAGGCGTTTTTTGCCAAGGCTTTTCTTTTGCATGGCATATCATTGTGAAAATTTGCCTTGTGAAATTACCTTTTCTCGGGCTATGGGGTAAATTCACATAGAATCATTTACAGTGTTTGTTATACAATGGATAGGAAAATGGCCAGTAGCGCATGAATTTATGAATACGCTGCCACTAAATATAACTTTACAAGGCATCTCTTTTACGAGGCATAAGCCATGTAAAATAAGGGTTGTGAAAATCAACCCCCCCGTAAAAAAGTGATCCGGGCCGCCAAAGTTCGCCCCCGGTTGCCCGATCGCGGCTCCGTTAGAGATGCTCTCAGACTGCTCTTGGTGGCAAATAGAACCCCCAAATAATAACTCAAAGGACTGTGGCAATTGATCTATGAGTTAAAAGAATGTAGCAAGTGATAATGTCAATCGTCGAAAGGCTCGAGCAGGAGTGCATTGTGAAGGGTATCTCTGGAAACCATAATAGTAGAAGCTCATTCCATACGGCACCTGATCATTCTCCTTGAAGCAAAAGCTGATAAACTGTTTCGCTTAAATTGTGCGTGAGACCCCGCCAAAATTTTAACGAGATGTTGTTAAGCGTTGCTCGTCCCACAAATTTTATTTGGGAACGAGCAGCTACGTGAACCGGGCTAATGGTTTGCCAAGGATTTGTCCAACATTTGCCAATGAAATACATAGCTCGAGGGATCTCCTGAGTCCTTCGCTGACTTGGAGCCTCCGAGCTACAAATTGCCTGTGCTGGGCGATATGTATGTATGACCTCAACTGCTATCAGTTGTTATAAAATGCCTGCAATGTGTTCCAACAGCTCTATCAAGCTTTGGTTTTCGTATTTGGCTCATAAATCGATTGTTATGATATCATAGCTTTGTAATTATGTAACCAGCTGGATGGTCTCATTGGATTCCCTTGTTCTGATCAATGACTTCAAAAAATAAACATGCAAGTTGCAAGCTTTTCGCAGGGATTCTGGCGACTGTCGGATGCCAAAGAGTTCCACATTTATTCGCCATCAGCGTCCCAGGAAACTATTTATTTAAGTCGATACGTATTTTGTAAATATATAATTCATCCTGCGTGAAGCTCTCTTGAATTTGTATTGTGAGCACTGAGCACCCACCAACACACTGTTCACTCAGCTTCATTCTCACTCTCTCGCCCCTCCGATCCATCGAATGGCGGCCAGTTAAGCTCAGTTTGAGTGGCTCATTGTTCTCGGACATGCTAAACTGAGCTCGGAAGTATTTCCAATTGGCACTCGAAAATCATAATTAGCTTCATCTTTGTTTTTGCTTAGTTTCCTCCAAAAAGTCTCTTCCTCCGTCACAAGTCCCTTAAAAGTTGTTCGACAGTTGCTTCTTGGAAGAACCTGCCCGCCAACATCCTTGTCCTCAAAAAAACATTTATCCTTATCCTTTCAACCTAGTCCAACGTACATCACTACCCTCTCAGCCAAAAAAAAAAAAAACAGATCTCTATCTACACACATCTTCATCTGCCTCGTCGATTCATAGGCCGGCCACGCTGAATCCTTATCAGCAGCACCTTGATAGGGCGGGGGTGAACGAGATGAGACTCAGTTATTGTGCGACTACTAAGGGCTCTAGGTCCAACCTCCAGGCTGCCATCAAGTCACCGCCAGCTCGTTCGTCTTCCCAGACCTCCAACCGAGTCCCTCTCCAATCGGCCCTCAAGGCTATCCAGTCTCATCAACCTCTTCGCCCGATCGAATTGGCCTTCCAGGTCGGAGATATCTTCCAAGTTAAGGGCGAGTGTGTCGAGCCCGATGGCTCTGTTTGGCTGGATGTGATGAGCCCAGTCAGTGGACTCAGAGGCATCGTCCCCCTGCAAAAGTTTCGAATTATCAGTCTCCCAAAGCCATCGGCCCATGAGCACCCAAGCCAACCCCAGCTCAACCAGCAGTCCCATCCATCTCCCCAACATACTTCATCTGATGAGAAGTTCCTTCACTCTCGTTCACTCCAGCGGATCCGAAAACGTTTATCCAGCCACTCCACCCTCAACCCACCCTTGAAATCACCCCCAGCTACCATCGCGGAGAATGCTACTCCTGGCAGTGGCGGCCCTCCTGAAGCCTTCCCATTCCCATCTGTCGATCAGTCTTCTCCCAAGCCGCCCCCGACGAGGAATCGTCGATCGTTAACCTTGTCGTCTGCTAAGCTTCCAGCTCCTCCGGGATACAGTCCAAGCCCACGGATGCGTTTTCTATCTCAATCCGGCCAAGCAAATCCGCCCGCCTCCACGCAGAAGCCGCCTGTAGAGCTAAATTCTCCAGTGCAGCTCACGAAGCCCTCTCAGCTTCTCTATGGTGTCGTGAGTAGTTTTTATTTTTTTGAGTCCTTTTCCTGAGTTATACATCTTCCATTGACCTTGGATGATTTTCCTTGTTGGATTCCCTTTCTCCCTGACAGGTCAAGCACTCTTTCAACCCCGAAAGCGATCATGAACTGAAAGCCCATGCCGGAGAGCCGATCATCATCAATGCTTATAGCGAACTTGGGTGGTTCGTGTGCAAGCCGATTAGTAGGCTAGGTGGCCGTGAGTTATAATCAATTACTGAGTCTTTACCAGCTGGCCCATCTGCTTTGGCTGATCCCAATTACCGAACAGCTGGTCTGCTCCCAGTCAGTCATGTTCAAGTACGTGATGTGACGACAGGAACGGAGCTATCACCTGAAAATCTCGAACATTTCGCCCGTTCTTCTGGCTTGCCGCGTGTGAATGAGTGGGAGGAGGCCACTGCCGCCTACCTCTGCCGAAGTATTCCACTCGGTTCCTTTGAGAGCCCCGTGGTGCCGCCGCCGAAGGAAGTCCTTCCAACAGTCACTCTATCGGAGCCGGCCAAGTCACTCTACACCGACCCAAAGAAACTCATGGCGTCCTCCGAGCTCGTCCGCGAATGGCAACGTCGCCAGATGGAAGACACGCTCATAATCGAGCCGCAAGTTGATCCCAGACAATCGCTGTACGACCCAATCGCTCCACGCAGCGCTAGCCATGGCACCTTCGTTGTTGGGACCGCCGAATCTTTGACTGAAGCTCAAGGTGAATTCTGGTTCACCCTCAAAGTGAAGTTTGCCTATCCGAACGAATCGGAACTATCGATGAAATCTCTAGTGGTTCACAGATCCTACGAAGAGCTCTTGAAGTTTGATCAGTCTCTACAGTCACGTCTGAGGAGCTTCTCAGCAACCATCGCCGAAGAGTTTCAGATGCCCTGGTTAATGGAGCACGTCACTGCGAACATGGTCGATCAACAGTTTTGCTCTTATCAGCTGGATGAACTGAATAGCTACTTGGGCCAACTGTCGCAAGCATCCCTTGAGATCCGCGAACTCGTGGAGGTCTACGATTTTCTAGGCCCACGACAGAGTGATTTGGAGCTGGAGGAAAACATGAAGAGTCGGATACACGAGGAGGCCATCTTTCAGTACTTGGATCAGATGGCTCTCTCCTCATCCAAGTATGACCTCCACGACAATCCGGCCAAATCAAGCCCGAGCCCGTCCCAATCAACCTTCGCCGATCAAACCACTGCTTCTCCAGTCTTCGATAACTTCAGCTTCCACCGCCACCATTCCGACCCATCCTCAGACTATTTACCATCCACCCCATCCTCAACCAAGTTCAAAGCCTGTTCTTCTCCGCTCACCAAGAATCCAGCCAGAAGCTACTATAACTCTGATGGCCAAATCACAAAGATGAAGATTTGCCATCTTCAATCCAATGACGTTATCGCCATCAAGGTCTCGAGTAGCATCGCCTTGAATGATCTGACGACGAAGATTCGGAGTCGGTACAATGAAACACGTTCGTCTTCAGGACACTTTGGCGACGATTACTTTGGCGACCGCACCGTTCGCTTGAAGTACCTCACTGTCGACTCGCTCGATCAGAGTTGCATAGATTTTGACGATTGCGATTCTTCTGCCGATGAAAGTGACGTGGTCCCGCCTCACTTGGGCCCAGGAACATTTGTCAGGATCACGAGTGATGCTCAATTGCGCAAATGGATCGACACCGAGAAAAAATTGGTGTTGTATATCTGAACGCACTCCGCATCGGCCCCCCCCACACACACACAAAAAAAAACATTCCTACAAAAAACCCACCCCCACAGAAAAAAGTAACGTGAATGGTCCGAAATCGAGTAACAGTCCTATCGCATTACCAAGAATACTCCACGATTTTTGTACATGTATATACGCTTATTTAAACTCAACACTATTCCCTTGAACCTATCATTCCCTTGTGCAATTTGACTTTACTTCTTTCCTCTTCATTCATTGACCACTGTGATGTTATCTCTCAAGTCTCTCTCAGAACTTATAGTCTTCCGAAATCCTCACATCCAAAACAGCTGTTGGGTTGTAGACTAATCTCATTCCTTGACTCTCATCAGTCCGAGTAGTTCAGCATTTACTGTTGTATATTGTGATACAATGAAATATTTTCTTTTTTTTTGATCTGTTCATTGTTTGTTTGATATTGAGAAAAATAGTCATAGTAATTTATCGCTCGTTTCGCACCTTGGCAGGATTGTCTATCAAGACATCCACTAGTAAATTTGCCCCCAAGCTCCACATCATTAATGATATGTAGGTTTTGAAATTGTTACGTGCTCTGTATGAGGGGTGAAACTGCATAAATGAGTCTCGTGCTGATCGGCCGGAGGATTACAATTTCCTTCCTCACACCCGTTTGCCAGTGCCTTTGATGGTTGCTCGTTTCCGGAGTACTTCATCATTTGACCTTTCTCACACAATTTCCCATTTCAAATCAATTACATTGAACGCTACAGGATCATATCAAACTTAACAATTTGCTTGCTTCTTGATCGAACTCTCAACTGTTCCAAGCTCTAGAACAATCCATACACGCAGCGCTTAGATCTCGGGAGTCCATCGTCGTTTGCTCGAATTCCACTCGAGGTCCCATACATTTTCCCTTCGAATGGAGCCCGCATTTTTTGGCGTTCTGCTTGCCTTGTTGGACACCTTTGTTCGGTTCGTCAATGCCAACATACCACTTTTTCGAAGGCGTTGGAGCGTCGAAGAAATGCCAGAATTGAAAGGTTTGGATTTGCCTTCGAAGTTACGCAATTCAATGATCATTTGTCCAGACTAAAAACATCTTCTTCTTACCTTTCCGTTAGGCCGTATTGCCATCGTCACAGGTCAGTCGACACGCCGTGGGTGAACCACCGTTAAGGAACGACCCCGCCAATCCATCTGATTGTGAAAAGCCTGCGCGATTTGATTGTATATTTCTTAGGAGGTAACACAGGTATCGGGTTTTTTGTTTGCCTCGAACTGGCTCGCCGAGGAGCAAAAGTTTAGTTGAGTACACCCTGATTGCATTCACAATTTGATACATAGTATCCGGCCTAATTGATATGGATGTTGGCAGACCTAGACTGAAGTTTGTTTAAATGGACTTACTGATTTGCACATCCATCGTAGTCTAGCCTCCAGATCAGAGTCCCGCGCTAAAGCGGCAATCCAAAAGATCAAAGAACTCATTCCGGATTCAGAGGTTGACTTCATCCACTTCGATCTCACGATTTTATCGTCGGCTAGAAAGGCAGCAGATAGCTTTATCAGCAAGGAGGCCCGACTTGATATATTGATCAACAACGCCGGTATTGTGCGTCTGTCTCAAAAAAAAAAAAAAACGCTACCGGGCGGGGCATGATGCTCACCACTATTTTTTCTTTGGAATTCTACCAGTTGGGAACTCCCTATAAGCTCAGTCCAGATGGAATTGAGTTGCAAGCTTGCAATGCAATCGGTCATTTTGCTCTAACGTCACACCTCCTACCAATTCTCAGAAACACAGCGGTTTCATTCCCGGATTCACATGTCCGGATAGTCAACGTTGCCAGTATGGCATATTTACAGGCAGTTGCTCCTGACCTTTCTAGCCTTGAAGGATTGAACAGAGCGGCCGATTCACCGATGGGCAGGTATAACCACAGTAAGCTCAATGTTAGTCGTAGTTATCACTGGCGTTTAACCAGTGATGCAAATCATTTAAGCTTTTGGAATGAAGAAGCTCTGATGAGCAAACCATCTAGAATGTTCTGTTTACGAATGAACTTCAAAAAAGATTTTCGGATACCAGTATACGCTGTCTATCGGTGGTGAGCCATATTCACTTCAATTCAAGAGGCCAAGAGTTGCTGATGTTCCACTACCAATTGGATAATCACCTCAGCACCCAGGATTCGTTGCCTCTGGAATCACGAGAGGTCTGTACTTCTTCTCCGTCGATGAATCAAAATTGAAGGTTTCTCTTATCTAATGAATCAGGTTCATTGAAGAGCTCACTCGTGCCTTTCTCTCCGAAAACAAAAACAAACCAACCAGATGCTTTTGACAACGAGGTATTTGCCTACTTCTTGATGGTGAGTTAGCTCTTCTTCCAACAATTCATCGAAATTCATCGAAGACAGTAAACTTTGCCGGCCTTCTCTGAAATCACCCAATTCAATAATTTCTGCAGAAAATCATACGCCCCTTCTTCGCTGCCCCATGCAAGGGTGCAATAACTCCGTTATATGCTGCCACATCTCCCGAGATTGAATTAAAAAACCTTCGGTTTGTGGCATTTAGCAATTCCTCATCACGCTCTATTCCTAGCATCAAGTTATCCGGAAAGATCGCTGACATAGCATAAATCCATACAACTATCTATCGAAGAGCTTCTTACTTAGTTCCGTATGGCCAAGTTGGTAAGAAGACTCCCCTTGCTGAAGATAAGGAGGGTAGACTTGGTCAGCAGTTTTGGAGATTGTGTGAAATGTTGATGAAAGCTGCCGAAGACAAGCAAAAATAAATCATCAAATTCAATGCACTGGCCCAGTGGCAGAAGGCACAGGTGAAACGGTACACGAGTTTTTTTTTGCAAGAGCAAGAACAAAACATGATAAGTAAGAAACTACGCAACAAGTGATGATCAATACGTGGACGCATGTAATCTGGCACGACCGACCACGGTAAAACCCTCACGGGTAAACTGGTACTAGATAAATCAGCTCGGCGTAGAAGAAACCTGCTTGCTAGGTAGGAAATTGAATCTTCCTCGACCAGCAGGTACAAGGTACTTGCCGGGGAGGTAACCTCTCCAGCAAGCGGGTACACTTTGTACCTCCCCATCAAAAAATATTCCTGCCCGGTCAGTAGGTACATGATGTGCCCGCTGGCGCAAAACTGAATGTGAGCGCTTGCTGATGACCTGAGATCGGCAGTTGTTATGCCAAGCAGAGTGATAAGTACATGATCATTTACGGATGTGATGTAGGCAAGACAACTGGGGCTGAAGCGAAAAAAAAAGAGATGAACGGTGAAGACGGAATGGAAATTGTGTCATGAGAAGTTATGAAACCTAGGTAGCGGAAGATGAGGCTGATGACACTGTGCCAATAAGTCTGCAAGACAAGGAAGGCCTGGCCTTCCGGCAGACCATGCAGAGAGCTTTGTTTAGGCATTTTGCCAACCTTCACCCCCAGTAACGGGAAAGTTTTGAAAACACACTGCAAGCCAGTTGATTGGTGGGTTGTTTTGCAGGAATCACAATCGTGGTTTGCAACAGAGGCTCAGAACAATCCATGTACTGGCTTGCCGATACCAGAAGCCCTCAAGGAAGAAGATTCAACTTCTCCAAATCCCTCCAGGCTCAAAGTAAGAGTTGCCCGGGTTGGGACCGGAGCAAACTGACTGGTCAGCAAACTCATCAGCTCGATTGTGCTGAATTTGCGGCAAGCTTCAGCCCTCTTCTTTGTGATTGGGGTGTTGAGCTTGAGAGATCGGAGATTGTCTCCCGCTTCTTTGGGATGCAATCCGCATACTCAGGGATCATCTCCATAAGGAGGTTAGCAAGCGCTTACATTCGATTGGTGCCGCTGGCCCAGCTAGCAGCGAACGCTGTCGGCGTCAAGTGGGTTTGCTGGCGCTCATCATGCTCCCCCGATACCCTTGGGTTAAATACCCATTACTTTATGGTTCTGTGGACAAGGGAACTAGCGGGGTAGTCGTAGAATTGTCAGTTTTATTATGATGCGATCAACTGTGCATTGGGTTGATCAGTGGCGGGGTAAGTCTGAGAAGCTAGCAGGAAGCGAGTCAGCAACGAGATGATTGAGATCTATTCTTAAAAGAGGGGCACACACTCACGCAGACTCGGTGACTTGTGACCTAAATGTATGCAACACATAAATACGTAAGACTTGCCGCTTGCTCTCTAGAGTCTAGAATAATAATGATGATTTGGTTGCAATCTGATTGCCTTTCTCGAGGCATTAACATTTGCGAAGGTCACAAGTATAAATAAATAACATGTACAATTGATGCGACAGCACCGGGCACCCCACCGCATCCTCCTTGATCACCAGCCTCGTGAAAACTCCTCATCTTCTTCGTCGATCCGGATTCCAACCTCTGATATTTCTCAGTTTTCTGCCGGACAACCTTGGACAACCAAACGTGGTATTTAGCATAGGGTGCGAGTTGCAACGATTGTCCAGTGACGTGTTGCCTCAGCTCTCACACACACAAGCCACATAGGACATTTCGCACATAGTTTGATATTTTGGGAAGTAATACATATTTACATCTTACTTGAGACCAGCACCTTCCCTCTCTTCCTTAACACCGCAACATCCTTCGGCACCCCGGCCGCAGGCTGGGTTCGGCTATTGCCTAGGTGGATTCGACAGTGAACCTATTCATTGTCCACTTGTAACTCTCTTTTATACCAGAGCCATCATCGAACGGTTACTACCGGCTCCTTCGATCATTCTAACCTTTCCTGGTTTTTGTCTTCGGCGAATCGATTTGGACTTCCAAAGGATATCAGGAACATGTTTTGCAAGATAATCTTACTCGGCTTAGCGTTGATCGCGCATCCTGCAATTGGGGGGCTTCCAAAAACTTGCAAGTATGGCACAAACCTTGGTACGTGACTGACCAACTATGCAAGAGCTTCGCTGAGCTGAGCGGAACGAGCCTGTGCGATTGAGACTGATTTTTGTTATGATACTGTCGCTTTCTTCTTCTTTTCCAATCAAATGCACAGGTGGTTGGCTGGTGGTTAGAAATCTTTCTGCATCATATAGCGCGTGTGCCATGTCAGATTTGCTGATCCCTGTCAATCTATAATTCAGAGTGAGCCTTGGATGAAACCAGTCGAGTGGGCTGCAATGGGGGGTGAATATTGTCCCAAAGATAGCTCGTCGTGTGCCGCAAGTGAATGGGGTCTTGCTCGCAAGTTAGGACAACAGCTCGCCAACGAGTCCTTTCTGAAACATTGGCAATCTTGGTACGTCATGTCGGATTAATCTTGCAAGATAAAAATCTCCTACGACTTGAGAAAAATTTGCTAAGCTTCCTTTGTGGCCCTCCTGACTACCAATCAAAATAAACAGGTTCAATCAGGATCATGTTGATCGGCTCAAGGCTTTAAATCTGGATCACGTTAGGATCCCTCTCGGTTTCGTAGGTTATCACGATGTTTCTCGCGTTATATGCCGTTATAGTAACTGATCTAAGATTGTTTCCGAAAGTGGATCGTCGAGGAGCTCGTGGAGGCCCCAGCTGAGCTATATGCTCAAGGTGGCTGGATGGAACTGAAGAGAGGACTCCGCCAACTTCGCGACGCCGGCTTCCATGTAACACTCGACATGCATGCGCTGCCTGGAGTATCAACTTCGAATCAGATGTTTGCAGGAAACGTCACTTCAGACGTCCAATTTTACAAAGATCACAACTACCAGCGGGCTCTTACTTGGAGCGCCGTACTGACATCCATGTCTCATCTGGATCCTGACTTCTCCAGTGTTGTGGCCATCCAATGCATCAATGAGCCTCTGACTGACGTGCGTATATCTCGTGTGCTGGTTTATGCTGTGCTGATTTTTAATCTTGATATTTACGTTCGTATCTACAGGCGAACCTTACCCCAGGGTTAGAACAGTATTACTCGGATTTCGTTACCGTCACTCGCGTCATTGAATATGCCATCGGCGTTGAATGTGAGGTCGACCTTCGAGAGTCGATTTATCGACTTTCCCAAAGTAAAAATAGCATGGCAGCCCTACATGCAGCAATGCCTTTGATTGTGACTTATGCAAGCAAAGCGAACATTGTCATAGACCCAAAGGTCCTTGATGCATTGAAGAGTTTTTTATTACGTCCAAGTCCTGTAGCAACAGCCCCATCACCTGTGGAAACAACAATCATCCCCGCGACACGAAGATCAATAACCTCTGCCCCGGCCGTTTCAACCAAAGGCAGCTTGGCGTGTCAATCATCCCAAAGGAATGCAGTCAACAACGCACATCTCAAGTGCTCAAGAAGTTTAACTCCCAGGTCCTGCTTGGCTACAATGGCTATGCCAAAGAGATGGCAATGGAAAGGAGAGGCCAACTCAATGGCAAACCACACCCTGGGGCCAGCAGCCTACGACGATCACGTGAGTCTTGGGGGTGAATATCAGATGGTTACTCGCTGTCAATGCTGGCTGACATTGAATCTTATGCCGGCTCAATGATGATTCTAGCTTTACTATGCGTACGGTGAGTCAATAAGTCACTCAATTGTTCTGGCGCATCAGCCTTCTGTGAACACTCGTGATCACCGGATTAACAAAACCCAAGGGCTCTGTTGTTTTCGTCTGATTATCAGGTGGAGTAGCCGAACCAAATATCAAATCGTACGTATCAACAATGTGCACTCAGCAAGATCTCCAGACAGCAAAGAAAAACGGAGAAGAACCATATGGTCATGGCGAGTTGTGCGTCACAAGTCTTAGCTTCATAAAAACGTAGAATAAGCTGACATCGATCAATCCAGTTCACTTGCTGTGAATTTCAACGCGACTCATGATGACCTGCGAGCATGGGGAGATGCACAAAGATTCAAGTACAATCAGGTAGGTTAAATTTTGTCTTCACATATCGATGCGTCAATTGGTTATCTGATCACTTATTTTTTGAAATCCCTACTTAGGACCACTATTGGACGTGAGTGAATTACCAATAAAATGGAAGGAGATGTTATTATGTTCTGTCGAGCTTAGCGAATGCTTACCCCACTCATCCCTCTCAGATTTTGGACTTTCAGATTGGGACAAGTGTTGGAGCCAAATCTTACTCAAAGCTATACAGAAACTTGGTAAGTAAATTGGTCGTTTTCAGCGATCAGGCGCGCAGAAGCTCATGTATCGCTTGATGCTATTGAAAGGTCTTACTTCGGAGCAGTCGATGCTGGAGTATGGCCGAGAGATCCATCACAATACTTCAATCCCTCCATATGCACACCTTTCCTCAATTCCACAGACAATTCAAGCAAGGTTCAGCTTCCCGATACACACCTCAATCAAGCAAAACGTGATTAGATATTCGAGGGAGAGAGACTTTCACATCCCCCAAATATACCCCCGCTGTCTATGCAGCTCGACTGGACAACTGCTTATTGATTTGATCCCTTTCACTAAAGAAGAAACAATCATTTGCTGTCGTTACTCAGTAGAGAGTAGCATTCACCCATTTGTCAGTTCAATGTGTATTTTCAATGTTTTTTTTTTTCAAAGGAATTCAATTATCCCATAATGTGATAGCGTGGATGTTTTCCCTTGCACATAATATGCAAACAAATTCAAACTTTATTGCGGACAATCTCGTCGCAATCGTTCACTATCAACCCGCCCGTCTCCAGAGCGTGTTCATTCTGATGTACACACAATGACGTTCGGGATCTTGCCTCGCGTGGAAACCACATTGCAGACAATGGTCGCCTATGCATTGGGTCAAAGAAAATCATTCGCAAGGCCTTGCATTATGTACCTTTAGAACTCCCGGTTGGTCAACGCGGGTTAATGAGCCAGAGGAAAAGCCCGCGAAACTGTAGTGAGGGTCTGATTGGATCTGAATACATGCAGCCAGTGGCCGCTTGGCTCTGGCATAGGTGAGCATAGGGGTCGCTACCTTGGCCTAGAGCGGATATCGCCCAGCTGCAGCAAAAGGTAAGGGTCCCACAAGGTGGGGAACATAGCGAATAGTCTACCCTCATTCTAGGCTCCAACACCACGCTGCCGTCCCTATTGCTGTGATTTTAGAATACCTCAACTGGGCACCGGTAGTTGGAGGTTGCTCAATCTAACACGGCATGAGCTGGGTCAACCAACGAGCTTAAATATTGTTGCTTTAATACACAAGGGCCTGCCACCCCATCAAAACCTCCAAGTCGTTTCATCATTTCATCAGGGGCCGTTTTGAAGACTCTTTTGGATTACCCCTGCAAGCATTACACACCACTTGGCTTATTGGCTTATATTCCCCTTCAAACTGGGCTCAAATCTAAAAAAATCTCCTCACAAGGTTTCTCTTGACCTGTCACCTTGAAATACTTTCGTTAGAATCCGATGATTTCCAACAAATGTTATCTGAGCCTTCTTGGCCTGGTCCTTTTCACCTTTCAAACCACCGCCAAGCTCCCAGAAACCTACAAGTATGGCACTAACATTGGTAAGTAAGAGAAGTCATGACGGCGGTTGATCAATCCAGTTAAAGCGTTAAACTGACTATTGCTCGATGCACTATCCTCTTCCTCTCTGTCAAATAGGTGGCTGGCTTTTGGTACGTAGAATTCTGCAATCGGATATCGTAGTCCTCTTCAATTCAGCCTCGTCAATTTTGTATTCATTTACCTCTTTGTTACGCAGAGCGAACCTTGGATGAAACCAGTCGAGTGGGCCGCAATGGGGGGCGAATATTGCCCCGGAGACAGCTCAACATGTGCTGCAAGTGAATGGAGTCTTGCACGCAAATTAGGACAAAAGCGTGCCAATGAAGCCTTTCTGAAGCACTGGAAATCTTGGTCAGTCTTAAACTTGATCACACACGTAGCCTGAATTGTGACGCGGGACTGATGGCACATTCGGCGATTTTGTTTCGGAAAAAAAGGTTTAATCAAGAGCATGTTGACCAACTCAAGGCATTAAAGCTGGATCACGTTAGAATCCCGCTTGGCTTCGTGAGTTATTCCACTCATCCTACAAGTAAACCAAGAAACTGATGTAAGCATCCTTCTTGACAGTGGATTGTTGAAGAGCTTGTCGAGGCCCCAGCTGAGCTCTATGCCCAAGGAGGCTGGGCGGAACTGAAAAGAGGACTCCGCCAACTCCGCGACGCCGGCTTCCATGTATCACTCGACATGCATGCGCTGCCTGGAGTATCAGCTTCAAACCAGATGTTTGCAGGAAACGTTACTTCAGACGTCCAATTTTACAAAGATCACAACTACCAGCGGGCTCTTACTTGGAGCGCCGTACTGACATCCATGTCTCATCTGGATCCTGACTTCTCCAGCGTTGTGGCAATCCAGTGCATCAACGAGCCCCTCAGTGATGTAAGTTTTGTTGCCTACTGGGACAATGCCTTACTCGTCAATATTGATGGTTTATGTTGCATTTTCGTCGGCAGGCGAACCTTACTCCAGGATTAGAACAATATTACTCAGATTTTGTAACCATCACTCGCGTCATTGAATATGCCATCGGTGTCGAGTGCGAGGCTGACCTAAAAAAGTCTATTCAAAGACTTTCCCGATCTAAAAATGCCATGGTGGCCTTAGAGGCCGCGATCCCTTTGATTGTCACTTATGCTGGCAAAGCAAAAGTGGACGTTGATTCCAAGATACTCGGTGTTCTCAAGACCTCTCTGTCAAATCCCAGTCCAGTCATAACAGCTGCAGCGCCCGTCAACACTGGGAGCATTCGCGCCACGTCCAGATCAAAGATTTACCCCGCACCGAAATCCACGAAAGACATCTTGAAGCGTCACGAATTACCGCGACGTGAGGATATAAAAAGTCAAGCTAAGCGTTCATCATGCTTAGCTACCATGGCCATGCCTAAAAGATGGCAATGGAAAGGAGAGGGCAACTCCATGGCAAACCATACTTTGGGACCCGCCGCTTACGATGATCACGTAAGTCCTGATGAAATTACAATCGTAAAGCGTGTCGAAAAATCCTGACACAAAAGTGTCCACCGTCATTTCAAAAACTCCAGATGTACTTTGCGTATGGTCAGTGTCAACAAAATAACATTGCATCATGATCATATTTCTATTTTGATTGATCGCCACTTTTATTATCCACGCGACAAAAATCAAACCATTATTGACATAACCTTGGGGCATCCTTTGTTTGAATTTCAGGTGGAGTGGCCGATCCAAACTTAAAATCATACTTGACAACTATGTGCAATCAGCAACATTTCCAGGAAGCGAAAAAGCTTGGCGAGTCGCCGTACGGCCATGGCGAGTTGTGAGTTATTTCTGTAACTTGTTCTGCGAATTCAACCAGATCAACAGGAGCTTACATATCTTGGTCAATTCAGCTCGTTGGCCAACAATTTCAACGCGACACACGATCAACTTCGGCAATGGGGTGACGCTCAAAGATATGTGTTCAACCAGGTGGGTTTTGTTTTGAAATATTGAACCACCTCAGAATCTAATTGGGCTTTACCTTAATTTTTCGGGCAACGTTATCAGGAGCATTTTTGGACGTGAGTTTGTCAAACATTTCAATATGTAGTACCATGGGTCAACTTCTTACTGTGATTGAAATTGTACAGCTTTTGGAGCTTCAGGCTTGGCAAAGTGATGGAACCGAACCTCACTCAAATGATGATAGACAGCTGGTAAGACATTTTCTGCTTTCTGATGTGTACACTAGACGTGCGCTTAAACTCACACGGGCCTGGTGGCACTTTTAGGTCTTATTTAGGCGCAGTTGAAGCTGGGATATGGCCAAAAGATCCAGCTGAGTATTACAATCCCTCGATATGCGAGCCCTATCTGAAATCGCCCGATAAACAGGAGAAGACCCAGGATTAGATCCTTCAGAGTAGAAGATTCTGTTGAGAATTCCTCATTTGCTTGAATGATTCCACTACCTGCCCTCTTCAGGATACCATACATTTTTCTTTTCATCTCGGGTCACGGGTAGCTACAAGTACACTTAAAAATCGATGGGGCTGTAGTAATACAATTGTAATTCTTGAAGTACATATGTTTCAACCAAGGACTGCTGCTCAATTTTCTTTTCACATTTTGGAACAAATCATGAATGTATATATTACAAATCTGAAATTTATGCCTCCACGCAGAAAAGCACTCGATGGGCAGGCAACTTGGTCCCGTTTGCCAATCCATGCATCGTCTTTAGGCTGCTTGAAATTTAAAAAGATGAACCTCAATTTGTCATTCCTCCCCTAAACCTTTGCATTGAATCTCAATGGCATTATTTCACGTTTTTAGTGAACTGCTTTCATTTCAAAACGTAAAAAATGTCAACGTCTGCTCTCCAACATACAAAATACAATTACGTGTGTTCCACAAATATCAACATGCTATGGATTCACTAGAATACATTTTGCGGTGTGAAAATTTTTGGTGAGTGGAACATCCCAGTTAAGTAGTTCAAGTAAACGTGCGGCCATTCGAAAAAGTGGATAGTCGGATTTCAATTTGAATATCCAGGATTACCAGTGCAAACGATGAGTTGGGCACTGAAAGCATCAAAGGAAAGATGTCACGTATCAGTATATATTTGCCTGGGTCTGAACTGTTGAAAAAGTGAGTGAGTTTCCCCTCCTTGACGAACCTCATATCCGCCAGGATTATTGTGAAGGTCTGGATAGCAATCAAGGTCAGGTCTTGGTAAAAGCCATCGCGGATGAAAGCGGTAAGATAAATGACACAAACAATTTTGATGGTAGTCTTCAGCATCCCACCATTGCTCAAACTTTTCGATCACGGTGACGATGTTTTTTCCTTTGGGTTTATAGTGTTTCTCTTCAACCTCCTTGGTTACTTTTTCGGCTACCTCACGTTGATCGTCGTTAAAGTAAAAGATTGCCGATCGATATTGAGTACCACGATCGGGACCCTGATGATTATAGTGGGAGGCGTCGTGGGTCCTGTAAAACTGAGAGGACTCAATCAAATCCAAATCCTGCGTGAACGATAGATGCCCACCCCTGTACTCACAAACTCAACCAATTCCGAGTAGGATACTATGGAGGGATCGAAGTCAAGTTTGACACTCTCTGCGTGCTGTGTGGTGCCTATAAGGATCTGATGTGAGACAATTGTGCTTTGAACCCGGAGAATTATGGAACGTGAATAGATGGAGCGAGATGAATGCCAACCTGTGCAAACCTGTTTGTAGGTAGGATTATTCACTGAACCACCTGTATAGCCAACTTTGGCGTCCAAGAGTCCCTTGCCATGACCGTAATGCTGACGGAAGATATGCTCTGTTCCCCAAAAACAGCCAGACGCAAATATGGCACTCTACAAGAGAAGTTTACGCAGTCAGTGAATAATTCCCATGAATTTTTTTTTTAGATTCAAGAGTGACTTCTGAAGAAAAAAAGGACTACCCACGTCTTTCTTGGTGGCTGAAGAACCCATGAATGACTTTGGTGTGTGTATCGGGTGATTAGCTAGGGGCGAGAAGGAGAGCAAACAGCCCAAGGTCGAGGGACGATTGAAGAATCTTGCCGAGGTGAATAGCATCAAATGGGGATGTTCTCAACAATACTGAGGTAAGGTTCCTAGTTGGGGTGGCCAGTGTTGACTCGAGATGAAGTCGGCCTTTTATAATCTTTCTACGGCCCTGCTCCCCCGGGGCACCAGGGTACAGTGCCACTCCGATTCTTTTGCACCCCGGCGTTAGGGTTGACGGCGCCAAGGCCAAGTGCGCGCCTGAGGCGCCGCGCCCCGGGTGCGCGCACCCGGCGCCCCCAAAATCTTGAAAATTGGGGTGGGCGCGCACCTTCCTAACCCTAATTTTTACAGGGAGCCTGGGAGGATCTCATGGGAAGGTTCATGAGAGTTGGCCTCTGTACATGGTATGAGAGGCTGTCAGGCGGTCTCCTGACAGCCTAGGGAAGAAAAATGTCGATTAGACTTGGTGGCTTTTGCACTGCCAGTCTGCCAGACTTACATAGAAGTCAGAGATTGCTTTGTTTTTGGACCAAATTTCCACCAAGTCCTACATTACTTGCATTATGCCACCAATCAGAACTGACCAGACCAAGACAACAAGCAAAGTGTATAACCTACTGCAAACAAGTCTTCAACCACGGAAAACCTCACCTCCTCTTCTCACATATCAAAGCCTCGTGTGCAGTTATTTCTCCAGAAAAAATATCTGCTTACCTTTGTGATGCTGTAGCGCAGGCGGAGACAAAATCTCATTGCCATCTGATAATGGTTGTGATGATGGTCAAATCATCTCAGTTTCAATTCCCTCAAACCAAAAATCAAATCCATCAGTTGATCAGTTTTTTTGTCCGGTGTTGAATGAAAAGACTCAGCACCAAAATTGGTTTTAAATTCAAAAATAACAAAAAATTAATTGGCGCCTGGCGCCCCATGGCGCCCCCAGCCAAAGGCGCCAGCTTGAGGCCACTGGCAAGGCGCCCCTGGGCGCGCACTTTTTCAAACATGGCGCCGTCAACCCTACCCGGCGTCCCCCTGGGTATGTAGCACAGCTCACAGCAGACTTATTTCTCTTCCGAAGAGAATCCCAGCCAAACTTGTAGATTCTCAAATCGTATTCGAGATCTAGAAGTGTCAAGGTATTTTTTTTGGTTTTAGTTTTGAAGTCAGTTTTAAAGCTGTAAAATTATTTCTTCAATTTCCTCAAGTAAAAGCTTTTTGAAGCTATAATCTATTTTCTTCAGGATTACGACGTGTGTTCTTTGAAGTCACCTAAAGACATAAAAATCGACATGTTGTATCGCCTGGTTCTTTCCGCCATGGCCACATCAATGTACCATCCTTGCTCCAATAAGATCTTGCCCGGAAAATCCCGAAATCCAAGCTTTCGAGACTCATTTAAATGACTTGTTGTTCGAAACTCTACGCATACCCGGCTGCGTGTGCTGAGGGTTGAGAACACAATTTCTTGGCCTGCTGGCAGCTGTGTTCTTGTTTGTTACACCACTTCACCAAGAGAAAGAAGACCGCTGACGTGCAAGCTGTTGTGACGTCAATGTCTATTTGTTCATGGGTGTGAGATTAACTGGGATTCGCGCTGGCCTTAACATTCCTGTGTATCTCTCTGAACAGGTCCAAACCTTTTTTAAAAAAAAATCGACGAGGATTGTTACCAAAGAATATGGGGATATATGTGCATTATGAGGGCGAATTGAGAGTCTCATCTATGAAAGCACTATCCTTTGGAAGACCAACACTCCGAAACAAACATCTGACATCCGCGGCCAAGGCGCTTCAGCTCTATCTGAATAATACTTTGTGAAAAGCAGCATGGAATTGATTCAGGTTGGGCAGAAAAGGGGTGATCCCAGAAAAGAAGACCGAGACAAGGGAAGGAACATGATAACATCTTATAATAAATTTTGACTCTTCTGGATTTGCTACACATAAGATAATCGTAGAAGAGTAGTATGTGAAATGATAGAAAGTAGCAAAGATCGTCGCCTGTTTTTTTTTTTTTTCTTCAACCTGACTTGAGGTGAATTGGATGGCTATGGTTAAGTAGCGTGCAGAGACTTCCAGGCGAAACAGCGCCCGCCATTCTTGATGGATGGAAAGCTCAGGGATCGTAATTAGTTCACGGGACTGTCGGTTCAAGTTGTCAGTCAGTTTTTTTCTGGAGTCCTTGAAGTTGACCATGTATGATGTTTTGTTTGTGCTTACGAGGGTACAAATAAGCCTTCGCTAACACCAATCTCAAAACAGTCTGACCCAGTTGGACAATCGTTCTCGGGTACGGGCTTGGTGGCAGCTGGAAAAGCGAATGATGACAAGTTAAAAGTTCGATTTTAGCACTACATCTTTAGATCAATGCAGCTTAGAAAAACTAGCTTACCCAAGGCTGCTAGACAGATGGCGATCACAGTAAGGATCTTGCAAAACATGATAAATACTTATTTATAGATTCGGTGTGGTTGAGAGGATCACGCTGTAGGAGAAGGATGAGAAAAAAAAATCAATGCCCTTATGCGAGGTCACAGATATTTATGTTATCGATGAGCCAGCTACAAATATGATTGACTCCTTTCAGCAAATCGGAATGCCTGTGTAGAGCCGCCTTCCCAATTGATTAGATACAGCCAGATGAACTCCTTCTAGCCTGGATCGTACATGATATATTTAGCACATGTCATGATGTCCCTCGGGATTTTCGGCGCACGCGGATTCCACTTCGGCTCCTGCATACATTGTAAACAGTAGCCAAGAAACGCACAGAAACCCATGGTAAGCCCGGGGCGGCGGCGGTGGCTCCTGATTGTAACATCTGTTGATTAATTTTGGTCTAAAATAAATACGGCCTGCAGGCAGCCACCACGATTAATTGATCACTTCTGGCAACCCCTGTGTCAGTACAAAAATAACACTCCGCCATCGCTTTCGCTTGACTCATCAAGGTCCCCATTTCCCCTCCATAACTTGATAAAGCCCTCCGAAGACGAGGGACTTCATTAGGTTAGCCATTTCCCATACAAGATAGGCCTGGCGCGTTTGCGAAAAGGGTGCGGGTTATCACTTGATCCTGTCGCCAAAGAAACGTCAGATGGATGCTCGAATGAGTCAGCATGAGCCCATCACGTCCGTTTGAAAATTGAAGATACAAGTGCTGAATGCGTGATGGGTTGACGAGTGTAATTCAACCATATAATCAACGAGTCAAGATGAAGAGGGTTTCACGAAGTTTTTAACCCCTACCAAACGGCACAAAATCGCTGATGAATGTTGATCTAGCTTGTCAAATCGTTGGGAATTTTGTGTACGAGGCCTTTGAGCCTTGGTCATCATCAATTGAATCGCCATGGGCATGGCATTGAACCAATGACTATTACCCGAGAAAAGGAAAACGCTACCATGGTGTAGGACGTAGGCAGTTCCCCACAGAAAAGCCGAACAAATGTTTCATCGACCCCGGGGTCCCTGTTCCCTGGGTATTGTGATTTCCTTCAAGAGAATAAACCGCAGTGTTACGCGAGATTATGTACAATGTTTTTGTGCCACATTTGTCTTTTAGGCTCAATTTTGACTTCCAGCGCAAATATGGTAAAGGTGGAGGTTATCTATGTAAACCTTGAAAACGTGTCTCAACGTGCATAATCCTGATCATGATAATCAGGCATTCATAACATACAATCTTTCATTGGTCTCCAGATCTTATCATCAAATCAAGTGGGTTGAGTTATACCATGATATAACATAATTATCCTATCAATCCCATTCTTGAGCTATGGTGAGTTAATTTTTCTCTGAGTGGATATCAATCTGCTCAAATACATATGGGTACACCAGGAAAGCTATGTGTGTATATGACACAAGGTCTTTTGTTCAGAATTTGATGAGCTGATTACAGATTCAGAATAAGAACATACTTGCCTGGCCTTGCTGTTTTTTTAAAACATCTGCTTTATGTCTTTATGGAAAAATGTGTTTTATTCACCTTTTTTGGAACACCCCAGCATATTTTAATTCAACTAATAGTAGGGGAATACCAGAGTAATTGAAAATGCTGTAAGATGGATATTTGATTTCAATCCTTTCTTTCCTCCTGAAAAATATATGGAAAACCACTTATAATTGGTTGATCAGAAGGATATAGATTTTATAATAAGTGATTTTAAGAAAGTGATCCAAATTTGTACAAATACCAGGACAGCCTTTTATTCATAGTAAAAACTATAATGCAATAAAACAATGATCTGGGTTTTTTGTGAGTATAAGATCATGTTTTTTTTTTTTTTAATGCATGGTGAAGTTCAATTCATGCTCAGGAGTCAGATGAATAATTTTCATCACCCAGAAATCCCTTTACTTCTTGTGGGAATCCAATGATTTGTCAATCAGTTTTGTCTTATCAAAGTTTATTTCAAAGTATACTAGTATTATTGTAGGAACTGGTCACATGAGCTATTAGGATTGAGTATGTTAATTTCATAGTTGATGATATTGATGGCCGTGAAACTAAAGATCTAAGATATTTCAATCTCGATGCTGCCTTTGAAACTAGGGCCCTAGGCACAAGGTATCTGTGGATAAAATTTTACCTGATACAATGGAATATTGAATAAAGAGTGGATTCTATTTTTTATAGACATGTGAAAGCTATTTTTTATGGTGTGTGGTACTGGCGAAGTCAAGAGTTAAATCAAATGGAACCAATAATACATTACATGGTATGATGGAAATTGATGACAGTCAAAAGGTTCTTTCAAGGAGCATTGAATCAACGGATTTTTAGAAGTTGAATATCAGGTCTCAAACTTGAAGAATTGGAATCAATCAGCATGCGCTTGAATTGAAAAGGGCAAATTTACTGAAATTACTCACATGGGGAAGTTCGTTGCGATCACTGACTTTGCCCCTGGAACATGAGGGGGGAGGCTATTTGGATTGGAAGAGCGTGAGGAGAGAATTAGGAAGAGGATTCAAATAGGATCTGACTAATTCAGATTGAAGGCCCGGTGAATTGTTGCAAGTCCCTCGGGTGTACAGTCAGATCTCCAATAGCCCATACCCCTTGGTGAACACATTTTGCTATGGGTTACAGGGGTGTATGGGTTAATAAGTGGAGTTTTCCAGCACTTTGGTAATTTTGGTGGACCCAATTTCCTATGGGCTACAAGGGGTTATGAATTAAAAGGGAGATGACTGTATACAACAAGCGAGGAGCTCCATTTTTATGTTGCCCGCCATTAACTTGATTCCCTTGGAGGTGTATCGGTAGGACTGCGTGGCACTGGAGGTCATGATGGGGATTTGGGAAGCAAAAACAATTGGAAGGGCCTCGTAGCATTTAGGTTTGCATGCATGTGCACCAAAGCCTAGAGGGTAGGTGGGGCTGCGTCCGGAATCAGCTAGAGGAGATGAAACTGGGGGGAGGTGGTGAGCCGCCATTGCCGGAATTCTTCAAGGATGGCATGAAGGTGGCCGGCGCGTAAGTGGGCTTCTGGGTTGATGGATTGTGACAGTACCAGAGATTGTGGGCAAAATATTATATCCATCACAAGGCATTGCTGCTGATTGCTGATTCCACATCTGGCTCAGTCTTCAACTATGGTATTCAAAGTTGAAATGCATGAAATCATAGTGCATAAATCATATAATCATAAAACATTTTGGCTGGGAAAGCCAAAGCTTACATAATCAGATTACCAAGATCCCCTGCAAACAAGGTGTTAAGATCTTATGATTTATGTGGTTATGATTTTATGGAATTTAACTTTGAAGACCATAAACAAATCAGGACAGGGGGGCGCTACGGCTCACCCAGCCAGATTAAAACACGCGAGCCTAGCAGTGGTATCACCACTGGTTGCTTGTTTAGAATCATGGAATGTCACCAGGAGCCCTGGTAGTTAAATGCTCAAGAAGACTCAGATTGTTGAGGTATTCCACACTTTACTCTAGTTCATAAACACCCTTTGTTCCTGCAGAATTGTGGTCAACCGTATTCACTTTGAATCCGCCTGAGACAATTTAGAATTGCAATCTTGGTTCCCAATAGATCTTGCCACAACAGCGCCTTCTAAGATTGCGCTCACTCTTCACTTTCTAAACCCATAACATCCCCCTTAACGCTTATTTGTAGATTTTATGACTGAGTCTTAAGGTCACTGAAGTAAAATATGATCTATGCAAGACCAACGTACATTTGTAATCATGGCAGCTAGAGTAAAAATTAGTGTCTGCTCCAGAAGGGCCATCTCCGCGGGAAGCTTGATAAGATCATAACTCAACGGCATTAATCCTGAGGCGTGGGAAACAACTGATTTTGGGTTGTTTTTTTATTCAAGACAGTTCAAGACTAGTTTATCAGGTAATCTTCATTGCCAATTATCAAGTAGAGGATAGAAAGCATTCCATTGAGCTGACCAGGGGATGTGACTTGAATAAGAAAAGTAATCCTTCTGACCCTCAACTGCTACACTGCAGACCATTGGCAAACCTTTAATGTTGCTCATTCTTCTCTTTGGACCAATCATATTTGATTTTTGTTTGAATCACTAGCGAGTGCATGATCAACTCAGTTGAAATTAACAGCTAACATAACTATATCCTGTTTTGATATATGATACATACAACTTTCTCAAATCCACAAGCATCAAGAAACACAAAAGGCTCTTTGATCCTAGTGTGGAGACAACAGCAGATGAAGTTGAATTCTTCACTTTTCAATGATAATATTAGTTCATGAGAAATGGAATAAAGCAGTTACATCGATCAAGCTGCTGCCTTTGAGACTAGGCACAAGGTGTCGGTGAAGAACATTTTACCTAATACAGTAGGTGAATCATACAGGAAGATTTTATTTTATCTTCCAATACAAATAGAAGATTTAACGGAAAAGCAGATATTTTTTTGGTTTCATTAATGGCTACTCCTAGAGTGAAAGTAAATGGAACTGATAATACAAAGACTACTAAATTTGGTAGTTCATTGAATAATGTTTTTTGGAGGTTTTGAGAAAAGGATCAAGAAGAAGATTTGTACAAAGGGAAGGGTTCTGGGACCGATTCTATATAAAGGAAATGATTGGAAAAAAGGTTAGGCGATCATTGACCGAGATATGACTGGGAAACTTCATAACAAGCTCACAGGATTTCAGGTCGGGCGCAATAAACCCATGTCCCTTAGGCGAGTCCGACGAACAAGGAGGTCAAGCTTTGCATTGTTGGCCATCAACTCGATTCCATTGGGGGTGAAGCGGTAAGAGTGTTTTGCGCTGGAATTCATCATGGGAATTGTAGCAGCAAAGGCAATAGGAAGAGGTTTGTAGCATTTGGGCTTGCAGGCATGGGCGCCAAAGCCAGCAGGCTGGGTGGGGGTGCGTCCAGAGTCAGCCAATGGAGATGAGACTGGGGGAAGGTGGGGAGCAGCCATGGTTGGAATCCTCTAGAGTAGTGCAAAAGAGGGGGAGAGGAGGTTGGACTTGTTGGTTGGGGGAATGTGGCAATAGGCATCCGGGGCAACCTTTTATATCAAGGCATTGCTGCTGATTGCTGAGCCAGAAGCAGCCAGAAGCATCACCCTAGCTCAGCGGTCAAAGTTTGGCTCCGCTTGCAGCAAAGCCTTTGTCAAAATAAAATCATAAAACTGTTGGTATGTAAGGGTATGGATTGCTGAGCAGGATTTCAAAGTGGATTGTGACCGTTTGTTTTTATAGAATCCTGGAATTTCAATCAGGACTTCAGGAGTTCTGGTGGTGAATTGCTCAGCAACATCATTGAGTTTATAATGTATTCCATTTGGCCTTTGAGTTCACCAACCGCCTTTGTGGCAATTGTGATGACCCATAGTATATTCTTAACCAACATTGACGCTGGAGATTGCACTCATTTTTCACTTGCTGAACTCATACATGACAGTCCATTTACTGTTTGCTTGCCTGACCGAGTCTCAGGATTACTTGAGCCAAACTTGACTTATACTATTATAAAGTACCTCAAGAATCAGTGAAATCACCACTCCAGATAGAGTCCCGATCTCGTGAGAAAAAAATTGCCACGGGGAGCTTGATAGGACACAAACTCATAGGTCTGGTGTGGTCTCTTCCTGTGCTCTTGATTCTTGATTGGTTTCATAGGTGCATTTAACCTATCCAACTGGTGATGAATAGTCTGGTGTAAGACATTGTGGATTCCTTTGAACGGACCAGGTGATGTGGCTTTCAGGAAAAAGGTATCAACTGCCACTGCGTACTCTTTTAAAGTTTAGCTGAGGAGATCAAAGTTGTTGTATGCACTGGTCCAACTGGTTCAACATCCAAATATTGCAGTCGACATCCAATTTCTGCTTCAGCTGCTGTCCCAAGATCGAAAATGACAGAAAAACCTACAGAACCCAAGAAACACTAAGCAATGGCCCAATAAGAAGTTTTCACAGATGGTGTTGGGTAGTTTCCGCCTCCTTGTGCATAGATGTGGCATTTTCGGTGGTTTTTTTTGTCCGTTTTGTTTTGGGCTTTGGTAAGACATTGAGCCTTTTAGAGTTGTGGGCACAACCTATAACTGAGTACAGCTGGGGGTCAAGCACTGATAGTGAAAGACCTTCAAGTAACTCAAGTTACCATCAGTATCACAAACCCTTAGTTGATGACAGATGGTTTATACTTGATTTCCAAAAATTGTTACTTGAACTAATGAATTCTAGCTTGTCAGATTCTCAAAAGACTTTGAGGGTTACATTGATAACTTTTGAAGCAAGGACAGTCAAATCTGGATCTCAGATCGCAGCATAAACTACTCTGCCGCAAGGTTTTCCCCAGGGGAAAGGGGACTAGGATTTCCTAGCACAAATTCAACTTCAAGACATGGCGACCAAGGTTGCTGGGATGAAGGCAAGCAAAGACCCAGGGATACAATCCCCAATTGGTCATCTAGCATATGGATGTGCAAGTCAAACCATAGGACACTCTCCAGGTTATCTTGTTTAGTAACATGCAATGAAATAACACAGCGTTACTGGGGATCCGGAACGGCCTTGGAGAAAGAGTGGCAAAATTTTTTATTTTCCAAAATCATCCACATCCAAAATAACAGTCATCAATAATGGGAAACTACTCTGCAAAAGTTCAGTACCAACAACGTCATGGATTATGTTTTCAAAATAATTACTTTTCTATCCTTTAGCTCCTCAGTAAATTTTTCAAGCTCAGTCAAGATATCTAGGGGCTTGTAATTTAGCCAGTGGTGTTCATGAAGTGATAGTGCAAGTTGATCACATGTTCTAAAGGAAGATAAGAAAATCTTTTCTAATTCTGGGTTCCTTCTTCTATCATTCATCAGTTCTGGCCAAGATGTGTAGGTGCTCAGCTTCTTTTGAAGCTCCGATGGCCCAATGGAGAAATCCTTGACCAAATTTTCAGAAATATCTTTGGCCGCCATGCAAAAAAGTGGTCTATGATACCAGCACAGAATGGGTGAGATTTTGTTTTGTAATACCTCCTTCAAATTCAGTCGGTGACGCAACACCTCAAACAACAACTTGGTAAATATGAAAGTATGCTGGGCCCTTTCTTCAGGTTGATAAACATCAAAAGAAAAAAGTTGAGAATTCAGTATCAAAAGTTTGAATTGAAAATTTGGTTAGGAATCATGAACATGCCTTGTGGAACTTTGAGCTCTTGAGCCATTGATCCCCAGAAATTAATAAAATCTTCTTTTTCATTTACTGTTGAATATGCATGTCAACGTTTTCCACTGAGGACATGGGCTAGGAATGAATTTGCACAAAAATTATGTTGTTACTCACCATTGTAAACGGTCTTCCGGTCAACAGCAGCTAGTTGGAATGGGAAAGCCAAGCTTTTTGGAAGATTGATAAAGTTACCTTTGTGGTTTTAAGTGGGTAGGACTTCATTATTATTTGCAGTTTCATCAAAGAGGACTTGGCACAAAACCCGTATTTTGGGATAATTCTGAGAACCTCAGTAATAAGGACTTACGGAAACGTTCACTTTCAAATAGGTTGTTTACTTTTTCTAGGATTCCAGTCTTCCCACTAAGTATATACAGATTTTGAAGCATTGATGCTCCAGTATATTGAAGCCACACAAAAATATCTTGCTGATTGTTCTTGTCCTTGGTGTTTCCTAATAAAATATTTCCTGCCCCTGAAGATGAATTTCATTGTCACATGTTGAAAATAAGTGCATCAGTTAGGGTCATTGCGGTTACTCACTCTGGCAAATTCTCCAAATTATGTGATTTCTATTGCTGGAGTATTGGGCGTGAACTGCTTTCAAAGGTTTTAAAATAGTGGGAAATTGATAAGAAATACTTTTGAATGTCTTTTTCTTCACAGTTCTCACATGAAAAAGCTAACTTAGTGATCCGTTAGGAGCGAACTGTGAAGCTGCTTTTTCGTTCTGAGTTGAATCGGCGTGAATCTTTAACCTCTGAGTGATCGAGTTCCGGAGGCCGCCCAGGCGCTCTAATACCAAGTTTCTGTGCTGCTCCTCTGGCGATTTGGCGTCGTTGATTTCTTGCCTGTTAGGAGTTTTACCAGCTATGTGATATCGTTGTACTTTCGTAGGCACAGGAAGTGTCTCAATTTGTATGGAGTTTGGATTAGCCCAACGATTTCTTTTTGATATGTCAATGTGGTTCATTCGCAAGTTTTGAGGCGCGTCTTTCATTCCAGCCAAATTTCTCAGCAGGTTGACAGGATTATCATCCCCATGTACATTTGGCCAGAGGCAAGAATAAATAACACTTTGAATGAGGAATGGTATGAACCAGAGATGTTGGGCCATACTTGACTGAACGTGCTAGGGATTGATGGTCTAATTGAGTAGAAAATTTAAATTACTGGTTACAAAATCGTTAGACAGTTATATGTGTCTTCAGAGCGCAGAATCAGTGAGTTTTGGCAAACGGGATTGGCACTTTCAGCAGCTTCGTGGTGGCAGCACTATTTCCTTTCTAAATCATTCTTTATAGTATTCAAGACATCCTTTGAAATACCGTTTTGCATCTGTGCCCTTGAATCCTTGCCTGTGTCAGCGGCAGTACTGCTGGTGTCCGACTGACACTGAAATCTCGACATATGTCTCGGGGGAAAATTGGGAGAGCTGGATGATACGGTTTCAAGGATTCCAGGTTAACGCCAACACACAGTATCACATCATGTCAGCGCACAATGTTGCTCGATAAGAGGCGTTCCCACAGGGTGCAAGCAGTTTTGTACTTTCCGTGGTGACCAACTTCAGCTGATTGTTACTCCGTCCACCATCATAGAGTTTTTCCTCTTTTTAATCTATCCATGCACGAGTACTGATGTTGACAGGAATCTGTCAAAAGTTTAGAATCCATCGTGCCTATGCAAGAATTTTTTTGTATTTTCATGATGGCCTACTGAAGGCAGCAAACTTTAACAGCTATTGGATATGTTTCAACAAGTGCCAGTTTCTTATGAATCTTGATCAAACTTAAAAAGAGTGTTTGGGTGGGAGCTAACCCTTTTAGGGAATTTTATATGATTTTCATACCAATGATAATGTGTATGGAGGATATATGATGATGTGTATGGAGGATAGATGGATGTGTATGGATGAATGATGAGAAGGCGGGGTATGAAATTATGAATGAAAGAGGATAAAGCACAACCTGAAGCTCTGATAGAGGTTATGAGTTGTCAACCTGTGAGACTCTTCATAGAGTGTTCAAAAAGACTAGACATTTATTACTACAAGAAAGTTATACACATATTTTGATTTCTATCCCAAGGTTGTGTTTAACTCTCTGTACTTCCAGCTGCCTATCTTGAAAACCTCCCTCATGCACTGAAGACTAGTTTGGTAAGGTGATAAAATCACCTGCATGGATACATAGCTATGATTCCTTTGCTAGGGTCCATTTTTAATTTAATATTGTATTTTGGTTGGTCTGAAGTATGAATCAACCTTCATGGCCTGATACAGGCTAAGTCAATTCAAGTTTGCTATACTGGGACTTCCCCAGGGGATTTATGTGAAGAGAAAAAAATACAAATAAAGGATACTTAAGCTCAATGGAGATGATTGCCACATTTTGATTTCACATGACCTGTCCTCAAAGAAAATCCATGTGGAGTGCAACTGTTCTCATATGCAAGAGAAAGTTTGCTGGGAGTGCTCAATTGCCCATGCAAATGGAAATGAATATTTGAGGAACCCTCTTTGGCCTAAGATTATCATTTTCCATTGGTACAAATCCATGTGATCAACCCTACTGCAAGAGTAGCATTGAACCCCTTCTAAGATTATTTTTGTTCCTTATAAGCTCCAAAGTCCTTTGTTTTTTTCATAATATGAATATTTCCAATCCTCTCAAGTTACTTAGGCCCCGCTTGGACACCAAATTATACATTATAAATGTTAAGGTTCAGTGCTAAATCATGCAACCTACATATATTGACATAAATATATTTAACACAATTCTGTGCCAAATTTATGACATATAACAAGCTGGTTGTCCAAACAGGGCCTTATACAACCCCTTTGGGGTCTTCTTTCTATTGATCTATTGCATAGAGAGGTTTGTTATTTCTTAGGCCCCATTTGGCAGCAATATATTGCTATGAAATCTTATTGTAGCAATATGTGGCTATGAATTATGGAGCAATGTAGTGCTATTTTTGTCTGACATCCTATGGGACATCTGATCAGGTCCACAAAAAACTCAAAAGGTGTCACAAGACTTTGCAATATATTGCTGGCAGATGGAAGACTTAATATCACCACAGATGCTAAACAAATGCAAAAAAACATGATGATTTAGTCTGGGTTAGTTCCAGTGGATATAAGACTTCATACAAATGTCTGATGTTCAAAGATTAGGGGGAAGAGCAATGATGACTCCAAAAAGTCTCATTTTGAGTTTGATTGTGCCTGTTGCTGAAATGAGCCTGGTGAATTATACAGAATCTCCCATGGGAAATTGGACATGTTGTTCACCTGCATATCACCTTATATTGATCTTTACGCACTGCATAAGTGCATTTCCCACCCTAGACAGAACTAATTTTTATCCTCAACAAACCCACATACTTTTTCAATATGTATCTAAAGCAGTAAATGTATTCTCATTATTGCCTTTCTCATGTTTTGATATCTTGAATCAAGTTTTGAGCTTGTTGATAGACTTTTCCAAGCAGAGGTTTGATTTCAGACCCTTTGGTATTTCATAATTCCATAATCAAATCACCACACAAATTGATAAAATCATGGCCTTTGGATTTGCACTGAGTTGATTTTGGTGAGCTCTGTGTAACCCTTTTTAGACTGAAAGGTGTATGGAGGTCTTCTCACTGGTGTTTCAGACCACACAAAAACAACAGGAAGAACTTGCATAAAAGTATTTGGTCACCTGAGGTCGAATCTGTCAAAAAAAAAAACTTGTTTTAAATCTGTGATTTTTGATATAATCTAAAGTACATTAATATAGACAAGACCTGAGAATCAACTCAACAATGACGACTCTGACTCTGGTTTTTCCCGACAAACCTGCAAATATGCAATTAGTTTTATTTTGATTTGAATGATGATGATGATGACAGAGGACACATGTAAGACTTAGTCAGTCTCTTTCTCCACTTTGTACTTGAATAAGTGTGTGAAGAAAAAGACTGGTATCCGTTTTGTCAAAAAGAATCTATTGAGGCAGGGGGGGCAAGTTGGTTAGGTTTCATTTGGTGAGATTCAGATGCGAGTGAGAATCGACTCTGCTTATTCAGAATGAGAGGAGGGATTGGATAATTCAACAGAATCATGTCTCCCTGGACTAAGAGTGTTCAGAGTGATTTGGTTAGATTTTAGGTTTGTTTTTTCATTGATGTTCATTGTGTTCAGTGGGAGGCCCCCCTTTGGAGGCAAAATCCCACAATTGAAGTTCATGAAGTTTGTGGATCAGTGAACAAACCTTGTTCAAGAGCAGCAAAGCTTTGGCTGGAATGTGAACTGCCCTAATGTGATGATCTCGAATCAAATTGATGATCTGGTTTTAATCTTGTGCAACACAAAAATACATAGCAATGATTTATCCTCAAGAGGAGTTCAGCTAACCCAACCTCTGATCTGGAAGCTATTGATTCTCCAGGCCACAAAGAGCAAAAACCCGGCTGTCTGTGACAGATCCAGATGTGTGACAGCTGCATTTTTTTTGGCTGCATGTTTCTTGGTTCTATGTAGTACAAGTGAAGCCCATCTGGGAATTTGTTCAGCAGTTGTCAAACTTGACCCATCGAATCGAAGCCTCTCGATAATTGGGCGAAGTAGAATGGCTGGCAATCTCCATCCTACCCTGCTAGTGGTCGCCGGGGTCAGTGGAACTGGGTTCGTGAGCTCACTGAACAATCTAAAATCTTGACTGAAAGAGTACATAGAGCAGAGGAAGTATTGACTAAACACTGTTTGACTTTTCAAAACTTCAGGAAGAGCACATTTGGGTCAGAACTAGCCAAGCGTTTAGACGTCCCATTCTTGGATGGAGACGATTTACACCCACCAAGCAACATTGAGAAAATGAAATCGGGTGTACCCCTAGACGATTCGGTGAGCACGTTTATAACACTGTATAAATATGTCAAATTGTGCGTCATATTCTGCCGGAAGAACTTACGCTTCATTTGCTAAGTCATACCTAGGATCGAGAGCCGTGGTTGCACGTTATTCGGGCTAAGGCAATCGAGATCGTCGAGCGTCCAAGCTCAAGAAAATCACCACCGCCAGTGATCGTAATTGCTTGTTCGGCGTTGAAACGAAAGTATCGCGATTTGCTGCGTGGTCCCCCAGAAATCGACGCCGGTCTGTCGCAAGCAGCTGTATCCAATTGTCAAGTGGATTTTATTTATCGTAAGCACTCTTCGATAGCCTTCCCTTCGTCTGAAGACCGTTCTGATTTTCGATCATTTTTGAGTCCAACAGTGAAGGGTCAGCCCGAGCTGATCAGACAGCGACTGGAAGATCGGGAAGACCATTTCGTCGGCAGCAGCATCTTGGCCTCTCAATTGGCAACCTTACAGGAACCTGATCCTGACCAAGAAAACTCCAACCACAGCAAGACTATTGTCATCCCATTGTCCTCCGACGATCATCAACCGCGATCGGTGGTCGAAATGGTCAATGAAGCGTTACAAGAACTTGCAAATTCGACTCGATTACCAATAGTGCGATCTCAGATACCCATCCAACTGCCTACTCTACAAAGCCTTTTAGATTCTGAGTCGGCCCAGCTCAAAGATGTACTCGCGTTACTATTCGAAGTCTCCGATTCAATCGAACATAAACTCATTCCTGTCTTACGAGAGGAAATCCAAGAGAAATCCCCAAACTCATACTCTGAACTCATCGATCACTGTCAGCACATCGTCGAAAATCGCTTCAGTTGCGACGAGCAAGTCAATTTCTTGGCAAGTCATCCACGAATCGGCGAGCTCAAGGGGCTGAGTAAATTCAGCTCTAAGGAACAAGGCAATCAAACTGATCCAGCAATACTGGCCCGTTTGGAAGTGAGCTACAAGTTACTCATAGATGTCATCAGACTGTCAGACAAAACAGGGGTTACATAGAACTGATAATAACGGATCGATCAAAACTTAGGAACTCAACATTCTGTACGAGCAAACCTATCCTGGCTTACGATATGTGACTTTTGTGAATGGAAGAAGCAGGGCGGAGATCGTGAAGGAGATGGAAGATCTATTGACCAAAGAAGAAAGACCAACCACTGAAGTCCATTTGCAAGACAAAGAATGGCAAGCAGAATTGAAGAGGGGGATAGGAGATGTCTTCAAAATCGCTCAGAGCCGCTTAAAATCTATGACCGAAGCATCAAGCTCCTGATAATGTAATAATTAAAACTAGTAATTAAAGATCCCTGTATTGTTACAAGTATATGTCCTCCATACAAGAACATAACTCGACGATTTTCACCCATCTACCTGATCAAAATAAACATCCTTCCCACTCACCCTTAAAAACGCTTTCTCAAAATGCAGACACGTCCAGAAAGAAAAACGGGAAGACCCGAGGACAGGGCTCTCCTGACCAAAGTCCCCAACGTGATTTGAACACGTGACCTGCCGCTATGCTGTTGATAACTGCAGGCGGCCGCTCTAAACCGCTGAGCTATGGAGACTGGCGATGGGGAAATGCCTCCGTTTGACCGCCAGGTAAAAAAGGAACAGCAAACTTGCATAAACCTGGAAGACAGAATCGATGACACATTCCGCTCGAGGCAGGGCTGAGTATGATAGTGTGGCACGGATAATCTGATTGATTGATTGACCGATCCGTTTCTCTTATTTTTTTTCCTTGTACGACTTGACGCTGGGGATCTTATGAGAGCATGAGAGATGGTCCTCAGTCACAGTAAAAATTGAATGCTTCATGAAAATGATATATTACATTTGGTGCATTGGTTTATATTTTGTTGTATGAATGTGCGTATTACATGTTTTATTTTTTTTGTAGGGGAATCCGGCAGAACATATGTAGATAAAAAAAAAAACAAGCCACGAAAATAATGAAACCTTCGGATTGATTTGGAAGACTCAAACCAATGGCTTGATTGCATGAGTGAGATGTAGACGGGTTTATGCTCAATCTTTCTCAGAGGAAGCCTGTTGATCTTGCATCTCTTCATCCGAATCATCCGACTCCTCCGAATCTGAATCTTCGCCTTCAGCAATATTGATTTCTAATCTCAGCTCCTGATCCACACCAATGTAAGAACTTAATAATAAGCACCAAAAAAAATGTTGAATGTCAATAATCTTTCCGTTATTATCAAGGATGACAACGAAAAAAAAAAGATGTCAATGAAATACTAACTCTGAGATCAAGTCAAGTTTGAGCTCATGTTTCCCAGCGGTTGGGACGGAGAATTCGATTTTAGTGGGAAGAGGAGTAGCTCCAGTGACCTTTTTCAAGCCCAAGAGTTTCTTCTGCTTAGGATCTTCGACGATCAACCACCAACAGTCCTGCTTGACGGTAGGGTAGAACGGCGCAAGGACCACGTTCCCTGCAACCGCCGTCTTCGAGCCTTCCTCCTCCTCCTCATCCTCTGCCACCAGTGAGACTTTCAACGTGATCGGCGTGTTGGTTACCAGCGAGTCTTCGTCCTCGATCTCATGCTTGATCTCGATCGCTGGATACGAGTTGACAAACTGGGCAACCTTTGCCAAGTGTTTGGTGTCCATCTGTAACAGGCGGTTCCGCTCTTCATCTTCAAGTCTAAGATATCAATCCAGTCAGTTTCCCTTTTTCTGAGGGGCTTCACTCAGATTTGAGGATTTGATCACTGACTCCATGATGTCTGTGACTTGATTCACATTGGCCGCCGTGCATCGTTGAATGATCTCGGAAGAGAAACCTGGAATTTGTTTCAACCTGTTTTGAATTGAATTTATAAGTTGAAACGGATTAGTCAAATAAACCTCAAAACAGACTAACAAGTTAATGCAACACTCACGGACTATCATGATTCCAAACTGCCTGGACGACCATTTGAAAGAATTCCATGGCAACAGTAGTGTTTAGACACTCTTGAGAACTCAAAACGTCGACAGCAGCGGAGATGAGATTAGGGACCTTCCTCAAGATCTCGACTTGATCGAGCATCAAGTCCGAGGGTAGAGTCAATCGACTAAAGTGAGCCTGTAAGAGGATGTTGGTCTTGAAATGGGGCGACAGGTACTCTACTTTCCCTACTTTCACCGGTACTCGATCGTGCACTTTCTTCAGTAGACCCTCTTCGCCATGTCGTAGTGGGATCGACTCGAACTCTTGCGCGGCAGAAATAATCTCAAGAATTCCCTTGAGCTTGGTCTTTTCGGTCAAACTCATACTGAACACATCAGCAGTGATGTAGTTGATGTTGTAGTAGGCGGCAACGATTCCAAGTGGAAGAGGTGTAGTGTCCATCTCGTCTTCGATCGCAATACAGTTGGAGTTTTGTAAATCTGAAAGAGTCGATTCAACCAGTTCTGACAGATGATCGCTCTGAGTAAGTCCAAAATCAAAAGTACATCAGAACCCCATAATAACGACATTAGAAACACATTCAGATTAAGCGGCTAACCAGATGTCGATGATCGGTAGCTTGCATGTTGTAGTAATTCGGGTTAGCTACCAAGCGACGGTAAAACCATTGCCAAGTACACCAGTCCACCGCATCCTGCTTATTCCTGATAAAAATAATAGAGAAAGTGAGCGAGCAATGCACCAGAAATAAATAAAACTTTAGCTTACTCGATTGTTTTGGCAACGATTTCTGCGTTGAAATGATCATGTAGAGATAGATGAAGATGTGACTCGATGGGCAATCCCTCGTTCAAAAACTTCTTGAGGAACCTAATAGTAATAACCAGATTAGTTGATAAGTAATGCTATCAAGCCAAATTGATCACGGGATTTTGTAACTAACTCTTTTCGGACTTGTTGACACATCAACACACACCGACTCGAACTATCTTCGCTCGGTCTGCAAGCTCTACCCATCATTTGTAAGATATCTGGGAACGAGTAGTCCACATAACGATGCTCCTTGCCCTCGTAATTTTGCACGCCCATGATGATGACCATAAATGCTGTCATCGGGATACTCCACGCGGTATCTTTTGAAGCAATTACCACCTGGATCGCACCCACCTCGAACAACTTTTGAACAATCACCTTATCCGTGTTCGACATTGCCTCGTGGTAATACCCGATCCCGCTTGCCAAAGTCTCGCGTAGATTTTCGTCTGAGACTTTAGCGAGATATGGGGCAAGATCTTCTTGCTCGATGTTCAAAAATCGCTGAGGGTCTTCGTCTGAGAGAGCATAGATGGAAAGATCCGAGGCGGTCAACCGACATTGTTTCCGTGATGGCACAAAGGCAATCACCGGCTTCTCGTGAGCATACTCAAGGATTGATAGGTAGGCTGGTTTGGCCATCTGAATCATCAACGATGGGAAATGCGGTACGTTGAAGGACTGGATATGGACCTCCAACGGCAATGGTCGAGATCCAGGAGCAAAGTTGAAAATCGCCTGGGAATTAGCGCCCATCCAGTCGCCCAAGTCTCGCGCGTTCGCCAATGGACAACCAAGGGCGACGATCCGCGTCTTACTGATCTCGCTCTGAGCAGTAACGTATCGGGTCCTCGAAACAATCACTTCATAGGCTGGTCCGATCTCAGACCCGATCAGATGGATTTCGTCTGCAATCAGAAGTCCTGTGCGTTCTACCATCTTCCGTTGTTTCCATCGTCTTGAAACTAGATCCCACTGGGTTGGCGTGCAGATTATAATATCAATTCTGGCTTGTCCCGGCTTGCTCCCGTCACTTGCCGTCAGCTCGACATCCCGCGTCAGCTCGCCGGTCAGAGGCTCGATCACTTTTCCGAGAGGACCGAACTTCTGTCTCCACTCTTTCACTCGGAGATCGACGACCTCTTGATATGGCTCGATGCAGACACACCTTTGCCATTCCGGTTGAGACCAAAGTCGCAATAGAGCGAATTCAGCACAAATCGTCTTACCACTACCTGTGGGTGAGCAGATCAACACGTTGTCATTGCTAGTGTAGAGCGCCTGGAAGACTTGAGTTTGAATCTTATTGAAGTTTTTGAGGCCCTGTTTAAGGTAAATCGATTCGTAGGCCTTATTGTGTAAAGCTGCAACGGGAAGTGGTTGAAGATCCAACAGCGGAGTAGGCTGGGAGAACTTTTCGGGTAAGATGAGATGCTTGAAGGACAGCGGTAGACGAGTACTAGCATGAAGCCAGCGATCAGCAACGACGGAGATAAAGTAATTCGGGGGGAGCGGATCGATCATCGGCACGTAAAAGGTCACAAAATGTTCTTCGTTGGCATATCGTTGACGGAGGAGAAACTGATCCGAAAACAAGATGAGTTCTCCATCCACATCCTCGACCATGATCCAAAACATTTGAGCAGTCCCATGAACTGATTCCTCCCACATGAAATCCGGAGTGATCGTTAGTTCGACTCGTAACATAGTTCGGGTGATAGGTTGGACGAGAGCTTGGAGCTCTAGCTTGGGAAACTGATGAACGAATCGGTGGATCGTCTTTCCAAGCTTCGGGTTCCCCATTAACTCGCCGAGCTCTGGAGGTTCGAGATCAAAGAATCGGTACCACGGAAAGTCTTTCCTCTCGGCCCGTCGAATGATATCGGCTGAACAAGATGGAAATTGCCGAAGAGGGGTCATAGAGACCCACATCTTCTTCTCGACCATCTTACATAAATCCAAGGCTTGGTGAGTCAACCTAGCCCAGCCACGCTTGAGACAGATCTCGAACAAGGCCCTTAAGATTCTTCCAGCCGATTGAGTGACATAAACCATGTCTGCCATCAGGGCAAATCCTTCCAGCGGCAGTCTTGAGATGTAGGCTTGCAGCAGAACATTGATTTTCGCACTTGGATCTCCTACAGATTCTTTGACCGGAATTGGTACTTTTTCGAGGAGCTTGGCCAACTCTTGCTTTTCTTCGGGTCTCGTAGGTATGTACTTGAACTCGTCACTCGCAGCAAATACCCTGTATGAGATGAAGATGAATGAATGTGAGCACACCAGTCAAATGCCGTTGTTCAAGAGCAGAGATTCTTACCTGAATAATTCGATCAGTGTCATTGTGGGTCGGAGATGTTGGTTGTAGGTGGACATCGATGTATTGGTGACATAGTAGTGACTGGCGATCTTTCCGAGCTCAAGTGTGGTGATTAATCCAGTCTTTCGATCATACTTGGCCAACCCACTCTTCTCGAGGATGCAAAAGGCGGTGTGGACGATATCCGACCGTTTTTGAAGCAACAGAGGGTCCTCGGGGTCATGCTGAAAGCCATAGAGTGATGGGTTTTCCAATGCACGTTGGTACCAGTACGTATAGCCTAGCCATTGGGCTGCTTCCTCACGGTTTCTGATCGTACCCAATACGATCTCAGCGTTAAGGATGTCCGCTAGCTTACTAACTAATTGAGATTCGATGGGCTGGGGGGAAGAAAATCATCTTGGAGTGAGCAATTGAAAATGTTTAAGGATGATGAGAAAAAAGAATGGATGATCACTCACCAATTGACTGGTAGTGATGGACAGATGGAATTGCAGCTCGGAATGATTGGTAATGATGATCCCTTCCCCAAAGGTATCGTACTGTGGTCTCCCTGCTCGGCCGAGCATCTGCAAGATATCTTGGGGGGATAGCTCAACCCATCTGCCTTTCTCGGGATTGTAGATCTGAGTGCCTTTAATGATGACGGCGTGTGCGGGCAGGTTGACTCCCCACGCAAGAGTAGCGGTCGAGACTAGAACTTGAAGGTGACCATCGGCAAACAACTCTTCGACCAATCGTCGATCAACTCTTTCTAAACCGGCATGATGAATTCCGATGCCGAATTGGAGGATGTCCTTGAGCCCCGGGTCTTTGACGTTTTCGGCCGTTTCCATTAAGATCTCCCGATTGGCTAATCCTCAGGACATAAATTTACCCCCGGGTCTTTGACGTTTTCGGCCGTTTCCATTAAGATCTCCCGAGTGGCTAATCCTCCGGACATAAATTTACCAACTTCATCTCGCTCGATACTTGTTTCTTTCAGGTTTTTGGCCGTCCTAGTGGTCTCACTTCGAGAGTGGACAAAGATGATAATCTGTTGCTTATCATTAAGCTGCTTCATAACTTTCTCGTAGCAGATCTCGTTGGTGAGCTGGAGACGCTTTATGGCCTTTTTCTCAGTGATGCCAATAAACTCCAATTTGAGGGGGCAGGGTCGAGCGGAACTATCGAAGAAGAATAGACCTTTTTTCGGGTTGACGCGCAAGAACCGAGCCACATCGGCATAGTTAGGCAAGGTGGCCGAGAGACCGACGAGGCGAACATATTCATGATTTTGTTCCATTCTACGAATGGTTCGACTGACTAGAGCTTCTAGAACCGGTCCTCGCTCGTCGTGTAGCAGATGAATCTCATCGATAATGATCAAGCCCACTAGATTTGTGTAACTGGTATCGGTACTCTTACGAGTAATCACGTCCCATTTTTCTGGAGTTGTGACAATGATCTGAGTCATTGTGATCTGATCTTTCGTCATCTGCCGATCACCTGTCAATTCTCCAACTTGAATGCCTAGATATTTGAGCCTGCTTGAGAAGTTTCCAACCATTTCTTGGACAAGGGCCTTCATCGGAGCGACATAGACAATTTTAAACGCGGCCAAATCGATCTCTCCGGTGGTCTCGTTACGATGTTTGGCAATCTCGTTGAGGACGGTTAGCATAGCCACGTTTGTCTGTAAGTAGCCAGACGAGGGGGAAAAAAACGTCAACGGCTGACTCGAGTAACTATTTATTTATTGAAACAAAATTGAAAAAATAAATGCAAGGGTGACTTCACCTTACCAGCTCCGGTTGGAGCGCACAACAAGATAGGATCATCTTGACCAAATGCGACCGGAAAGACTTTACTTTGGACTCTGTTGAGGGTGGTGGCACCTTTGAAGGCTTCCCTAGACCAATGAGGTAAATCGACAATCTTAACCAAGTCTTCTGCTTTGACGGGTGCTTTCTCGGGTGGGGGTACATGAATTTCTTCGTAGCCTTGACCAGTCGGTGGAACCTTGTGAGAGCCTTCGGGTAGCTTGCACTTCTTGTTGGTCATCGTTCGCGAGCCTTGATTGAAGACCATAGAGCTCAAGTCTAAGACTTTCTTTGGGTTAGGGAGGAATGAGTTGGCTTCTAGGTTGGCCTTTGTAGGGAATTGGGTTGGTTTGCTTGATTCTGAATCGATGTCCATCTTGTTGTTCGAGTTAGCGGTTGCTTGGAGCTGAGGATTACTGATTCCACGACCGGTGGTCAGAGCCTTGACGATCCAACCCACTCCCTTCTCCCTCATGACCACAGCCAGATTGACCTTTTCATCTTCATCGCTTCGAGACCATTTGGTACCCCAGACGATGATGTCGCGGTGCTTGGTGAGAACAGAGACCAATTCGAACTTATCATAGTCGAATAGATCCACCAGACTGTTTTCAAGATCTCGTAGGCTTGAATTGTCGGCCGATAAGAGATTGATGGCTTCCTTGGTCTTGGATTCGGCTTCGATTGGATCTGGGAAATGATTTCCGATCAAACGTTGGAGCCAAAAGCCATCGATGTCGTAGATGGTCAGATCTTGTTTGCCCTTCTTATTTTTTGAGTCGGACGCGTTATTCGAATCGGGGCCGATGATGATCTGATCGGTGGGATCTGTCTGTTGGGCATTGAGATCATCATCATCTTGATCCTCGTTCTCATCAGCCTCACTATCCTCGTCACTATCCGAGTTATCCCGAATCTCGAATTCATCCTCATCGCTATCCTCCCCATTCTCATCATCCTCGAAGACCACCGCCACTCCATTATTGTCGTCATCTAGTTCGTTTGCCCGTTTCTGGTTCTCGCCATCCTCGCCCTCGCCGCCAGCCTGTTGAGCCTGATCGTCATCGCCGTAATCGGTGAGTTTCTTGGCTAGGTTACTCAGTTCGTTGAACTTCTCACTGGAGATCGTTCCCAGGAATTCTTCGATCGTCCGCTTCTTATCCAAATCTTTTGGGTAGTCGTTATCGTTCTTCATGGCCTCGATGGTCATATCGGTAGCCGATCTGACGATTTCATTGGGTTGATCGCCTAACATCAGCTGGACGCTCGACAGGAGTAGTTCGTAGATCGATCGAGTCTCGTTGGTACGCGGTTTGTAGTTCAAGCCCTCGACCTCCTGGATGGCTTCGATCACATCGGCGTACCTTCGACTGTTTGTTTCAGTGAATTTCTTGGGACGGTCTTCGTTCGAGGTGATATGTTTTGATTTCTTCTTGGAGATATCCTTCTTGATGTGGACTGACTCCTTGAAGGCGCGACTTCCCATCGATTTAGGGTCTATCCGACCGACCAAGGTCTCAGGTTCACCTGTTGGCTCGTTATCCCTCCTAGGTATTTTTGAGCGATCGGCAGTCAAGACGAGGGATGACATGGCGGCATACTGAATATGATGGGAGGGCCATCCATCAGTTTCTCGTTAATTTCTTATTCCAAAGACAAGAAGTTTTAATTTGACTCAACCTGATAGCCTGAGAAGTCCCTGTTCTTGGGCGCCATGTTGAAAGAGGGAAGGTTTTGTTCTGTTTCTTTTTTTGTTTGAGTTCAAGTGTGATTGCTGGAGGGTGAAGATGGAGGATGTAGTAGTAGTAGTATGTAGTAGGAGGGGTGTTACAGATGACTCGATCGACAGAAGTGTGGCAGTTGGTCGACAGTAATTAGGCCCCCCGGGGGGCGTGTCTGGAGGGGGCTACATGAGGCTTGAGTGTGGATACATATTCAATTTGCCTGGGATTACATAAGCCAGCATACAACCCAGTTGGAAGGAATTCTCCTACTAAGCACAAACCAACAAACAACGATCTTCAAACGATGGGAACAACAACAGCAACCAAGAAGAACGAACAAAGCTCGAGTACGCTGGTCATCGGGACTAATGACTCAAGCATCGTCAGCAAGAGGAGCGCCGAAAGACTAGGCTACTTCCACCAAACTCAATTCCTCAAACACTTTGTACTGAAGCCACAACGAAGAACCTCATTGATCAACATCGGATACACAATCAGAACACTACTCATCGATCTACTCATCAAGAGATTCCTAGAGGCTGATTCACCCGATCTGACCAACCCAGAGGAACCTACTACTACTACTACTAGCACTCCGATCGTCATCGTCAACTTGGGATGTGGCTACGACCCCGGTTTCTTCAAACTGGCCTCCAATCAGAATGGAAGTCTTCTCAATGCGAACAGATCGGTTCGCTATATCGATGTGGATTACCCGGAACTGATCTCCAAAAAATATCAGATGATCTCCCGATCCGAAGAACTCAGTAGCATCCTACCCGGCTTCGATAAATCAAGAGTAGGAGACTGGATTGAGCTATCCAACCGGAATGCTTCATATACCTTACTGGGTTGCGACCTATGCGATAGTCATGGATTTATTAATAAGCTGATCGAATCACTCGATGGGAGTAATAATCAGCAGATCCTATTTATATCTGAAGTCTCAACGGTTTATATGCCCAGCGACAAGTCTGATCAACTCATCAAAAACCTCAGTCAATCATTCCCAAATATGATCTGGAGTTGTCTGGAACAAGTTCTACCGTCCACTCCGACCGCTTTCTCTGATACGATGATGAAACATTTTCACAAGCTACGAACACCCATCAGAGGTACCTTGGCTTATCCGACCATCTCAGATCAGATCAAGAGGCTGGGCAGTCATTGGAAGAGAGTGGAAATGTCGACGATCCATGATCTCTGGAAGGCATTCGATCACAATCAATCAACACGCACCGAGAAAGAGAGACTGATGAATTTGGAAGCGTTCGATGAGTGGTATGTTGTCAGCCTCTTCTTGAGAAATGGGTCTTGGGATTTGAGCTGACCACCAATCGAAAGATTTCTTTGTCTAGGGAAGAATTAGACTTGTTTCTGTCTCACTATCTCGTCGGAATCGCCTACTCCAAACCAGGCCTGATGGAAAGAACTACTCGACTTCAAGATGACGGTACAATGAGTCTACCGCAGCTTCGGGACCGATCACCGACCACAACGGATCACGCTCTTGGTTCACACGGCTCAGGCAGACACGGTCTACCGTGGAGCTACAGCTCAGTGGAATCATCCATACAGAGGCGTGGACACACCTCAACCTTACTTCCAGATGGGCATCTGTTGGTGTTCGGTGGCTTCGGGCTTCCAAATCCGATCAAGAGCGTCGATCAGAAACTCAAATCCTCTCCATCAGCACATTCCAGACTAGCCCATCCGATTCTTCTCTCCCCTAGGGCCTCGTCAGTCCAAATTACCCCACTGCCCATCGATCCCTCCACGCCATCAGCTAGATTGTATCACACGGCTTCACCTCTCGTCAATGGTGATGATCAGACCTCTTCCGTCTTCCTGTTTGGAGGAAGATCCTCTCCTCGAGCTCCGTTGGCAGATGCATACGTCTTCAACTGTACAACAAATACATGGAACTCAGTCAAGCCGTCCGCAGCAGAGTCTTCCTGGCCCCCTCCTCGATTCAGACATACGGCGCTCACTCTGCAAATCGGCAACTCTTCGTATGTTCTGATCCATGGTGGGATAGGTTCGGAAGGGGTGATACTAAAGGATACGTGGCTATTTGATCCTAATCGGAATCTCTGGATTGCCTTGAATGATATGGACAAGTTCATTGGACCACGGCATTCCCATCAGATCTACTATGATCCATTTGATCAGGAGCTATACGTGTTTGGTGGAATCACGGCTATTTGCGATGGGGAAGAAACAAGTCGACTCGGAAGGAATGTCAAATTCGGCCTAACTTTTGAGAAGGACTTGGTGGTCAAGCTTCGACCTGATGGGCCAGAGCTGCTCGACTTCAAATGTGATGATGCACTGCTCCATCGCTATTCCCATCGAATCGCCACATGGGATCAGCAGAATAAAACGCTGCTCATGAGTGGCGGGATCTCTGAAAACGGGGTGATCACCACAGAAAACCAATACATCCTTTTGAATTTGAAATCCAGAACATCCCATTTACTTCAGCTCCACCAGCAGAAAACTCAAACGATGATAGGCCACACAATGACGATCATTGATCTGTTCCAGAAAGGCGGAAATCAGCCTGGTTTGAAAGCAGCACTCGTGATAGGAGGGGGCGCCACATGTTTTTCATTTGGAAGCAGTTTTGATATATCCATCCAGATCATTTCTGATTCGGATCTGAGTCTGGTCGAAGATACTGAATCGATTGAAAACAATCGTGGCGAATTGAAGCGAAAGTGTAATGGGACGTTTGATGACTCGGCTGAAGATACTTGGGACAAAGCTCAAGAACTGCCTCGGATCGACAAACTGACGAGTCGAAGCTGGATGGATATCGTTTCGGCTGCTAAGCCTGTGGTCTTTGATAGCCGAGAGGAGATTGGAGAGTGTGTCGGAAGGTGGACAGCAGACTATCTCAAGCTGAAATGTGGAGAAAAGAAGTGCTCAGTTCATCTCTCCAATCCTCTCTCTTCCTCCACCCTAAAATGGCACGACAAAAACTTCAAGTACGAGACGATGAGCTTCAAGGAGCTGATTGATCGGACGATCGGAGCCGGAAGGTCTGGCGTCGAGAGCAATGATCGTCATCAGATCGCTTACCTTCGCTCATTATCTCACTCTCCTAAACATCCCTCGAATTTCCATACCGACTTCCTCGAAATCTCTCAGGATTTTAAGATCCCTCCGGTCGTCAATGATTATATCGTTGAGCGCGATGCGTTCTTTTCCAGTGTCCTTCGGATTTCTGGGGCTGATATGGGGTAAGCTTTTTTTTCCTTGAAAAAAAAAATCTCGCATATTGACTCACATTGTATGTCTTTACAATTACGAGTAGTCTCTGGGCTCACTACGACACATACGACAATATCCTTGTCCAAGTGAATGGGAAGAAATTGGTCAGACTTTGGCATCCACGGTAAGTTCAGTTTTCAGCTCCGATTCTGCAGAATTCAGCTGAACATGTTTACCCACTCTCATGAAAACAGGGAGGTCGTTAATCTGTATATCGAAGGCAGTTCATCCCACATTCCATGTTTCGACCCGCCCGATCTCGATCGCTTTCCGCTTTATCGCAAGTCACATCCGATGGTTTGTGTCTTAAACGTACGTCCGACTTCTATACACAGAAAATCATGTTGCTTCACCACTTGTATATGTATTTGAGGGCGGATTGCGGATCACAGAACTAACCAATAATGAATGAAAACTGGGCTTGGGGCTTGATGATGCGAACAGCCGGGAGATGTCTTATTTATACCCGCGAATTGGATCCATGCGGTCCAGACGATCGAGCCGAGCATTTCGATCAACACGTTTTTCAAAACCGATCGACTCGAACGGTTTTACGAGTCCAAGAAGAAGGACATTTGGGGCAACCTCGATCTGGCCCCATACCACGAACTCCACGAGCGAGTGTTCAAAGAACTCTTGCTGGATCCTCATCTCCCAGATCATCAACATCCCGCCCCGGGCTCTTCTCGCTTTAACCTCTTGCCCATCGATCAACGTCAATTTTATCTCAAGAAAATCGCGGTCGATTTGATCAGACATGCCGATCAATTGACCCAATAGACTAATTGTTTTTTTCTTTTACATACATGTCTCTCCATTTCAGACGTCGTGCACTGGGGTTTTTTTTAATCTTGTTTTTGTTTTCCTGTGGGCGAGCATATTCCAAGGGATTTTTTATGGATAATTCATTCCGAAAGTAGAACCCGTTTCCATTTACTTTTCCTCGAAGATCATCCATACTCACACAACATGAAGGGGATGATGGATCGATAGATGTAAAGACTGTGTATATAGGTAGATCAACTTCGTCGCAGTTCGTTGGGCTTCCTAATCTTTCTTTCACACGAGATACCTCACATTTCCTCTGTTTAGATCACATCTATGAAGAAATACTACAGATTCTTGGATGTATCTTCTACATTTGAATCCAAAGTCACAGGATTTTTGATGGATTCATCTCAAATATACGGCTGGATTTCGTTCAAGTTTTTAAAACAAAAAGACCATCCACTTGAGACATGAAAAAAGCAATACTTAAATCGATATTGTGAGCAAGTCTAATCAGTTGTCACTTGAATTTGTTTGGCCTAAATCTCAGGATGTTTTGCACATTGGGCGAGTTTCAAAAGTAAAACTATTTCCGACAAGAAGTGAGCTTCCAGGGTCGCATCAAATGACTCACCAACCACAAGATACATACACCCCTACAAAAAAAAAGACAAATGGATACAGTTTTGGGTTTCTTTATGGTTTTGATCTTTGATGATTATATTGCTTTTGGAGTAAAGAACCGGAACTGATGGTACACAAGAGAGAACAGATGTATATACATCTAATACGAAAGCCAAAGAAAGAAAGCTCTACTTCCATTGATAGTAAGAAAACCCAAAGGAAAGCCGCAGACAGGATTTGCACACATAACATCAAAATAACATGACATGAGGAGGGAGGGGAGGGGAGGGCAGATTGGATTGAAGGAAGGATCGATCTGTCTATCAAAACGAGCAAAGAAAGATACGAGACTGATTAAAAGTGTGTTTGTGAGGGGGGAGTGGGGAAGTGTGTGTGTGTGTGTTTTGGTGAAAGAGTGGATGAGAAACGAGATGAAGGATTACCAGAAGCGATTGGAGCGGGGGAGCGCCGGGCCGATTCCGTATCGACTGAAGAGCTCTTTGATGTCGCCTAGTCGGTCGATCATCCCCGTGGCCACGATGGTCGGCTCGCCTGAGAACATCTTGCCGTCTGAGGACGATTGGCGCGAGCTTCCTGGCCGGATGATCTTGGTGATCGCCCGATGGATGTCTTTGATCGTCAAGGATTCGATGCGCTCCCACACACTTTATTTGTTTGGTTTACATGTTAAAAAAAAAAAAACAGTTAGTCTCACTTGAAAAGAAATATCAGAACAGGATCGCGAGCTGCTAAGAACAAGAAACTCAACTCGGCCCATGGTTTTTTTCGACCAGCGGTCTGGACCTGCCGACCGAGATCCTCGACCTGTAAGAGTCTACTTTCCAAGCCGTACATCATCGTACTACGGAGCTGGTTCTTAGCTCTCCTTAGCTGGGCCTCAGTGATCCCGCCGCGGGACTGGTCGCGGGAGATCAGGTCGAGTTGGGAGGCGATGATCTGAGGGACATGGCTAGCGAACTCGGGCGCAACGGCCATCGCGATCCCAAACAAGCCGGCATCGGCGTAGGTGTGGTGGAAGGCCTGACAGAAATCGACCTCTGGATGCGGGTTGAGGACGTTGGTGTACAGCCGCGAGTACATCCCCTTGCCTGGCCCTCCAGCCGAGAATGAGGAACCCCCTCCAAGCATGATGTGTGTGCAGGCGATCGCATAGAGATCGTCATCGTGAACACTGGGTGCCTCGAATCCGATATAGATGTGTGCTAGATTGCTCTCCGTCTTCCCAGGGATCCTAACCTCGCCGCCTCTATAGACCGGTTTGGCACTGATCAGTTCTTCGAAGGATTGTAGTGATTGGCCAGTTGTCAGATCGACTGGTGAGACGTTAGTGGTGGTTGCAAAGGCTTTTGAGAGTAACGATTTTGAGCCGGCCGATGGATTTGTGAAACTTGATCCGATCACAGTAGCAGCATTGGCAGTAGCTGATGAGATGGCTGGGCCAAAGTTCGTGTTCAGAGGGACGGTGGGCTTGACAGATTTGAAGTTCCCAAAGTATTGTTCGACATGTGAGAGGAAGTAATCGTGATCGACCCCGACACCAGCAACGACGATCCTTTCGGGTTTGAAGAACATGGAGCGATAGGACCATAAGACTTCTGGGGTGATCGAATGAATCCTATCCTTTGGACATATTAAGGGTAGACCTAGTGTGTTGTTTGGGAAGGCGGTCTCGTGCAAGATTTCAGGGATCATGTACTCGGGTTTCTTGTTGATCTCGTTGACCTCCCATTCTGCAGCTTCCTGTTCGGCGGCCAGTTCAGAGTCTTTGAGGAGTGGGTTCAATGCGGTGTCTGATAGGACTGAGAGTACGGATGGTAAAGAGTCCGGGTAAGAGGTGGCTTGGTAGAGGACCGTGTCTCGACCAGAGGATGCGAAGAATGAGCCACCCAATTGCTCGATTTCTAATGAGATTTCTTCTGTTGTTCGATTCTGAGTGCTCTGTTGATCAAAAACCGCGAAATAAATAAATAAATACAAATTATCAGAAAACATGAGTAATTTATTTTGAAGCAAAAGGGGATTGAAATTACCTTGAAGGCCATCCGGTCAGTCAGATGAGTTGAGCCTCTGAGATATGCACTTTCGTAACGACTTCCAGCATCCACATACACGCCTGCGCCGATGAAGTGGCCAGGTGTAGACTCGGTTGTGACTCTGAGCCCATTAGACAGTGTTGAGATCCTCGTTTCTTCTGGGGATCCATGATGAGTGGTGCTGTAGGAGGAGCGTCTGATGGGTAGGGTAGTAGTACTCTTCTTTTGCGCAGAATGAGTGAGTGTCCGGTTGAGGCTGGTGAATGGTTTGAATGCCCGACTAGTAGTAGTAGTCCATCGTCGAGTGGCCATTGGTGATCTTGGTTGAGTTGGTGGGTGGTGGTTGTGCTGGTGTGCTGTGAAGGGGGTGGATGATGGTTGTGGGTGGTTCTGGTGGAGGGGGGGCGAGGGGTCTGGGATTATGTAAGCAGACTAGGAAAACAACACCCAAGATAAAAAAGAACAAGTTCATCATCATGGACCTTGTCATCAGACTCCACTCTCTCTCTCTTTCTCTTTCTCTCACTCTCTCTATGTACCCTCACCAATTTATAGAATATCTTATCTCATATGGCACAGAGGTCTGAGTAAAGTCTCTGTGCCCTATCAAAACCAATAGGGCAAGTGCTCCTTATACACAAGTCTGGGAACTTTGGAATAAAACTTGCCACTGCTGTTTCTGTCTAACCTTGGATAGTTGCCATGCATGAAATGCTTACTGTCAGTCTTTAGCTCTTTATTTCTTTTTTTTCTTGATTCTTTCTTTGTGGCAGTTGTGGCAAAATCTATTGACTCAAATCCAAACTTGTTTATGGGACATATGTGATCTTCTGTCTCAGTTATCTATCATCAAGTCTAGGGGAAAACACCACAAGTACATCAGTTGGGGGATAGTGGAGGAAAAAAGAACTGGGGTGATCTTGGTGATATAATTTTCCAAGAAGGAAAAGAAGAAGAAAAAAAAAGGCAGAGAACAATGTACAGCAAAAGTTTAACCAAATCGACTTTCCAGTCGACTGACGATCCAAAAAATCAAGGCAGAACTCGGAGCACTTCGTAGACAGGTAATCCCACAACCGGCATAAAGGCCCTTCCAGCCTCTAGTCTTAACGATCCGACGGCCTACATCCAAGAAGCCGTTCTTTGGAGCTTCATGAGCAGGAAGAGATTGTGGAAGATGAGCAGGTTGGGCGAGTTCAGAGGCAGTCTGCATGGTGCTTTTGATCGAATCGGCGGGGAAGAAGACAAAGTTGTAAAAGATCCCGGCGGTGGCGCCTGAGATCATCAGTTCAGGCGAGGAGAGGTCATCCTTGGAGAGTAGTTTGGAGGGCCCGAGTGATTCTTGACGACGAGCAACGAAGAGAGCTACTACGGATTCGAAGGTACAGAACCAGATCGCCGATCCGCCGGTCTCTCTGAGTAGAGTCCCAGTCTGTCCCAACCAAAGTCCCCGGATGCCTTCCTTCTCGATGACCGATCGGACGATCCCGACCGGACCAGCTAATCGCTTGGGATTCTCCTTCGTCGCTCCGATCTGTTGGACTTGCATTTTACATTTCACTAGTTCGATCGGAGTCAAGATCAAGCTGGCCATCGCTCCCCCACACGCTGCTGATACTGCCACATACGATAGTGGTAATGGGGGTGGCCTCCTTTGGGCCGCCTGTTCGGGAAACGCAAGTCGTCGAATGAGCTGTTGGACTTGACTGTAGACTAGGAAGAGTGTGGCGTTTTCAGCCATCGCCCCAACAACTGGCATGCTGACTCCCTAAACGAACCGAGATCTGTCAGCTCAATTCTGTCGCGTGCGGTTCTCGACGACTCAGCCAGAATGAAGGTTTTTTTTTTGCTTTTGCTTCTTTTTGGATAGGGGGACGAACGCGATACAAACCTCTGAACCTCTCCTGTGCTACTGTCTGCCGAAAACAATCTAGCGGACCACGGTATCGGCTCGGTAGATGAAGCGGTTGACTTTGGAGTCGGACTTTGACGAGGTCGAAGGGATGTTCAAAGAGTTTTGAACAAATACCTGCCAACTAAAACCATGTTCTTCGTCAGTTACAACTTCCTTACGATTGCAGATTGGGAAGGAGATGAAAAAAATGAAGACATATGGCAATTCAGAGAGAGTGTGTGGGCTTACGGATCCGTAGGCAACATCTTTCAGTGGATGTCTTTGGAATGCTAGCTGAGTATCAGGGAGTAAGTTTTGGATCTCCCCGACTGGACTGGTCATCTCGGGAGGTGGAAGAAGTGAAGTGGTTGTCGGTCGATTCGCTCGCTTGAAGTGGATGATACTATAGTCACCACATCGTCGTTGGCCCAACTTGTGGTCGAATGGAAACAGCCCCAGCAGTACACCACACCCTCAGGAAGTCAAGACTCTTGCACAAGTTCTTCTTCACAAGGTCCACTTCCGATGAGATCGGGAACCAGAAGAAGAACGCCGGAGAACTGGTCAAGAACAACCACTCAAAGACCGAGTCCCCGGGGGATGCACCCACAGCCAACTACACTTCTGCATCTTTATGCACAAAATTCCCACAACACCAAAATTATTTCTTGAGGAGAAAGCAAGGCAAGACATCTAGAGTGTTGGCCCTTAGGAAGCTCACATTAAAGCAGTTGACAACTTGATATCTATGCAGGTGAAAGCTGACTTCATCCTCAGAGTCATTAAATCTGTAGTTCAAGAGTCTTGATTGATTACTATGTACTAATCTCAATGCTGAGCACCCCCAAACCCTCCCAAACCACAAGTTATTAGACTGAAATTCAATTATCAACTTGTTGACCTGGCAAATTTTTGGCTCATTCTTCTCCCACAAGTACTCTAACCACTCAAACCAACATAATCATTTCTGGTTAATGAGTCAACCAAAACAAATTCATCCTCATTGATCCTGCTCAAACCAGATACATCACAATTGGCTTGCTTTGTGTCCCAGTTCTTTCTAGGTTACAATAGACTATACACTTGCTAAACTACCCCCTCTAAATGTAAGGGGTCACTTCTCCAAACCCACGACCCTAGTACCAACATAAAGGGAAACCTCTGCATATTGGACTATAGAGCTCAAGATTACAAATTTATCACCAATTCCTCGTTAACGTTCTCATTGGCAAAAATCTAGGAGTGCGGCTCAAACAATTGAAGCAGGTATTTTCAGAGATAGGAAAGGAACTTGGCTTGAATTCAATCAGCTTAATCTGCACAGATCACCAGTGAGTTTGCCTCTCAAGAGTCATAGCTGCCTGAAATTAATCTTCAGATTGTTGTTTGATTCTCAGTTTTGTTTGTAAGATTGTCAATTTAGTTATCTCTTGTGGGCATAGGCAACTATCTGAATTTCAAACTTTTGCAATTGATTAGATGGTCAAAATGTGTCAGGCCCCATGTTCACACCCAAGTGCTTTAAGCGGATCGACACCCTGTGCAAGCTGTTTCCCCCCAGAAGATCCAAATACATCCGTTGAGTCTTATGAGGTCAAGGTTTTTACACTTTCATAATGGTTACTTACAAGCGAAGCCGGTGCTACCTCCGCTACATTTATAGGAACCAAACTTCGTGATGCAGGCTAGCATAACAAGATGCGATTCAGTGCGAATTGTTTTGAGTTGAATGTTGACTAGATTATATACTGCACTCACAAGAAACTTGATTACTTTCTTTCCAGTATCCTAGATGGCATATTTGTGAGGTCGCATTGACGCCGACAGTTGGGCCAGTGGTCGGCATACAATTCTCTGCGGCTAGATGAATAACCGAATGGAGTGTCACTGTAAGTTGAAACAAGACTGCAGCTAGCTATTCCCGGAATTTACTCACTAACGAAAGGCCACGAGCAACCGTACGGACAGACCAATTTTCCACAAGCTATTAGCGATACCAACACGAGTCAATAACCCTCGTAACGTGCGTGGAGACAGGATGCGAAGGAAAGGGCTTAACTAGCATGATTTGTGTTTGTATTCGCGTACGAGTAGCAGAGTTTCGCCTGCGGGATAAGTTTGGAAGAGCCCACTGCGAGCCCACCGAGCCAAGTAACGACCAAGATAACGATAGACATCATCCTGAATTTCTGCAGAGACGCGGATAGATGTGAAGTGAATGAAGTCGCTGCAAGCGTGTCGATGGTTTGGTGGAATTTGATGGTGTTGGAAGAGCCGGCGAAAATTCGCTCTAGTGAGCGACGATTTACAAATGATGTTGTATGGACCAGACTGAAAGCAGTGATTCGGCTGGAAATTTGCCCCATGTACGCGTCGATCATCGCATCAAGCGAGTCGACAGACGTCCGACCTCATTTCAATCCCGTACAAAAACAAATGACAAGCATACTCAAATTGACAGCTTTAGAACAAGCGGGCAGATGTTTTTTGGGAAGTGTTCTGGAAAGCTCTGGTCAGGACGGGCCGGCCAACGGGCTCCGCCAGGCCTACATAGGTCTAGCGGGTCTGGTGCTCTAAGAAATATTCTCTTGGGGTCTCCATGTGCGGTGAGTCCGATGTGATGACTGGGAATCCGCATTAATTGGGATGATTTTAAGGTCAAGCTTTCCGCCCAGATTGAGGGGGCAAAATGATCTGGACTGCTCTTACTTTCTTTTTTGAAACTGAAAAGGTCAGATTATACTGTCTACACGTAGTAACCAGGGCAAGCCTTTACTTGAGTTCCATTCACAATTGATGTGGGGCGGTGGGCCTAATGCATTAGCATTGCCCTCATGAAACTGTTGACGGTTTTTGGGTTGTTTTCATAATAGTGATCTTCCAGTGCAATGTGTTTCCTGAGGAGGAAACGCTAAAACGGTATTGACCGAGCCGAGGATGTTCTGGATTTCCTTCAGACTGTGTTTGTGAATGACCCCCAGTGGTTTAGCGCTCGTTTCTCCGCTGCTGCTTTAGAACCGGGCTTGCATTCCACTATTAACACCAGTGGCAATAACATCGATGGGAATTCTATACCACAGCTGGCTTGATGAAGAAAAGAGAAAAAAAAACTAACATGACCTGTTCCACCCGTGTTTGGATATCAATGCAGATCAACGCCTGTGCCAAGTGTGTCTTGCGCACTGTTTAAATAGTACTCGTTGAAACCATAGCGAAGCTTGCAACATGAGCTCACGACGCTTCAAACGAGGCTTCTTTTCGATACCAAAGTATAACCTCTAATAGCACTTCTTTCATTTCGATATTCCTCCAATATATTCACTTACACCCTCAAGCCCAGGATGGCAACATTGGTCAGGCTAATCGCCATTATTCTCTTGTTTCAGTCAGGGTGGGCTTTGACAGTTGTGACAGGAGGTAAGTTTTATTCTCTTCATGAATTTGCCCCTTCTTACTTACAACTGATGTTGGCTTTCCCATCTTCGCCAGAGGGCTATGCCACGTCCGCCTTTGTTGAAAGCTATTTTAAGCACACTAGCCGCATCTTCCACAATTTCGCTCAAAGTTCTCGAGCGAAAATTCTTCCTAAGGTTTTAGGCGAAGGATTTACTGGTTCAACTAGGACGATGTGCACTAGGTGGCAGAGTGGCGCTTGGAGCTTGATCTCTAAAACCATCGCAACTTTTCAAGATCACTTTAACAGAAGAGGGAAACAAATCAACAAAGACCCGCATCTACATCTTGGCTTTCGTGCAACCAGTCATTGGCCCATGTGAGTCTAGCAGGTTTGCTTGTCACATCAGCTAGTGACTTGTTTCTTATGATCTATTTGGTCGGCTGGAGATTCAGATCGAAGGACAACACCTCGACCGAGCTTATGATGAAATCTTATCATGTGAGGCTAGGTGTCCGGTTCTACATCAACAGCCACATCACCTAACAATCTCACTTTTAATTTCACAGACCCAAGACTCTGAGTTATTGGCGCAGATTGTGGAGCCATCACCCGCTAGAGCTGTTATCAACTACCCTGCTGAGACATTTGTAGTCATTCCGCCCAACACACTTTTCTCGCAGGTATCTTCTGTGAACTCCTTGCTAGCGTCTCAATCTACTTCCAAGACCTCGACGCCATTTGTTCCACTGGTTCCGCACATCATGAAGAGCCTTTCATTTTCATCAACGCACCATGCGACAAAAAAAATCTCGAGGGATATTGCCAACGCAAGTATCAATCTTAACGCCTCATCCTCACGCTCAGACAAGCGCTTGGTCTACAGACGTCCGGCGGGATCCCCAATGGCAATGTCAGCTATCCCCTTGCAAAGAGGTCGCATGGCAGCCTGGAAGTTTTAAAGAAGCGTGTCGAACTTGGTAAGCACGCCTATTCTTCTTAACATAAAACAAATTGAACGATTCCCGATCGACTTCGCATTAGTGATCAATCAACTAGCTAATCATTGCATCCCTTGTTCTTAACCACTAGCGATATTGAAACGCACAATTCTCTGAAGCAACAAACCGACGGTTGCCTGCGCCTGCAACATGTGGACAACTTCCTTGAATTTACCTACTCGGAAATCGATGCCCCTTCGTTTGGACCAGATAAGCGACAGCATTGCGCACGGAACGCGAAGTAACAGAAGATCGTTTGTCGATTTAACAAACGTCGCAGTAAATAAACACTTTTATTTTCGAAGATCAACACTATATCATTTTACCAAATTGAACCGATACACCCAATATTTGAGTTCTCTCCATAATAAAGACATTCATTATATTTACATGTACAAAGCAAATACCTTCCCCACGCACACACGAACGGCGGGTTTTACGAATCCCCAGGCTTTGACCAGTATCGCTTATCTGGAGCAGAATAATGCTGCAATTGTGATCTTGACGGCCTCCTCAACGCTTAATGTGTGCCCTTTTTTATGTGATGTTACTGCATACGTAATTTAATCCTTTCAGTTTCTTGCATTTACAACGTGTGGTCATATTAGATCCCCATTCCTCAAGTGTAAGGTTCCCCAAAACCTGGCTTTAATTGGATGTTTAACTTCTGAAGGACGCACAAGCAAGGAATGAAAGAGAAGAATTGAAGAGTAACATGTCCTGAACAAGGCACACCACAGCATCATGATATTTGGATTAGTCGCAGCAGTGGGCCAATGGCCCAATACTATATTACCCCACTATCAAGTATTTTTACACCAAGACAGGTTACTGCCCCACTCTCAAATTTATACAGAAAATAGCTTTTTTGGTTGATCATTTTGGATAAAAACTCAACTAATGAGGGGAAAAATCTGGACTCAGTTTTTTCAAGTAGAATCCTCATCTTTAAAAAAATTAAATTTTCTTGAATATTGGTGTTATTTTTTGTTTTAACTGTTCAATAGGGTTACTGTAATTGCTATTTCTGAAAATAAAATTGATATCATGACCATTTTGGGAAAAGTTGTCATAGTTATCTTGAGTTTGGAACCCACCAAAATACCACAACTTTTCTTTTTCAGGGAATTTGGTTATACTTTATCACCAAAAACTGTCTGATACCTACATTTCTGTTGGTCTGCAGGTATCTTAAAAAAGACGCTAACTGGCACTTTAATGATAAATGTAACAAATTTTTGGCAAAGTATCTTAAAGAAGATACTATATGATACTTGAATGATGAATGTAAATGTATTGGCCCACCGTTGTTAGTCATCAGTGTTTTTTTGGAGGTTTTCAGGAGTCTTTGCCTAAATCAGCAACAGCTCTCATTAATTATATTTTTGTTTGTTCAAAGGCTGAGAGTACAAAAGATCAACAGTCTACAAACACGTGAATAGAGCTCAAAAGCCGTAAGCCTCTATACAGAAGCCGGTGCCGCGAGTTCGGCCTCACGTTTGTTTTCGTGTCTCTGTAGATGTATCGATGAGTCAAGTTTCTGGAGCAAACCTTGCCCCGGTTAGGTTAGATGAAAGCCATGGCAGATTGATTTCATCAATGAAGGTGATTCTTTATTTCGAGCTTCCTGCTTCATTTTGCATCTGCTGATGAAGGCTCATATCGAACGAAAGAGTGCAGCTCTCAAGGGCGCCCTATTCAGCCTCATTCATCTTCAACTTCATTCGCGAGGAGCTTCGAGAAGTTCTGACATGGCATTTCCAGACAAGTTCTACCTGAGCGCATCCATGTTATACTTGTACCCCAGAAATTGCAGGCGAAAAAGCAGCTCACCTCGATCTGATTGGTCTCTGCAGGGCCACGCATTTGAGAAAAGTTAAAAACCAGTGCTCAATGTGAGATCAGATACACGGTTTGACTTTGAAGACATGGGTCTGAAAAACCCCGAACCTGTGTTTGTCTTGTGCAAGTGTCTTCTCAAGTTGCTGAGCCAGCCTATTGCGCTCTGATCAACTGGAGTCACCTTCGCAGTTCCTCCATAAAACCGCTTTCAGTGACGTGCATTGTTGGATTTTCACCGCCGTTTAAACTCGCTGATTGGGTTGACTCCTCTGAACCCTGGGCCAGCTTTCACTTATACTTCTACCTACCCACTGATCTTTATCGCAACTTGACTTGTCGGAGACACACTCAAGTTCTTGCTTCGGGCCGGCTATTCATCACTTCGGATCTTCCATCGATTTTCCGAGAGATAGATGTGTTATTATCTTTTGGGTGTGATCTGGCTGCTTCAGCTGAACTGGCTCCTTTTGGCTGCATGCGATGGTCTATCTCAATCTGATTGACGAGATGGATTTATCACTAGTGATGCTGACTGACCTAACATATTTGTACGTACGGATTGTGAAAACTCGATAGATCATTGCGTTACAAACCTCACGAAAGCATCCGTTGATGAGTACGCGCGGCAAGCCAGTCCGCCCTTTGAAGGGCTCACTCGCGCCATTCAAACTTCTCTTCCGAATGTTCCGATCGGGCAAGTTAACGCTTTGATAGAGCCAATCCGTCAAAAGGCCTATGATGCAGTCCATGGAGAAGTTGTGAAGGGGCTTCACTTGACTTCTGCCAAAAAGGCAAACCATTCAGGTTCCATGAACTTAACGTCTGAGGCAAGTTTTGGACCACTCCCGACCGTTCATTCACTGATCTTCCGCGAAGTATGTATGTTGACGAACTATTTGCATCCATAGAAACTTGCTTCCGGTGTGCTTCAGGTCGCATGTATGGTGCTTAACGAGACACTTTCCGCTGTCAGCAAAACGATCGCCGCGTTGGAGGCTTCCAACAAAAGACCTCCGGGCGTGATACCTTCAACGCCTCCAGCCAACACTCCGGTTTGTCCATGCTTCCTTTCGTCTTATGACATTTTGAATTTTGCGTGAATTTTCCTAACACAGCCTGAAGTTCCTGTGGGTCCACTTCAGCCAGATCAAACTCCGGGCAGGCCTTTTGCAGTTTCAACCATCCCTAGCAAAGCCCCAGGAGCACCCAAGTTACCACCGAAAGAAAGCCATGAAATTCTAACTCCCAGAGACTCTTCAGCACCTGCTGTTTCAGACGCACAGGAGGTTGGAAGGCCTCGAGCACTCTCTTTCCGTCCCCCCTCGGCAGACTTTCGGCCGATCCCCGAGCCCACTTCGCAAGACCGATGCGCCATCAAATTCATCAAACACATAGTTTGCCTTCGAAACTTGCCTTACGCTTCAGATATTCATAAGAGAGGTTCAATCGCTACGTCTAAGTCACCCATGTCGACCTTATTATCATCACACTACGGACAGGCTTTCAGTTCAATTTCAAAAAGGAGCTTACTTACTGATCAACAGATTCCGAAAGGGATTTCTCGAATCTACATGTTGACTAGCATTCTAGTCAAATCACCTTCCGATGAAGTGACTAGCGAGAAGAGCCCACCGGAAGCACCGGATCCATTCGATCATGAGATTGATTCGCAGAACGTGCAATTATCTATTAATCCAAGTCAGACCAAATTCCTTCAGCTCGAATCTGGGAAAGAAAGCGAGTCTCGCAGGCATGTTGAAAGGATTCTCCGGGATACTGTGAGGTTATTAGATGCTCGTTTTGAAACCAACCGAGGATTATTGCGGGTGAGTTAGGTGCTTGAGTATGCCATTATCTTATAAAACCACTTATGTATCTGCCGCTTGCCTCAATATGAGTTGTAGGAGCATGTTGCGCCATCGAGTGAATAGTCCGACCTTTCAGCAAAAGACATTGTCGACGACCACTACCAGGGCTCGGAGCTTGAGGCTTCATCAGCTCTTATTTTCATTCACAAAAGAGAGCGCTCACTTCTAAATTCACTGTAGTTTGCTTCAACTGCATGTGTTGGTCATTTTGTTATCATTCTTTGAAACCGCAGCACTTCACACATTGTATACACCTCCAAACGTCGAATGCTGTCAAGTCCTACACTTATAACTTTAACAGATGAATTTGTAAAAAAAGCAATGATTTTCACCGTCAGCCCACTGTGATCATACTTCAGGAGTTGGGGAAGCTTCCATTACATTTGAATTCATGAGTTCCGGAGACTAGCTCAAATGTTAAGATGGTGGATTCGAGCGAGACCATGGTTAATTTGTGATGTAGAATCCCACTTCTGCCGGCCCACCGGGAAAGAGTCGCTTGAGCCAGTCGTTCTTGTCGGTCCAATTGACCTTACCGACTCTTTCCAAGAGTTTGGGTGATTTATACCCGGAGGATGGTCTCCCGTTAAAGAGTTGCTATCACCGTCTGAATGTTGATACACCACGGGTGCACCTTTTGGTTTTTGGGACGCTTCCAAAACCATCATAGTTTTCAAGTCGTCTTTAAAACCATTTTTGGTTCTGAAGACGACTTGAAGACCTTTTTAAGGTTGAGACCAAGACCCTTTCCCAGAGGAAGGTTTTCAAGTCGGCTTGAAAACCACAGCTGGTTCTCAAGTCGGCTTGAAAACGACAGCTGGTTCTCAAGTCGACTTGAAAACTGGAGCTGGTTCTCAAGTCAGCCTGAAAACCAGCTGTGGTTTTCAAGTCGACTTGAAAACCAGCTCCAGTTTTCAAGCCGACTTGAGAACCAAGATCTTGCATTTGTCTCTCAAGGCCCTCAGGCGGTGACTTCTCCTGAGAAGGTTCAAGGGCAGCGCAGAAGTTTTAAGTCCGATCGGACAGGTTCAAGGGCAGCGCAGAAGTTTTAAGTCCGATCGGACCAGTCCCATCTTGATCTCCTCCTCCCCCCAGGCCGAACTTGCTGATGCTGCTTCATTTCCTGTTTTACTCCCATTGTAAATACTTAGAAATTTGTAACTCCCTCAACACAGCTTCATCCATCTTCGATCCAAGATCATCCATGACTGGACTGAGGATGAACAACAGCTTGCAACTTTGCTCTCAATTTTTTCCTCATCAATCAGTTTTCACTCGGTATGTTTGTTCTTTCTCTGAATGTTTTCTTTATTGCTCATTACTCAACATGGTTCTCTTGTCTGGTCTGTTTTCACTTTGTCCTGCTGTAAAGGAGGGGGTTTCATCTAGCTTCATTTCTTTTTTTGCTTGTGGTTCATTGCTCGATCTTTTCTTATCGCGGTCAAGTTGTGTTGTGATCGCTTGTTACTTTTTCTTCACTTATTACTTCAAATCATTTATCAAAATGTTGTCTTGATTAGCCTTTAAATGGAATTCTACTGCCTGCTTGATTCAACCTGGCCACAATGGTGCCAATCCAGACAGATTCAGTATGAAAGGCCCGACAAGAAAGCCGACCCCCCAGAGTGCAAGACAAGTGAGGTTGCAGTTTCATTTCAAAAACGACCTGAAGTCGTCCATCATGGCGGGAACGTTTCCAAGTCGGTTTGCAGACAGCTTTGAAGCCGGTCACAAGCCGTCTTGGGTGGTTTTTCAAGTCGCCTCCAAAACGACTTCCACCTGTTGAACGTTCCCAAGTCAGTTTGGAGGCGACTTTGATTCGCGTTGAGAGCGTTTGCCTAGCCGACTCCAAGTCGCCTTCAAGGCGAAAACGTCTGGGCGCCTTGAAGGCGTCTCCCATTCAATTGGTTTGAAACGCCTTCAAGGCGGTCAACCCAGGCGTTTTCAAGACGCCTGGGTGCACCCGTGGTGTATGTATGGGTTTATGTATTTATATATGTGCTTATGGATTTAGACAGATCAAGTCAATGATGGGCTTTGTCGATCGGGGCATGATGGGAGAGTAGCAAGCACAAATGAGCGGAACCACAAGCCCAGCATGGATGAGCTGCCGACTCCTGGCTACGGACAGCCCATCAATGGCGAACCCGGCATTGTACATAGGAGCCTCACACATCATGCAACAGCAAGACTCTCCCAAGTACGAGGTCGATCTGAAAACTGACTTGCTCAAGGCTTTCAAGGCCATCAACACTCCCGGGACGTTTGCCGCGTGGGAGGCGCTTCCGACAACACCGCCGGCGGGACTCCATGTCAATGGACTCGGAGAGATCCCGATGCCCCTCGGCCAAGCACAGCTCCAACGTCTCATCACCATAGCACACCAGGCTCCCTATGGCCGCGGAAGCGAGACATTGGTCGATCTGTCTGTCCGCAACACCTGGGAAATCCACGCGCATCAGTTGCTTTTTCTCGATGCAGCATGGCAAGGCTATCTTTTCGAGCTAAGCAAGCTCGTCGCCGGTCATCTAGGCATCACTGGGCCAATTCGAATGGAGCTCTACAAGATGCTCATATATGAACCCGGGGCCATGTGCAAGCCCCACACCGAGTAAGAGTCACCCTTTGAATTTCCCTCAAAATCTTGCTTGGTGATCGAGATTATCAATGGAACCTGACACAATTCCCGTTTTGGTTTCGACACTAATATGCAGCACTGAGAGGACTCCAGGCATGTTTGGAACTCTGATAATCTGTTTGCCATCAGCCCACACAGGTGGTGAAGTCCTTGTTAGGCACAATCGCGAGTGCAAGGTTTTGAGATCATCGGACGCAACCCAGTCTTTCGCTTGCTGGTACTCGGACGTCACTCATGAGGTTCTGCCCGTCCACTCCGGCTATCGATGCGTCTTGACTTACAACCTGGCCGTCACCCCGGGTCTTACCCGGCCAGCAGCAGGCGCACTCGATTTTCAAAGGTTTCCACTTCGGAAAACGCTCTACTGTTGGTTGGGAGAACTGGCCAACAATGACGCGACGGATGTGCCGACTCACCTCTATCATGCCCTTGATCACGAATACACTAACGCCTCCATGTCCTTTAGCGCACTCAAGGGCAAAGACTGGGCTCGGGTACAGGCATTACAAGCTGTTGCACACGAGTTTCCTTTCGAAATCTTCTTGGCGTTATTGGAGAAAAAGGAAGATGGACCCGTCGATGATCACTATCGCGATAAACATCGGGGATTCGGATGGGGACGTTGTGCATATGCTATGGACTCCGACGGTGATGATGACGAAGATGATGAGGATAAACATCATGAACTAACTGAAGTGTCAGAGACAAGCTACACGGTCGAATCACTCCGAACACTTGATGGCAGAACAGTTGCCAGAGACTATCCCTTCGACATGTGTTCTTGTCTGCTGAACGATCCCTTCGAGCTTTTGAAGATTGCCGAGGAAGAATACGAACCCTACATGGGAAATTGGGTACGTCCTCTGATTTTGTTCTTAGTCAACATTTTCAAAAAGATGAAATGTTGATCGAAAATTTCCACCTTCACATATCCACTAGGGTCCTTCTGCCACCCATTGGTATCGCCGCTCAGCTGTTGTCATAGTCCCCCGTCAAAATCTTGCAGCATATCTAGCTCAATGCACATCTGAATCCGAGGACGAATCAAATTTCTACTCAGCACTAGGCCACCTCCGAAAAACATTTTCCCACCCTGCAGATTTTGGACTCCTGCTAGATGCAATGTCTGTGCTGGCCGAATCACTTCCCACAGGACTGCTTGTTGGAAGTACAATCACAGAGATGCTCACAACTGCCCTTCAATGCTCTCACTACAAGCTATTCCAGACTGTTTCAGCTCACCACAAGGGTCAGTTACCCGTTAAGTTTTTTGATTGGGCAAACGGCTGGCTCGATACGCTTCCGTATGCTGACCGTGCTGAGATGTACAAGACGTGGTATGCATGAGAATCGCTGGCTTATTATTGATAACAAGTCAGATTGGTGGCTGATGTCTCCCTTTTTTGCGTGTCCCACAGGATGCCATTACCCATTCAAGGGTATCCATCTGTGGCAGATCGCATCAGCGCCATTGTGAAGATATCGTCAAATCCGATGTATGCCCCGGCTGGACTAGTTGAAGCACTCCCAAGTGTGAGCACCTGGGCACAAGATCAAATCTTGCAAGTTGTCACAGGATTCCTCGAGGAAACCAAGAATCCCGCCGCTGAGAATGTCGACGTGATTATGTCTGCTGTCATTTATCTCGATGAGACACGCACATCGGCGCTGTAAGTACTGTTTGTTCTATTATAGAACTTGTTACAATGGTGATTTGGCGCACCTCTGACTTACGTTTGCGTGCAACCTTCTTAGTCTCACATCGATATTTGTCCGCTTTCCTGGCACCAACGCCATTGCATTCTTACTCGTGTTGCTTTCTCGCCTTAAGGCTCAAATAGCAGTGGCCCATCCCTCAAGTATCCACACCACGGAACTCTACAGAATCCTGAGCTTGCGTGTTTTTAACCGGGACAGGAAGCTTGCGGACATCATCACTGAAGGAAAAAACAAGTCGTCATATATCAGCCAAGCCGGCCAGGTGGTGACTCCCCCAACTCTGGTTCAATTTGCTTGCGATCTCCACGATATGAGCACCGATACAACAGATTTACTCCAGCAGTTCATCCAGGAAATTGTTGAACAACTCTCTACTTTCTCTGCTGTAGACATGCGCAACTTCTGGATACCGTTCCTCCATCAACTCATTCCGGCTCTGCTCTCTCGATCAGTCTTGCTTACCACACCAACCTATCAGCGGCTGATCTGTGATAGTATTATGACTTTCATCAAGGTCATCAAGAGTCCCACTGTAGCAGATGTAGAGCTAATCATGCCTCCGGTCATTCATCTCAACGAGACAGTCACAGCTGCACTGTAAGCTTTTGCTCTATCACAAAATTTATTGAAAAATAATGGTTTGGCTTATCTCTGACTAGCACTTCTGCTTAGTTTCAAATTAATATTTGAACACCTTCCAAATGCGGATGCTATACCATTTTTGCTCGCTTTACTTTCTCGGCTGAAGGCTCAAGCAGAAGCAGCAGCTTCCCCGGATTCCAACACCAGGGATCTCTACAGAAGCCTTAGCCCGTGTGTTTTCAATTCAAAGAGGAAGCTTTCTTGCATCCCCACCAAAGGAAAATTACCACCGATATACTTGAATAATAATCCTAAAACCGAGCAGGCAGTGACTCCAGAGGCCCTGCTCCGATTTGCTTGTGATCTCAGCGACATGAGCACCAATGCAGATTTACTGCAGTCGTCGATTCAAGAGATCAATGCCCAATGCGCTACTTTCTCCGCTGCAGATATGCGCGAGCTCTGGATGCCATTCCTCTATCAACTTATTCCGGCTCTGGTCTCTCGATCTTTGTCGCTCAACACGCCGGCGTATCAGCAGCTTACTCAGCAATTCATCAAACACTTGAATGCAAAAACTGTTGGGATCTGCCCTCAAGCCACATCGGGAACCGTCTCTCAAAGCCCTCAAGTGACCTGCGCATGCCCCGATTGTGGGAAGCTCAACCAATTCCTCCAAGCGACCTCCCAACGTGTCGGAAGCTTCTCAATGGCCCAAAGCCGGCGCATGCACTTGGAGCAGCAACTCGTTCGTGCCCGAATTGACTGCACTTGCACAACTGCGCGCACCGGAAGCCCCCAAACACTGGTTGTCACCAAACATTACCTCCTAAAGGACAAGATTGGCGCATGGAACAAACGACAAAAGGAATTCTACACAGCCGTTAGCCAGAGGATCAAACAAGAGCACCTGAAGAGCCTTCTCGGTGACGAACAAGCTACTCGTATCCAATCCTTAGCAACGCTCAATAACGCGGGGACTACAACTAAGAACGCAGCGACTCCAACTAAGAACGAAGCAACTCCAACTAAGAACGCGGCGACTCCATCTAAGAGCGCGCCTGCTACGATTAAGAACACAGCTTCTACAAGCAAGAACAAGAACGTAGCTGCTATGCTTATGAAGGCAGCTGCTACGCCTCAGCGCAAAAAATGATTGGTCTCCTTCACAGTATTCCAACTCTCAAAAACAGATGGGATGTGTTGTCTCCCTGCTTGTTGTACATCACAATGATCTAACAGTGATCTCATGGCAACTCTTTGAATGCAATCATCAGTGCATGTGGCCTTCCTTGATATGATAGGCTATCGAAATTGTTGCCAATAAACCTGTTTACCTCCCTATGGCAATCTTTCCTATTTCTGAGAGTATGTGGTCCCTCATCCTTAAAACACAATCTCGAATAATCTAGGTTTGGAAGGTCAAACTTGGGTTGAATATTCAGGGCTGCAGGTTTCCAGTGGTGGCCAAGTTGAGCAAGCCCAATATTGTGCCTTGAAGGGATCAAATGACTGATGTTGGATTTTCTAAGTATTGAGGCTTCTGCTTAATTCTAGAGCATTTTGATTGGTGTCTATTTCAAGCAACCTTTCTGCACATCTCAATACATCTTATCCAAATCTCTCTTGCACCACATTGACATCACTTGGCTTGTCATTCTGTGACTTTTTCCCAATTGGTGGCTCATAAAATTTTGTTGTGGTTGTGTGAGGATAGCCGCTCCTAAAGAGGAGTGGCAAAGTGCTCCTACACTTAATCCTCTTCTGCTAGACCAAAGGTCGGTCGATGACTTGCCAGTTGGCTGGAGGCGAGCAAGTCTTCACGGAGTGTGTGCTGCACTTGACTATCCGTTCCGCTCGGGGCGGATCTCGAAGATCCCCGGTGTGTCAGGTGAGCGGGGCACAGCCTTGTGTGGCAGGACTCATCACAAGAGATCACCCGCAAGCGAGAGTGATGGACATCGACCTGCTGATTCCTGAAACAACGGCCTAATCTTAGATGCCCTTGATTATCACTGACAGCCATCCATTGCTTCGGAGCCGTTCTCGTCGAGAACTGTTAGATCGAAATTACACTCCTGCTTGGCTGTGAGGATGTTGGTGATGACCTCCCTCCAACAAGCCTTGAGTGAGTTGTCCGGACGGGTCGGGAGAGCATCCCGCGTCCGGCCAACGTCGCAACAAAGAACAAAAAGCACTGCCACTTGGAAGCCAAGCCAGCACTCCTAGACATTAATTGCGCAGATTGTAAACACTTTCAATCCATCGCCATCAGTGCCACGCATCCAAGTTTTACTCCGTTCTCATAACCGATTGCTCTGTTCGTCAAGAAACATACATTAACCATGTATGTCAAAGTGAAACATCCTACAGACGAGATCCACCATGATACGATCAGAAATGATTCTCGCCAGCAGCTACCGTGTATTATTTTTGCAATACCGTTTCCGAAGCCAACCCAGCACCATCGCACACATGAAAAGGTCCCGCAGTTTCTACTATAGTTAGTATCTGCGGGAAATGGTTCTAAACAAAAAGACAGAAATGATCTAATATGTACTTTGGTTATGTGGAAAAATTTAGCACGTTGCCGCGTTCAGTTTATGTAAAACCGACTAAGGATCCGGTAACTGGAAAGCGAGGGAAGGAAAAGCTGGTCAAGAAGCTCGAGCGAAAGTGGCAAGAGGAGGTCAAAGAAGGGAATGATCTTAAAAGAGGCCAAAACAAAGATGCAGGACGGTTAAAGCGAGCAAAAGGGGCAATCGTCAGGGTAGGTTTATTATTCGTTCACCTTCTATCGTCTTTCGCTGTTGCCGATTGACGTAGTTCAGTCTAGTGATTAAATGTGTTAAAATCAAAATTTCTGTCATTCTCATCAATCAGTCTGCAGCTTCAACCATTCAATGGTTGCCCAACAATGTGATGGAAGTTCTGGCTAGGTTACCACCTCCCCGAAAAATAGGAAAAGTGAGTTCATTGAAATTCGTCATCTGGATCTGCAAATTGCCTTCAGATTCCAACATACATGGATTGAGAACTTCATGCTTACATTTTTATTTATCTTTAATTTTGTGATCTCAAGGTTTCTATCATTTATCCGGAAGCCGTAGATATGCCATGGTTCAACGCAACTAGTTTATCCAAACCTGAGATGCAGAAGAGCTTATGGGACCTTCTGATGGATGCCAAGAAGAGTGCAACAACAAAGATCGCATTGTAAATCGTCAAATTCTTCCTTTCCAGCTATCACCCAGCAAAGTTTGAATACTGACAAAGAGATCTGCTTATCTTTTTAGGTCGGGGTGTTTCTTGCCTGTTACTCTGGCGATGTAAGTGAATCCCTTGACTTGAGAAACTAAACCGTACACCCAGAAAGTTGGCCAATTAAATTGCGGGTTCATGATTGCTTGACACATCTAGTGATATACTGGTGATAATCCCATTGTTCATATTCGAGATCAACTTGGCTTACTTTATGACCCAGCTAAATGGTCAGTTTGTTGGTCCCTCATATTTTACCTGTTCATGTGATGCAACTCATAAGGGTAAGAAAAGACGCAGCGTCTGACATTTGATTCTTGAAAAATGGAAATTTTTAGGCTTCAGAAAAACCAAGCATTTCGCCGAGGCCAAAAAGCAGACACAGCAGACGACCTCACACGGAGAGGTCTTGGATTCAGTCTTTGAATTTGAAGGTGTTTCAGCGAATCGGTTTACCAAAACGATGAACCATCTTTATGGGATTTGCTCAACACTTGATCCGGTCAAGTTTCCGCGCCGTCGAGAATTACCACCACCCACTTATATACCTCCGAAGGATATTGCAGCTGGTTTGATTCATAAATTCAGAGAATCTCTGAATCCTGATGTCGCTGCTCGACATGTTTTGGACGACGAATTGATCGCGCTTGATCTTGATCGTGCCTTGAGGAAAGCAGCAAAAGAATACATCAAGAAGTTAGCTTGAAGAAATTAGAACTGAATCTATATATAACTTCTTCGGCCATATTCAATATTATAAAAAATCACGACACTTTCATTTTGGCAAAATCAGCATTTCCAGAGCTTTGCGTTGAGGGGTATGCATATAGTCATCCCCGGAAACCTCGGCATCTCAATAATCAGCATTCATTGTGAAATTCTTCATGTTAGCCTTTTTCTCAATAACTGTGGATAAGTTAGATAAGTAACGTGTTTTGAACTTACATTCACATTTTTAATATCACTATAATCAGTTTATCAAATTTCATTATTTATGGTTTGATGCTTGGCTCTCGTGGTATTTTCCAAGCACACAGGACTTCAACAGAACAGCCATTTTCAAATTTGATAGGAAGCCAAAAATCATATAGGAGAGTTCAAGAGCTCCTCAAGGATTTCTTCAATCTATCCTAAGTAGATGAATGTGTGAATTGCTTTCATTGAAAATCATACAGATCTATCTTTCATGACCAGAGTATAATGTAGAAGGGAGCTGGAGCAATACATCAGGTGTGTTGGTCAGAGAGCACTCCAGGTAGTGGCTGATTGATTGGGAGTCAGGACAAAGCTTTACCCTTGCTACATGTAGCAACAGCTGGCTTTTGAGCTAGCTAAAAGCTAACCTGTGCCACCACATCAATCTGGCACCCACACACAAAAACTACACACTTCCACTTCAAACCACACTGTTTGAAGGCACACCAATGGGGCTAACAGGTAGTGTTGCTATTGCAGTTTAACAATAGCTTTGAGTCAAAACTCGCAGGTCCTCTGAGTCTTTCCAACACTGATGTTGCGGTTCCAAGGAGCTCTGATGTCGACGACAAAAGCTTGACGACAGTGGGATTCGAACCCACGCCCGAAGACCGCCGGATCACCACTGAAACATGTCAGAACGTTCCAGGGACCTCCTTAAGACGGCGCCTTAGACCACTCGGCCATGTCGCCCATACCGTAGTCCGCGGATATTCGGATCTCGATCCGGCCTGATTTGTAACCTCCGCAGTGACTGCAGCCACCAGCGGCGGATGACGAATCAGGCCGCAGCGACAGGCACATGTGGAGGATGACAGCTGCCACAGTCTTTGCTTATATAACCCCCCTCCCAATCAATGTATGAGGAGAGAGACAAGGAAAGTACATACACGTTGGATGCACCCCTCACTCAAGGGGTGCATTGATTTTTGGCGGGTGTGTATTGGCCAAGCATGGCTTTGTCCGGACTCCCGCCAACTGTGGCATGTTTTGGGAGTGGCCCAGCGCACTTGGCCTTTTTTGGCTGAACTATGTTGTGTGCCCACACGGGCTTGCAAGTTGCAACACCTTTGAGGTTGAGCTCGCAGAGGTCCCTTCTTTCAAGGACTTTCCGAGCCTCCGGGTCCAGGTCGAACAGGCGAGCGCAGCGGCGCGCTCTTCGAGCCCTGTGGCTGCTGCGCAGTCCTTCTGGCATGCTGCGCAATCGTGGTCGCATACACAGTTGGCGAGACGCGACCGGTCACTGGTGATCTCCCCCTGCCCCTATTCCCTTCCCACTTTCCTTCTTCAACAATCAACAACATCCTGAAGCTCCACTTCCACTGGCTCATCTGATCTCTCAATCTTGAGCTTTATCAAGATGGATTCACCCCTAACCTCCCTCGCGAGCTCAGCTGCCGATCCGAAATCCACCATTGAGATCACGGATTCAAAGAAACCAGATGTTACAGGTTCAGACTCTAAGAGGAAAGTCGTAGACGAAAATACGGATCCCAAAGAGACCGAGGTGTGTTGCCTGGCCCCGATCTATGGCATCGCTCCTTTGAACAGTCATTTTGGATTTCCCACTGACACTCGTTTTTCCTAATTTCATCCAGTCAGCAAAGAAACCGAACATGATAACAGATATGCTTCTGAAGAGCAGCGCAGTCAAAGTCGTTGTACCTTTATCGAGGGACTCTCCCCAGAAGAAATTGCCTACCTCTTTCAAGGACTCGCCCCCTACGAAGAAAAAATCCACCTCAACCTCTGTCTCAGCGTCAAAGCCCAAAAAACCTCTCCCCAAACGTGCTCGCCAAGTTTCGTCCGATGAAGATAGTGACTTTTCAGATCCACCGTCTGATGATGGTCTGTTTTCCACTCCATGCGTTTTACATTCCAGGCAGAATACAAGGCTTACCTTTCTCTTCAATTTTGTTCTTTTCAGATGTGGCGGCGATCTCTCCTCCTCCAAAGCGTGTAAGTACTACCCACAATAAGCAATTCAACACGCCTTTACTGACCCATCCGGTCTAAACTCGTCACAGTCTACAGCTAAATCTAGTAATACCTTAAGCAATTTTATCAAAAAAGATCTGACTGTGAGTTTTGCTCAGCAGTCAATCACACATCACATTCTCTCGTTACTGAATCGAATCCCGGACTGCACCTTTAGAAAATCCCCAAACCGAAACCTACCAAGATCGGAGGTCCATCCAAACGAGAAAAAGAAACGATCGACGAGACAAAACTAGCCCCGTTAACCGAAATTCCGGACATGTTCCTCGATATGGTTAAGAATCGTCCGGAGTTTAAGGAGACGATCGATCACCTAGGAGGTCGGCACTTACGTGTGGCTACCATGTGCTCGTCAGTATATTCTATTCTATCAAATCCAATCTGGCTTTCAGTCAGACTGATACAAGCTCTTACAGTGGAACCGAATCTCCCTTGCTGGCTTTGGGGCTTATCGCCAAATCTGTCAAACAACTCTGGGGCAAGGATTTCAGGGTCCAGCACGTATTCTCATGCGAAATCGAACCCTTCAAGCAAGCCTACATCGAGCGCAACTTTCAACCTCCGATCCTATTCCGAGATGTCTGTGAACTGGGAGAAGATGAAGCTACAACCGCTTATGGTGCGAAGGTCCCCGTGCCAACTGACGTTGACATGTTAGTGGCGGGTACCAGCTGCGTGGATTATTCGGGTCTGAACAATCAGAAGAAGGTATATTTGATCCTTTTTTGTCAACAAAAGTACTGGGGTCCTTATCTTGCCAGGGTATTTTTAGACCATAGATGCAGGCGGAGAATCCGGTCGAACTTTTCATGGAATGCTTAAATGGGTCGAAAACTCTCGCCCACCAATCATCATCCTAGAAAACGTTTGCAACGCGCCTTGGCCGAAAGTCAAAGAAAAATTTGAATCTATCGGTTATGACGCCGAGTTCTCCAGGTGAGTAACCCTATCCCCTGGCCCTAAAAGTTAAGGTGTCCCTGTCTAACATCTACGGCCTTGGGGTTTGACCGGTTCCTTTGATGGAATCAGATTTGATACGAAGCATTATTACATTCCACATACGCGAACTCGAGTATATTTGATTGCAACACCAAAGAAGTTGCGGATAACCAAGCAGCCTAACGTTCCTGGTGCCTGGCTCACACTAGTCTCTCAAATGGCTCGTCCTGCATCCGCCCCGCTAGAAGCCTTCATGTTTCATCAAGATGACCCCTTGGTTCACCGCGCTCGGCAAGAACTGGCGTTTATCAAAGCTAACAAAGATGGTCAGGGTCGCCAGGCAACCGATTGGACTCGTTGCGAAAGCCGACACGCTCGGCAAAGAGCTGAGGAACTACTCGGAGATAAGCGACCGCTGACAGCTTGGCAGGATGGTCCAGTATGCAAGGTCATCGATGGAGGTTGGAACGACTGGGCAAATGCTCAAACAGAACGAGTGGTCGATCTAATGGATATCAATACCTTGAGACAAGTTAAAGACGGCGTCGATGTATTGTATAAAACTCTAATCTGGAATTTAAGTCAGAACGTCGATCGGATGACCGGTAGTGGGAAATTTGGCTTAACTCCTTGCCTGACTCCCAACATGATCGCCTACGTTACCAACCGTGGCGGCCCACTCATCGGCCGAGAAGCCTTATCCTTGCAAGGTATCCCGCTCTCGGGGCTTTTACTGACGAAAGAAACCGAGGATCAACTAGCCGATCTAGCGGGTAATGCGATGAGTACTACTGTTGTTGCTTCTGCAATGATGGCAGCACTGATCTTGACAATCCCGCGCACCGAGAAGACCGATAAATCGGACGATGTAGAGATGGAAGATGTCTCTCAGATTAATCCAGAGGACTGTATTACAGGGAATGAAGATCTCAGCACCTATCCACTAGACCTTTCGAAAACCTGTCCAATCAAGCCCGACTTTTTTGGCAGAGCAACAGCCAGTGCTCGCCTTTGTATCTGCGAAGGCCGGTCAGGAACTGCGTCGGCAAAGATCCAGTGCTGTCAAACTTGTGGTTATACTTCCTGTCAAACATGTGGCGGTCGTCCATCTCATAATTATCAAGTTCGTGACTCGGAACGCTTGAGTCCTGGTGTATTCGAGCGCGAATTGAAGGAAATTTTACCCATGAGGTTGTCTATAGATGGCCTCAATCAAGATTTGTTTTCTCAACTTATTGCTGAAGCCGCTCGACTTGAAGTGGAGATTAACATGAAGGACTGGGAACTCATCACTGAGGCCGCTCTAGCAGCAACAACCAACGTAGAGTTTCACTTCACCTCTCTCAAACGACAAGCAATATGGGTGGCCACTTTTGATGCACCTCGGGCCGCGCTGGAATTACGATTAGATCCCTTGCTTCCCGAATGGAGACTAACGATCAAGCCGGATAAGACATTGCCAATCAAAAGTCCTCGTCGACTTGTTCTAAACACGCCCGTTGCCCGAATGAGGATTTCACGAGATGTAGCCGACTTGATTTCTGGTAGATGGCAATTCCGATTGCCCATTGATAAATCATTCGATCTTGAGATAAAAGGAGCCGGGAATTTAGTCCCAGGTTGGCGGAAAGACATGGGTTTAGTTACTGAGGACGCCAAGGCGGACGACTGGTGGTCACATTTATCGATCTCTACACCAGAAGTCGCTCGCAAATATCTCGATCGGCCTTTGGACGGTAATTGGAAGCTGCATTCTGAATGTGGAACAGCTCAAAGCATGCTCCATCGAAAGGAATCCACCGGTGATGATGAAGGACTCCCACCGCTTTATCTTTTCTTGGATCCCACTCGCAGCGGCGATCCTGTGGATGATTGCGCGGTGTTTTCGATTGATCATTCTAAACTCGACTATGGTGTGGTCCGACCGATTGTGGCTACTCTGGATGCCAGCTGGCGGCCGAATTCGAAAAAGTCTGCCCACGTTCAATGTAACGTCTCGAGCAAATGGATCGAAGCTCCGAAGTTGAGTCTCAGTGTGGCTATGCACACGGATGTCAAAGCTGAAGCCGATACTACGGATGGCGTATACTACATTCCGCCCAATGGCGTCTCTGTCAAGCTCGACAAGGACGGTTGTGAGAAGGCGAATGTTGTGATGGCTTGCAAAGTTCCCTTGCCCATTAACCAGTACGATACAGTGTGGGGCAATGGCCCTTGGAGGGAAATTGATGTTCCCCATGAGGGTGAGAAGGCATTCCAAGCATTAGCATGGATCATCGAGCGAATACCGCCTCCTGAATCGTTGTCCAAGTGGAGCTCGATCAACGACCCCACGCAGGTAAATGTCGCAACGCCTGGAGAGTCTTGCCTTCATACGTTAAGCTAATTGATCTTCCTATTGTAGTGTGCGACGAATTGTCAAAGGTGTGCACCCTCTCCCCCCACCGTGCAATGGCTTTTGAAGCAAACCAATGTCAAGAGTACGTTCGTGCCACATGAAGACATAGTGGAAGCGGGTCGTTATGAGCAGGTCAGCAATTCTTCATCCACACGTTTGCTACAATCTTCAAACCTCTGATGTCTGAACTCTGGTAGGCATTGAAAACCCGACCGGCGCCTTTTGTTACTCATCTTCGACTGATCAACGGCTGTGGAGAGATGAAAATTGGTGTCAGCTTCGCTACTCTTGTTCATCGAGCTGTTGCCCGATTTCCCGTCTCAGCTCTTAGTGGAACCGTGAATCCATCTTGGAGGTTAACATTCGGGCATGAATCTAGCGCCGCCTCACTTCTTCGCCCAAAGTTCAACTTCCATCTTCGCAGTAACAAGAACGATCCACCAGCCAAGCAGCCCGAACAATTTGTCATACCTCTTCGACCTGAGCAACTTCGATCGTTGTCGTGGATGTTATCGCAAGAGAAGCTAGACGAAGGAGTCAAGCATACGTTTGTTGAGGAGGAAATCGCCGAAGCTGCTTTATTGCCCCTTGGCTGGCGTGCTGAAGGTAAAGCAGAGCGACCTGTATTAATCAGAGGAGGCGTTCTCGCAGATGAAGTTGGTTACGGCAAGACAGCAATTACTATCGGCTTAATTTGTAGCACGTTGAACGAGAAGCCCCCAGAGATCCCTAAGGCTCAGACGCAAGGTCATATCAGATTGAATGCCACGCTAATTGTCGTTCCGGCTCATCTTGCGGGTCAATGGCCGACTGAGTTTTCAAAGTTTACTGGGAAACGCACTACCAAGGTCCACCGAATCATCAATATGACCGACTTGAATTCAACACGTATCAGTGACTTACAGGAAGCTGATGTGGTTGTCGTATCGGAAACTCTTTTTGGCAGTCAAATTTATTGGAACAACCTTTCCCACCTTGGTGGGACAAGAGACATTATCAATGAGCCTACTGGCGGGAGATTCTTCCAGTCATGTCTAAGTGAGACATTGGAAAGTTTGAAGAAACATGTCGAGGTTCTGATCGATGAGGATGGAGGTGCAGAATCAATGCAAGAAGCTATTGCCGAAACTAAAGCAAAGTTGGAACGAGCCGAAACCGCTCGCCAACTGCAAACCAAACGATTGAAAGGAGCAGCATACGCCAAGAAGTACGCATCTGAAGGAGCCAAGAAGGAAGACGGTGATGAGTTAGAAGATGTAGGTCTCTGGCTAATCTTTTCAAACTTTGTCGACTGGTTTCAGTAGCTGATCACGTTAGTTATACCTGGTCTAATCTACAGTCGGATTCACCGCCACCGAAGAAGAAAAAGCTAAGCAATGGGAAGGCAAAAGCTGAAAAAATGCATGGCGGTGACGTTTGGAAGTTGAATAGTGATGCCCAAGAGGACTGGACCAAGATGCACTGCCCCCCACTACATATGTTTTAGTGAGTTCACTCTCTTTGTTCTTAGGAAGCTGTATAACATGTTATTGACCTTTCAACTTACAGCTGGCGACGTAGAGTAATTGATGAATATACTTACCTTGGAGGGCGAGAACGACTGGCCGTTGGAACGATCAAGTCTTACAGTACCTGGGTTTTATCTGGCACACCTCCTGTTGCTAACTTTACCGAGATTAAATCGTAAGTCCAAGTGCGACAAAACGGGATCTCCCCACCTACAGTAGGTCTGATAGACGTGTCAAAATGTTTTTCCAGAATCGCTCGATTGCTTCACATTCACTTGGGAATCGATGATGATGGCGAAGGGCCCAAGGAGATTGTCAAGTCGATCACAAAACACCAAACCGCAGCCGAACAATTCCATTCTTTCCGTGAAATCAGATCTGCTGCCTGGCATAACCGGCGAGATGAAGTCGCCCAAAGCTTTTTAGACCGATTTGTCAGGCAGAATGTTGCGGAGATCGACGAAATAGCATATGAAGAAACATTGGAACCGATCATCCTGCCCTCAGCCGAACGGGCAATCTACTTGGAACTTGATCATCATCTCCAATCTTTCGATATGAACATGTAAGACATTGATATTCTTTTTTTTCCTGCTTGCAATAGATGCAAGCCTCCCTGGTCGGATTTTTACTAAATGTCACACGTTCTCCTTTTCTATTTTAATTCCCCTTCTGTGCAGCAAAAAAGTTTCACGGACTAAGAAGACAAACAGCGGTATTGCCGATCGAGAAAAGAGACTTGCAGCAGCGCTAGGAGAAAGCAAATCAGCCGAGGAGGCTTTGTTAAAGCGTTGTTCACATTTTACCTCTGACTTGGATTCTCAATCTGCAGCCCATCGAGCAGCTAATGCGGGGGCGGCTTGTACTATTATTCTCAAGGAGCGTACTTCACAACTAGAAGAATGCTTGGCGGAGCTTCGAGTACGATTGAAACAGGCAGCAATTCTCTACAGTCATACCAAGTCGGAGGGCTTATATGAAAAAGATGAGCGTACTCCTCCATTTGAAGAGTACGTCAGGAACTCGTTTGCGAACATTGGCGACGAAGAAGCCAACGAACGATTGCAGGCTATCCTCACCGAGGAAGGCTGTCGTATCAAAGATAACAAGGTTCTGGCGCCCAAGGTTTCGCTGAACGATCCGGACATTGAAGAGGTTCTAATCCATCTGGATCCGAAACTTGCAGCCGCTAAGGCGAAAGCCAAGAAAAAGGCGGGCGAAGATGTGGATGTGAAAGACGTTAAGAAACAGAGTAAAGACGAAATGCTTGCTGCGCGCAAGTGGGCTGCACGGGAACTGATCCATCTGCTACGCAAGCTGAACCGAGAACTGGTCAATCGGCTGAGATCTAAGCGGTACTTCACCATTGTGCGTGATGTTCAACAGGGGCATGTCCCCATTACAATCGACCACGAAGGCCAATCAGAACCTTTGGGCATTCTCTCAACCTGTGGGCACTCTGGACCACTCAGCCTCGTCAACAAATGCGCGCGCGATCAAGAATGCTGGCAGAAGAATAGCCGTGGTTGCGGTGCACCGGCACGTGACACCAGTGTGATCAGGGCCGATTCACTGGGGCATGATGAAGCATCTGGCCGATTTGGTATCAAATTGGAACGAATGTGTCATTTGATCAAGCAACTCAAGGAGGACGATCGAGTACTGGTGTTCGTACAGTTTAGTGACTTGCTAGACAAGGTATACGACGCTTTGGAAGCTCGAGGGATCGGTGTCGCGCGCGTCAAGGGAACCGCATTGAACCAAATGAAAGTGATGAGCAACTTTCAAAATGAGGTCGACCCTCACATCCGAGTGCTCCTGCTGCATGCTACCGATTCCAGTGCAAGTGGTAAGTAATCATCACTCAATCGAGTTCTCAATGGCTTGACTCATCTGATTTTGCCTTCCCTCCGATCTCTACAGGTGCCAATTTGACGAATGCCAACTATGCCTTCTTCGTCTCGCCGTTGTTTCTACCCACGGCCGACAAATTCAAAGCTTGCGAGACTCAAGCGATCGGACGGTTAAGACGATATGGACAAATGAAAAAGGTCCATGTGATCAGAATGTTGACGGTAGATACGATCGATACTCAAATCTATGGCTTCAGACATGACAAATCTAAAGAAGTGCTAGCTGAGGAGATCGAGTTGGCCAGAAAAAACCAGGCACCCTTCGTTGTCCCAGAGAATTGAACCTCATCACCCATTTACCCTCCCTCCCATTCCTGCTATTACTACACGAAGCACGACCCTCATGTGGGATTTTCGGACGACTTGACAAATATATATTTCTCACTTTTTCATCTCAGGTTGACCTCATCTCAAATCTTTCTCTGTTTCATATCTTACGTAGTTATCTATCAGGAGTCGTTCCTCATCTTGTTCCTCGTTTAGCTCTGTCTCAACAATTTCACTATTTGTTTTGCTCGGAATGCTTGAATCAACGTTCATGATAGAGAAAACCATTATGGTTCTCGTCCGCAGTCCCGAATGGATAATATGAGCTTATGAAGTGCGTTGATATAAGCCCCCTGAGTCAGGCCAACGGCCACAGTCGAACTTGGTCATCCAAACCCACTTCAATGACCGGGTTGCTTCGCTAAGCCAATTTGATCGCTGCAGCTGTGATGACGTCACTCCCTTGGTGGGGATGATTCAGCCTGGCAATATATGCTATGTAAGGATTCCAGATAAATTTGGCCATGTCCTGTTGACCATCCCATCCAACTTCAACCCAACTTCTGAGTGGAGTCTCATAAAGAATAGATACGGAAAGGCGCACCATGCCACCCAAATCAAAGCAGTCATCCAGACAGACCAAGAGCAAGCCCAAAGCCCAGGCTCGTCAGCGAACCCCAAGCCCGCTTAACGAAAGCCATGAAAGTTCGGGTGATGACCAGGAGATGGAGGATCAAAGTAGCGATGAAGAGGCTCCCAGGTCAAACTTGGATCTTTCTGTCTGCTCTTGGTTTTGTGACGTGTCTAGAGGTTAATAATCCTTTTTTGGTTTCTTAATCAAATAATCGATGATTTAAATAGGCTGGACATGAAAAGTCTGTTGAAGGCTTTGGAAAACCAATCTAAACAAAAATTGGCGAAGAAGCAAAATAAAACTTTTCAAGAGATCGAATCGGCTCTCCAAGGCGTTTTAGTCGATCGATTGAACAACTTGGTCAAAACCCAAGAAAGTGAACTGTAAGCTTTGACTTTGCTTGAATGAATAATCACCTCTACACACTTTCCATGCGTATAGATGGTCTTATGAAAAAAAGATGTCAGCTTATCAAGTGTTACTGGTCCTGCTTGGCATCAATCTTCGTTCGCGCGGCGCATCTGATACGCTGAAGAGAGCGGATGGTTTCCGATTATTTTACATTCAAGACCCGGATTGAAGAGCAAAAAAATGGATTTATCAATGAAATTATTCAGCAACAACAATCCTTTGAGGTGAGAGAGCACGATCCTCCAAAGCCGTCTTTCCGGATGACCATCCAGGTCTTATGTACTCAACATCATTAATTAACATTATTTACAATCGATCCGCTCGATTTTCTGAAAAAGGCTATCTTGAAGAAATTGGAAAATAATATGGAAACGTACATCAAGAAAGTTGAAGGACAATCAAGCTCCACAATTCAGCAAATTTCTCAACTCGACCGGCGTGGGTCCCCTCATATGATTAGAATAAATATTCCACTCTTATGCAGAGCTTTGATCACTGGGGAAATAAACGTACTAATGATCGAGTACTGCTTTTTCATGACAGAACGAAAAAGGAAGGCTCATGAGTGTTTGAGCTCTTAACTGCATCCTAGATTCCTGCCCCCGTTGCATGCACAACTCGCTCAAGATGGATCCAATCTAAAAGCCCGGACGCGTCCTTTAATCGTATTCTCAGCATCGTTTCTGTACACACCAAAATGCCCTTGCCCTCCTATTCAGGCATGTTGATCCTTGTTTTTTATTAGTCATGAATGTTCACTGTGCTTTTACTCCCAGTCCCAACACGCCATGATCTAGAATGGCATGAAGCTTCATGTTGCTGTGAATTTGATCAAGAAACATTGCGTGATCGAAATTTAAATTGTAACTGCTTTACTGAGCCTTCAAATAAAACAAGATGCTGATATACATGATTGGTCTAACTATGGTTTAGATCTGGAGATCGATGCGTAATACTCCCTTGAAGGGCAGATAATCAAATCGAACAAAATAGTTTAACATCAAATATAGAAAAAAAAAGTCAAGCCTACCGTCAATAGTAAAATCTGGGAATTCATAAGTTTCAGTTCAAAGACAGTAGATACTCCTGTGTAAAAGAATTCATACGAAGAAAACAAAAAATATCATCAAAAAATGGACATTTTCATCTGGAGGTTTGCTCCACAAGATACACTCATGTGGACAGTCAACTCACTCTCAAGGGGCCTTCGACTAGGGTTTGGTGAAAGTCTTCCAAATGAGTCTCGAAAGAGCTGATCATTTCATCCAGGCTGATTTCAAGAGTGTCTTCTAAAAGCGTGGACGGATGGCCTTCAACAATCTCGGAAGAACCCAATGAAATCTGGTCAGATGCGGTGAGGCCTTCACTTTCAAAGACGAGATCTCCGGCAGATTGCGATGAAGTGAGTAGTGGTTGAACGAATGTAATAATTTTCCGGCCGGATGATAGAGCCATTCCTGCGATATACTTAGGAAAGGATAATGAAGGAAGTGTTGAAGTAGAGAGTTTCTCGGCCAGCACGGTTGATCGCTTTCTCAATGAGTTGAGAATCGGCAAGACATCAGGGATACAGACGTGAATCTTTCTCTTCAAAGTGGTGGTGCATTTGCGGTCGGCAGTTGGCGTTGCTGGCGTGGTGGTTGGCGTTGACGGTGTCGCATTCTTGGGTGCCTCTAGAGGTTCATAGGTCTTCGCCACAGGAATGGTGGAGACCGTCACAGGGGTTCCGGGAGGAGGATTTGCTCGGGGAACCAACTGGCCTGAGGAATCACTGCCGAATGAGTTCAGAACCCTGCGCCTCAGTCGGAACGGAGGCTTGGGTCCTCCATTGGGTCTGAGCGGTATGGTAGATAATGCAGTCGGTCTACCCACTACAGTCTTTTTTTTTTCAACAAATTTAGATAATTTCAAGAAGTTTAATGACAGTTCGTTAAGTCAGACATGCCGTAGAATCAGCTCACCGACTCCGGTAGAGTACTTGGATTGGAGTACGATGTCGGCGAGGGCTTCCCTTCAGCCTCCAGTCTTGAAGTGGTAGCTTCTATGATCGAAATTGCTTCTCGCAGGGTTGATTTCGCCAAGTTCAAGACAATCGCAATGAGTGGCTGTGTAACCAAAAAAGAAAACGCAGAAATTTACAAGGCACTCTACGGAATTGGAACAACAATTAAGATCATGATTTACCTTAGAGGCTTCGACCAATGCGTGAGTGACATTGTCATTCCCCAAAACTCCGGTAACAAGTTGCGAGAGAGTCTGGTTGTAAACTTGATCATACAATTCCTGTTGACTGGGCGCAAACAGCTTGTCGACCTGACTGGTAAGTAACTGAGGAAGGAGGCCACGAGCTTGCACCTTGCGGGAAATTCCTTGAAAGATCGGGGCGACTTGTTGAGAGTAATTGCCCGCGAAGGCTTTGGCAACCGAGACCATACATTCATCTGTTGATATTGTCCCAAACCAATACCAAAAAAAACGTCAACCTCAAAACGATTGCTAGCATTTTCTTTTCTTTGCTAGAAACCGCGCTTACCTCCACATCCAGTCGCGAAGCTCGTCCCCAACTGAAGCAGAAAGAAAAACGCGACAAGCAGAGATTTGAGCATTGTACTGTAGTAGGAAAGCTTTCAACTTCGAGGCTACTGGTATGAAGTACTCGTCGACTAATGAATGTGCGGCTCAAATTCCGAAATCTGACGCGTTGATGGCCGGGTGATGCCGATAGATTAAGAGATCTCGTCAGTAAGCAATGATATATTGATGTTCTTGGCGATTATACGGAACCAAAGGAAAGTGGGCATTAGGATTATTGACGCATTGTCTTCATAGTCGCTCCGGCCAGTCGACATCAATCCCTCTCAGAAGCTCTAGCACACCGCGGGTATACATTTTTACCTGAGCGTTTGAGTTTGCTATATATATTATTACAGACAGCAGCTGTTCCCTTTGAGCCGGGCATGTTCAAGTGATTAAAACAGTGTCAGTGTCTGGACATGCTTAGAGATTGCGCTCCCCCCTGTGAAAAGTTACCCCCACACATAGCGCTTTGCTCAAGGGGTTTATGCCTGACAGCACAAGGTTATTAAGCAATGTATAATTTTCTTCGCTATTATGGAACCAAATGAAAGTGGGCATCAGTGTTGTTGACCTATTTCCTTGATAGCAGCTCCCCAGTCGACATCAGCCCGTCTAAGGAGCTCCAACATACCACTGATATACATCTTTTGTATAAGCGCCTGAGTTTTCTATTTCCATGTTGCTCAAGACAGTTTTTCCCTTTTGAGCCGGTCGTTGCTCAAGTGATTAATAAGCGTCGGGCGGCATGGCCGAGGGTGCCCCCGAAAGAGTGCCATGTGGACTCTTGAGCTTGCAGAGTCCGCTCATTCTGTCGAAATTCCAACACGAATGCAGCGCTTATGTAGCTTGGTGTTGAAGCTATCACTCCAGTCCTGTGGGAATTGTTTTCAAGTTTTGACAGACATTTGCATTCTTGGGATTGAGATTTGATGTTGGAGTTAAGGTGATTTTGTTACAATTCTGGTCGGTCTCGACAACACGGAAGTCCTTGCTTACATAGTCTGATCCGATCAAATCTGTTGAAACAACGCGACACAATCCATCCGCAAGCAAACAACGCGACAAAATCCATCCACCAACAGACCAATTTGAATTAGACAAAAATGGTGTAACATCCTATATCTCCTCAGAAGGGTGATTAAAGCCAAAATATGTAGGCGCATAGAAAGCAGAGATGTGGGCTGTTTGGGTAAACCACTTTTTTGTTTCCTGTTTGTATGTGAGAAAGTTTTCCATATGGTGATTTTAGGATTCAAATGCACAACAATTGGATGTTAAAAAAACAGGAATTCAATGAGAACACACATACTAAAACCAATCTTTCATTTTTTTAGACAAGTCTTTGGATACACACACATCATGGTGGACACACATACATTATCTCTAATTACATGATCAGGGGAGGAACTTATATGACCTATATGTATTATTATTATTTATAGTATGTAAAAAAAAACTCAAGGAATCAAAAAAAAAAAAATGATGTTGTTATTAATCAACCAATAAATAATGAGAAGAAGATCAGGATGAGTGAAAAAAAAGAACAACAACAACAACCAATTTGATGAAATTTTTCTTGGAACCAAGCCAAACTAAACTAAACTAGAATAAAAAAACGAAGGTGATATGTAAGTGGGTTGAAGAGAGTAAGGAGAGAGCCAAAAAAAAAAAAAAAATGCGGGAGAGGAATCCAAAAGAGTATAGGGGTCTCAAGAGTCTACCACGTCGTTGTCGACCTGTTCAACCGAATCGACAACCTCGGAGACAAACACGTTGAGCAAGCCGGGTACTTCACGTTCGGCGGTCTCAATGGCCAATTGGAACTTGTCGATTGCCGCGACAGCCGCTGCATTCCCTTTGATCCTCTCTCGAATCTACACTTACCCCAATCAGTTCAAGATGCTGTTTTTTTTTTCGGGGGAAAAAGATAGAGGAAGCACTTACGGATTGGATGACTGGAATCACTACTGTATCCAAGATCTCTCCAACACCCTCTTGATCCTCATCTTCTTCCTCGCCCTCAGCATGAGGACTCTCATCCTCAGCTGAGTCTTGATGATGGTGATGATGATGATGGGCTTGCTGAGTATCCCGATCGTGTTCGGGATGAGTTTTCTTGTGATTCTTAGAGCTCGACGGTTGCGGGTCTCGTCGTTCGGCCAGGCTCGGGTCGCGATATTGGTCAGCACGATGGGCAGGTTCCTTCTGACGGCCGTTCGGGGGTCGCTTCGAGGTACTGCCTTGATGAGTGTCACTGGAGGCGGGTGGATGCTTGGCGCGGATACTTCCTTTGCCGTTGCCGATCTGAGCAGCGATATTATTAGCGGAAAGAGGCGCTGGTTGACTTCTAGGAAACTCTCTACTGCTTCGGATATCTTGTGAATGTTGGCCACCACTGCCATTGTAAACTCTGTGATGTGCCGATTCAACTTGAACTCCTAGACCTTCCGAGCCGGGCACGCCAGAGTGAGCTTGACTGGACTTTCGTCTCGGTTGAGGCTTGTCCCCAGAGGGTTCGGAGGCTGGAGCTTTCTTCTTCTTCTGACCCGGTGATTTCTTGGGCTTGCTAGGACGTGAATCTGGGGGGCTGGTTGGAGGAAGTGTATGTCGAACGGTTTCGAACTTGGGCTCAGCACCATAGTCTCGTTGAATGACGCCAGCGGGTGGTGGTGGTTGCTGAGAGCGTTGAGGATTGGGTTTAGATGATGAGGCTGCGCCAGGGTTTTGAGATGGGCCGGGAGGTAATCTTCTGGTGGTCCCTTTCTTGATCGTACCAAAGTCCCACATATCGTTCGGTGTTGAGTGATCGTCGTGAGCTTGATCACCATCCTCATGATCATTGTTTTGACCCGCGATCTTATTCTGATGGCCGCCCTCGATCTTCCATCGTTCCAAACGTTCGATCAATTCTGTCAGATAGCTTGGTTTCTTTGAATTCCTGATAAACTTATGCTTCAACAGCTCCTTTGCGCTCGGTCGGGCATTCGGATCCCGCTTGAGACATTCACTTATAAAATCTTTGAAAGTCTTGCTGAATTCGGGTCCATCGAGGACCGGCGGCGGGTTTTTAGGGATCAAGAAGAGGACTTTCATCGGGTGGAGATCTGCGTAAGGTGGTTCTCCCTTTGCTAGTTCGATAGCGGTGATACCAAGGGACCAGATATCCGCTTTAGAGTCATAACCGGATTGCTTGATGACTTCAGGTGACATCTATGTGAGCAAGTCAACAGAGGGGGGGGGGGGGGCAGTTGAACGGTGTGTTAATTAGCTTAGTCGATGCTCATTTATCTTAATAATCAATAGAGATATCACCCACCCAATAGGGTGTTCCTACAAAGGTGTTCTTCTTGGTCATCGTTGCTGTCAGTTGACCGCTGACACCGAAATCGGCCAACTTGACCTCGCCTGTTGAGCTCAACAAGACATTGGCAGCCTTGATATCACGGTGTAGTTTTCCCTCTTGATGTAGATAATCCAGTCCTTTAAGAAGTTCCTTGAGGATAATCGCGATGTATTCTTCTCTAAACACGCCCGGTTTCATCTGTGGATTGGGTTTTGAATGGCAAAGAAGTGATTAATGATCGTATGATGTCATATTGATCTCCTATGTAAGCAAAAAGTGGTGGGCTGAGAGTGCAGAAGTCAACCAACGCGAGAATCTTCAGACTAACCAGATCACTACAACTACCCCCACTGCAGTATTCCATGATGATCCAAAGACTGGTTCCCTTGAGATAAGAGCCATGATAGCTGATAATTCCAAAGTAAACAAATGATAAGCTTGATTGAATCATGAGGATAGTTCTCTGACTGAGAGTGAATTAACCAACCGGGTTACGTAGGATGAGTCTAGTTGACTGAGGATAGCGATTTCTTGTTGGATGTCTTCAATCTCATCTTCCGCACTTTCGAGGTCGATAACCTTGATGGCGACTATCCAAAAAAAAAATAAAGCAAAACATGAAATTAGAAGGGTCCTTGGATTTCGCTAGTGATTTGATGTATGTACCTGGTTTCCTGGTCCGTTTATCGAACGCCTTGAACACTTCACCGAAGCTGCCTTTGCCGATTCTGTCCTGTCTGACGTAAAACTCTTCTGGGTCGGCCTGTCTCTCGTTGGATTGGTTGATGGTCGAAGTACTATTCCGAGGCGGGGGGAGATGGCTCATTTCTTCGTGACCAGTTATTGTATGTGTGTGTGTGGGTTGGTTGCGTTTGGGGTTGTATGTAGTATGTTTGCGTGTGATGTAGGGTAGGATGCTTGGTGGTTCTTGATGGATTTTCCAGTGGATGGGCTGGAAGTGGCTGTCCTTAAATATTTGTCACAGTCCTACCCGAGTGCTTACGTAATCGAGTCAGTACTTTACAGTGTGTGTATGTGCTCGCACGGTGACAATCGAATTCGGTGAATCCCAACCGCTCTTTATGATATGCACAGTGCAGACAACTTACCAACTTTTGATATTCCTTTCTCCTCATTCAAGTACTATTTACATGAAAAACTGAGAACAGCTGGTGTTGTATCAACAGAAAAAGTATAAAGAACCGATAAACCGAACCAACAACCGATCAAACACTTTCTGCTTGCCGTTCGTCCGAGAGCACCCTTTCATCACCCACGCAAAAGGCTCAATCTCAGCATTTCTTCGGCTCGCATCCAATTAGGGAGGGACTCGAAGAATCGTTTTGATCAATATTCTCTTTGTCAAAGAACAACCATCAAAATAATCAGCTCATAATCAATACAATCCAGATTTCCGATCTGAAGCCGGCTGCACCGAATTACGTCATCAGCCTCAGTAGCCCAGTGGTAGAGCGTTTGCCTAGTATTCCATGCCAGCAAAAGGTCCAGTGTTCGACTCACTGTTGAGGCACCAATCAAGTGGGACACCCAGTCTGCTTCATTTTTGGGCAGACCAGGGCTCCGACTAATTTGCTTTTTGTCTTGTTGAGGCACCGATCAAATGGGACACCTAGTCTGCTTCCTTTTTTGGGCAGACCAGGGCTCCGACTAATTTGCTTTTTGTCTCTGAATGTTGAACACAAAAAAGAGAGATTGCACAATGTTAATATGGGGTGTGCTCAAAATCACATGTGCTTCAAAAGTTCAGATCCATTCTGTGTTAGGCTCTAGCTGGCAGTGATACTTGTTTTAGCCTGTAGACCCCTTCTGTGTTTGGGATTTCAAGGGCACCTCAGCCTCAAAAAAGTATGGGAGGAAAAGGGGGGGGAGATGGTGTGTCCCCCCTCTTTTGACCTGTCAGGGCAGCCTTAGGCAGTGACAGCTGAGGGTTCAGACATGTTAAAGCCTGTTGCTCCTGGGTTTTGGCATGTTTTTTTTTGTGATAACTTCTATAAAATTTGGCTTTTGGATTTCTTGAGAAGTAATTCTGGCTGGTGATGCCCAAGATAGAGATCTTAAATTCCATCTAGAAAGATTCCAAAAAAACACAAATACATGATTGATAGATTCAAAAAGAAAAACTGTTGAATATCAAATTGGCTGAGCTTGTCTTTCTATTAAAAAATCAAGTTTCCATTTTGCTGCCCAAAATTTGAGAATTGACAAACTTAGAAAAAACCCACCTCATCCAATTTTTGGGATGAAGCTCTGAAAATTGGATGAGGTGAAAGGAATCAGGAACATGATTTACTTCCTTTCCACAAATCTTGTTGAACAGACTTCCTGTTTCCCTTTCTTTTGAGAAATCTCGTCAATTGACTTCTTATGCCTCCCTTCCTTTTGACAAATTTTGCCAACAGACTTCTTGCACTCCCCTTCCTGTGACCTATTGCCAAACCTCAAGAAATCTATTCCAGTCTTCTGTCATTGTAGGTCTCACCTGCTTGTGATCTCTCTTTATTTCTCTCTCCTCTTGATAATCAACAAATCTTTTAGTTCTTCTTGTTTTGTTGTTTCTTTACTCCATATTGTCGCTTGCCTCCAGGTTAGCTAGGACAATTCTTTTTTTTCTTTTTGTATTTCTTATTCCTTGAAGACTCATAAGAAATATATTCTTCAGTTTGATCATTCACAAAAGTGGCTTTCAGAATTGGCTGGGATTTTTGGATGTTCCTTCAACTGGGTTACACTTGACCATTTTAAATTGGTTGTGTGTAATTTTCTAAAGGAAGTCCAATTTTGAAATTGAAATTGACAGAAATGTTGTGCCATTCACACACCATTTCCAAGAAGCCAGAAACTGACTTTGGATCAAATCGTTTGAATTTGGAAAATGAGTTTTTTTGGATCAAATCATATGAATTTAGAAAATAAGTTTCACATTGTTTATTGTCTCACTTTTCTCATACAAAATTGGCTTGGGAACTGTGCACATGAGCTCCTGAGACTGCAAGTGAGTATTGGCAATTAGACCTCTACAAACAATAGTTGAAAACCAGCTTTCATCAGCAAATTATGGCTGCATCATCAAAAACAAGGGTCCCATATGCTGAGACTTGATGTTTAAGCTGTTAGAAGAAAATGGTTGGCAAGGCAGGGTGTATTTAATTAATAGCTCCAAAGGGATGCAAAGTAAACCACATATATTCTCAAGCCACTCATTTTTGTCTGTTTGTTTTAAACTCTATGATGCAAGTGGCAAGAGGGCTCATGATTTGTAGCAATACCCCACCCTGTTGAGTGGATGGGGATCCTGTTTTTTTTTTTCGGCGAAATCAGTGCTGTGTAATTAACTATTAATAAAACACATTTCCAAAAGTGAAACAAATGAAATTTTGAACCCAGATTCCGCTGCATACTTATTCCAAAATACGTTTTTGGATTTCTTCTCTGCTCCAGGTGAATCATACCAGTTTGCCATTACCCTCCAGCCAGATTCGCCCCGGGTTGATGTCGAGATGGTGAACCTGAGATTCAACTTCGGGTTGGCGCTGTCGGAGACTGCTTCCTTGGGAGGTGAGCATATTCCACAACATAATTTCAAGATTCCATAGCAAATTTGAGTGCAAATGACCATCACGATTGACCCATGGGTTCGGCTGCCCTGCCCGCTGACCCAAGCTTAACTAACCTAAAGAGTGAAGCAAACACTATCAACATAATCTCCCCACTTCATGCGGGGCCAAGGGACACCCGAGCAAGTATTTAGTTGATCAAAGCGCTTTGCCTGAGCCCGGCGTTCTTTCACCCTCTAGAAACATCAAGGGAGCCGTAGTTATTGAATGATATACTAGGACCCGTCGCAGAAATAGCTTCTCTCTGAGCATCTTTGTTGAACGCGAAGTAGTGTGAGGCGGTGTGGGAGCAAGGGCCCATGGACGACGAAGGATACTTCCAGCTGTTGTAACCCGGAGGGGGTTACTGAGAGGTCTCACCTAGACCCCCCTTGAAAGCATGTATATAAACCATTAGTTGTTCATCTACATGAAATGCATCATCATCTTGTGTCTTCTCAGTCCCGCTTTCCATCAGGTTATGAGCGCCTTTAAAGTTTCTCGCTGAAATAACAACCTCTTCAATCAAGTACATCTAGGTAGCCCAGTGTAGGGCGTAATCGACCTGAATCCTTCCCTGAACCATAACTATAATTACTTCAGCACAAACGACATACGTATCCTACCACCTTCTGCCCGATATTAGACTTCCGAACCTAACTTAGATCTATACTGCTGATTAAGTGACCAAAGACTAGCTATCTGCGGTTTATCCTTACCTGGGACGCTGGGTTAAGGGGCTGAATAGGCGTAAGATCAACGTGTAGTTCTCCGTCTCCGACCGGGTTAGACACAACACCTCAACCTCCACCTGGATATCACCCACCCACCAAATTTTTTTTCTTTTTCTTCCTCTTCTCTAACCATCTCCCGGTCATCCTTTTTTTCCCTGTTTCGTCCATCCGTTTCCCCGACAATCACCTTTTTTGTTTTTCCTTTCCCCTCCTCCCCATCACACTCAGTTCTGTTTCCCTACCTCTTTCCCGAAATCTCATCTTTTTACTTTTCCGCTCCTTCCCGTTATCTTCACCCTTTCTCACCCACTCCTCCTTCTCCCCTCCCACAAATTTTTCCCTTGTTCATCCTTCCTTTCTTCTCCCTTATCTTCCCTTCTTTCCTTTTCCTTCCCCGCGCTGCCTTTCTTTCCCGAACCAATCACTGCCCGGTAAACGAACCGATAAGGCACTATGTCAGACCCAAGCATCGTTTCAAACAATCCCCGCGGAAGTCTACCGATCACATCGACCCCTAATTCCACCACCAATGAACAGACACGCCCATCGACCACCCACAATGAACGTGACCAACCTCCACACACTGCGGGCACATCCAATGGAGCGACAACGACGGAAACGAGCTCGCGTCGCACTCACAACCCAGAGGAGCGAGCTGCCAGACTGCAACAGGTGGAAATTGATCGCCTTGCTGCAAGTCTCATCTCGTCAGCCTGTAGCCACATCGACGACGCTGACCTACTTGCGGCGGACGGTGCCAACTTCTCGGCGTGGGAGGATTTCCTCGAAGAACGAATGCGGGGTGCCACTGGAGCAGTTTCCTTCTTCAACAGTCCGGCTCGGAACCTGCTACATGAGCGGGTTGGCAGAGCACTCCTGGTCAACACAATTCATCGGTCACTCAGGCGTGGAGTATCTCGACTTCAGAGCGCCCATGCGATGTGGAACGACCTCTTTGCCAGGTTCCATTCGGTCAGTCGGGCCGCACAGCTGAATCTGTTCAGACGCCTCATTTCATTCAATGTTGCGGATCACGCCACAACCGCCCAAATGTCGACCCACATCAACGACGTTCTGGATGAGATGACCGATGCGCGAATGCGTTTCACCCGTGAATACCTGGCTGGACTTGTACTCCAGAATGGACTCCACTCTGAACCCGCGCTTCAAGAGGAATTCAATCGCCAGGTCGAGATCGACTTCCAGTCAGCAACACCCGAACGGCCGGCCATGAGTTTCGAGGCGATGGTCCGGCTGATTGATATCATCCGACGTCAACATCAGTTCCAAGCCAACAACAGAGATGGTCAGCGCACCACGCCCCTTGTCTTACAAGCCGAGGTCCAACAACCGGAACCAGCTCCCTCCAGCCATCAAAATGAACCGCCACAGTTTCCGTTTCACCCCGACAACCAACCAGATGCACACGACTTCATGGCCATGCAAGCCGGGCTATGCTGGCAGTGTCGATCACCTGAACACCTGCTCCGCGACTGCCCTTTCCGTGCACGTCCGACATCGTCCAGACATCGGTTTAGGAACCAACCCCAACAACAGGGTTCCCAAACACGACATGGTCCAGGTTTTCAGTCGTTCTACCCCATCGTCACACCCCCCGGCTTCGGAGCAGTCTACCCCCAAGCACAACCACCTCCTCGTCAAACACAGGGTACACCCACCAACAACCCGACTCCGCCAAACCCCGCCCCAGCCAGACCAGCTGACTACTACCGACCACCTCAGTACCGACTTCAACGGGTCAACGGACAACCGGAGTCCATTGGGTCACAAAGGACAAAACCTTCAGCCAATGAGGCCACAGCGGTACCTGACCAGCAAGAGGAGTCGTTTGCCCGGATGGTCGAGCTGGGTGACGTGGCTGAAGACCTGGCCAACATCCACTTTGATCATGTTCAAGTGGCAGTGTCGGACAATGTTCCTATAGTCGACTCAGGTGCGTCCCACCATCTGTGTGGCGATTTTAGACTCCTTTCTAATTTTCGTCGTTTCTCTTCCCCTATCCCCTTGAAAGTTGCTACATCCGGCAACCAGGCCTATATCACAGGCGAAGGAGACCTGACGTTCTCCGGGTTAGATAACCAGATGGTTACCATACACGGCGTCTTATACTGTGAGGTTGCCCGCTCTACCCTCATCTCACTTGCAGCACTGCGCAAAGCTAATGCGTATTTTGCATACGACGTGGTACAGGACTGCTATCTCATATACTCTAGCAACAACGTCCTCTGTTTTAAATGCCCTTTTGTACCTCAACAGAACCGCTGGATTTTTCCTCGCCCTCTCATAACTTCCCCTGTTGCTCAAAGCTCTCATGCTACTTCTTGTTCTCCTAAGTCATATGCCTCATGCAATTCATCACAGTCTGTCCAACCTGACTTCTGTCCCATATCGACCGAACTGAGAGTAGACCTTCGGCGGAATGCGTTTACCACCCCCCTTCATCTCGAAGAGACTACAAACAACCTTTCAACTAACAGTTTAGATAAAAATGAGCAGGTATTATTGTACTGGCACAGGTTCTTTGGTCACGCGAGCATCGCCAAAGTGAGGCGGGTCATTCAGGAAAAATTATGCAAAGACCTGCCATATTCCTTACCGAAGGGGGAGCTCAAGTGCGATATCTGCGCAAGGAGCAAAAGTGTTAACCGTAACAAGCTGACATCCTCCAACAGACCAGTAGATAAGCTTGAAATTGTGACCGCTGACATTGTAGGACCATTCGAGGCTGAAACGTTCAACAAAGGGAAATATATTCTTACAGTGCGAGATCTAGCAACAGGATTCAGCGAAGCAAAAATCATGGCAGAAAAGACACAGGCCTGCGGACTGCTCATTGAGACGGTACTTCGGTGGGAACGGCAACTATCCAAGAAGGTCAAGTGTGTGAGGACAGACAACAGAGGAGAATTCTCCAGCGACGTCCTCACCCAGTTCCTCCTTCACAATGGGATCAAGGCGGAACGATCACTGCCTTACCATCATTATCAAAATGGCATAATCGAGAGATTTAACCACACGCTGGCGGACATGGGTAGGACCATTCTCATGGATAGTGGAATGGGCAAACCCTTCTGGGGTTTTGCTTTCATTTGGGCCTGTGATACGCTGAACGTGATTCCCAACAAACGGAGTGGTATGCTGACCCCGTTTGAGGCTTTCTATGGCTTCAAGCCTTCTCTAGACCGGTCCAGGATCTTTGGTGAAAAAGCTTTCATACACGTACCAGAGGAAAAACGGAAAAAGCTTGATGATCGAGGACTGGAGGGCCGAGTCGTAGCCCACTGCGACGACAGCAAGGGTTGGATTTTTTTGCTCAAAGAAACCAACCAACTGGTGGCAGCGGCGGTAGTCGACTGGCCGGACAAGCGCCCGGTTTTCCACAGTAAACCCAAGGAGAATAAATCACCCGAGAAGCCCGCAACTGCAGACAAGACACAAACCCCGACTGCGTCGGCCCCGACTTCAATAATTGCAAGCTCCCCTAGACATGATGTGTCGTACATCGTCAACCAAATGGAACTGGGAAACCACTCAGACAATTTAATCTTTGAAGAGCAGGAGCTAATGATCAACAGGATTCTTCTTGATTGTAATTTCTATGCAACTACAGTACCGAAGACCTTCAAACAGGCAGAGAAATCTGTCCAATGGGTCAACTGGAAAGCGGCGATTGCGGAGGAGCTGTCCAATCTTGCCGACATGAAAGTCTGGTCGGTGGAGAAAGTTCCCCCCGGAAGAAAACCACTGAAAGGCAGATGGGTCTTCGCAGAGAAATCTAATGAACAAGGGGAGATAATACGGTACAAGGCGCGGTATGTAGCAAAGGGTTTCACTCAAATAATTGGTGTTGATTATGAAGCCACTTTTGCACCGACTGCGACATTCGTGTCCATGCGGCTAATACTAACCATGGCTGCTAAGTTTAACTGGCCGGTGTACTCTTTTGACTTCGTGGCAGCTTACCTGAATGCACCAATTGATGAGGAAGTGTGGGTAGAAGCGCCGGAAGGTCTGACTGTCAACAAAGGCGAAGCGATGCGACTGCACAAAGCCCTTTATGGCACGAAACAGGCAGCGCGGTGCTGGTGGCTACACCTCAAGACGGTACTTGGAAAACTGGGATTTGAAGCTAGCCAGTACGACAACAGTCTTTACACAGTCAAACACAAGGACCGGTGTGGAGTAGTGTGGATCCACGTGGACGATGGGATAGTTACGGGGTCGTCGACGGATCTCCTCAAATCTCTTGAGGAAGGTCTCAAAGGTCTTCTGAAGATCAAGTGGTCAGAAGGCCTAGACTCAATCGTGGGGCTAGAGGTAAAGCGTTCGAAGCAGGGTTTCAGCATACGGCAACCGAAGCTGATACGGCAAATACTGGACCAACATTGGGATGGTACTCTTACTCACAAAACGCCTCTGCCCCCTTCTCTAGAGCTTGTTACTGATCCCGCAGGCGACAAATCAAAGTCAACTGCTTACCTTTCGATCATCGGATCCCTCAGCTACCTAGCCGTAGGAAGCAGACCAGACATTGCTTTTGCGGTGAATCTTCTAGCCAGGTTCTCGGCACAGCCTGGGACAAACCACTGGAAAGGGGTAAGGCACTTAATAGGTTACATTGCTGACACACAACACCTCTACCTGAATCTTTTTCCCGACGACCTACCAAAACCCCTCAAGTGCTACTGCGACGCGTCGTGGGGCGGTGAGTTTGCTAAATCCACATATGGCATCGTGGTCACTTTCTTTGGATGTCCAGTACTATGGACATCCAGAAGGTTCGCCACCATAGCATCATCGACATGTCAAGCGGAGTATATGGCCTTGGGTGTGGGCACCAGACAGGTTCTTTGGGTACGCCATTTACTCAACGACATCCTCAAAAAGAGCTTCACAGGGTTGCTACACTGCGATAATCAGGCGGCAATTAGAGTGAGTACGGACGATTCAGCTAACAAACGCGTGAGACACGTGGAGAGAGAATTTTATTTAACCAACCAAGCTCTTCATGAGAAAAAGACAGAACTTGTATGGGTGCCCACAAAACAACAACTAGCAGATATCCTGACCAAAGCACTATCCAAGGATCCCTTTGAATTTTTTCGGGGGAGACTCATGGATGGTGTCTAGGTGAGGGGGGAGTGTTGTAACCCGGAGGGGGTTACTGAGAGGTCTCACCTAGACCCCCCTTGAAAGCATGTATATAAACCATTAGTTGTTCATCTACATGAAATGCATCATCATCTTGTGTCTTCTCAGTCCCGCTTTCCATCACCAGCCCACCAAATGGCATGCAGATGCGAACTTCTAAGGTCTATTTAGAGTTGGCGCAAGGCGCCGTTGCGAGGCAACGATCCTTTGGACTCCGAAGGGTCGCTTTGCATGCTGATAAGACATGGAGATGGTCGCTGGCCTCTCCACAAGCCTGAAGTGTCTGGACAAATGTGCTCTGAAAGCGGACGAAGTTGCCAACCGGAACCGCAGAGCTTCTAAATTTTGAATGCACGTCAATAACCAATCGGGTCTGCGAGTTTCACTTCAAGTGAAGACGGCCCCTAAAGGCAACCAATACAGATGGATTGCATCGGCCAAATTCTGGCGAGTGACGCGGCATATGGTCTTTGCCAGTGACTATAAAGACCACCTTGGAGGTCGCAGGCAGCCAGTGGCCAGCGCCCCTTGATTCTATAGCAGGTGATACTAAATGAAAATGAACATACCCACTCTTGTCAGCCTTCTGGCCTTCTCTCCTATACTTACCCTAATCATTGCCTCATCATCGGCCTCCCATCTTGAACGCCGCAAGGACAAGCACCCTCCGAATCATTTTTATACCATGAAACAACAAATTGACTACTCCGAAGGTCCTCTAAAGATTTACGCCGCGGACGGCACTGTCGCATACCGGTTTGCTAAAGTTTCATTCGACTCCAGTGATCAAGGGCTCTCTACGACCGAGCTTCAGACCGACTCTTCCAAAGTCGTCCTGACGCTTCAATCGGTTAGTTACCTGTGATGATTTTGTACCTCAGAATAAATCATAACTTCTGGGTAGTTCTCACATTTTTCTCACCCACCACCATCGACCTCAGGCAAATGATCTCTGCGCTCAGAAGACCACTTACGAAGAAGCGCACTCCCCGCGATCAAGAACCCGAAGGGTTGAAATTTACCCACGTGGAATGCTGAAAGACGTATGGAGACTAAACTACATTGACGACTCTGGCCTGCGGCATAATTTCAAGTTCAAGAGAGGCTTTGCCGACAGTGGTGGTATGTTGTTCAGACGCCTGATGTTTTTTTTTTTTGGTTACCGATTTCGAGTGGATAACTAAAAGAAAAAGAAATGGTCCACCAGGTCGAATCTACACGCAAGTCAATGGGCATGACGGCGAGCTCATAGCAGAACTCAAGAGTCAGTCTCACTTTCATCTCTGCATATACAATACATCGGCCTGCATGGAGATATCTAACTGTTGTTCTTCTGCGTTAGACGAAAAACGCAAGGATTCCTGGTTAACCCAAGGTTCTAAGTCGAAGGAGGTACGCGTGCTCACCCTTTCATGTACCGAGGATTCCCCAATGGTAAGCACTCTCTAAACAATAGGGTCCCAGTCGCAAACAACACCAACGCCCGGTTTTCGAGTGACAGGAACAATTGATCGCCTTCATGGCCTTGGTATTGAGCCGAGTCGATCGTTGTGGATTCTGATGGGATGGATTCCTGCTAATTCCGACCCCGTCTGAATTTCTGCTTGTCTTCATTCACTTGATCGATCACGACCAAACCACATTCTAGCCGCGCTGGACACTTTTCATGAGCTGGGGCTTGTCCTGTTCTTTTTGATTCCCAGTGCACTGTCACCATTAGCATGTAAAATACATACAATCGTTAAGGAACATGAAGCAATTCTACTTGCCGTCACATCATCAGAAACAGAACTGAAGAAGTGAAACTATCAACCCAACTACGGTTCTGACTGCAATTGTGTTTTGTTGAGTCCAGCAATGATGGGGGTGCTTGGATGTCTCTGTTTCCTTCTCAGCTTGGACTACTGTTGATGACTGATATACGCGCTTGGCACGTGTCAGTGTCACACAGCCCAAACAAGTTCATCTCAATCGCCAGTCTCTTTTCTAGTGGCGTCACGGTCAAGAAAAGTCTCTAATCATTTCCTCTACATATCTTGTTATAATTTGCACCGCTTACTTCAACCGTGACATTGGCCCTGGTACATAAAAGACTGTCGAGGCCTTAACTAAGCAAGCATCCACAAATAAATAAATAGGTTAATGCAATGATATCATCGTTTCCAAGAGGCAATATATGTGAAAGTAATGGTAAGGTAATGACGTAGGTTTTTTCTTGTCTTCTTTTCATCTGCATATTGATGTTCGGATGGCATCTCCTTAGTAAGATATATCATTCACACATTGATGTTCGGAGAAACACTCCTTAGTAAGATAGCTTTGTCTTTCATCTTTCTTCCCATTGATGATTACTAAGGATTAATTAATTACATCTGTTATCGTTGATGGTCATTATTAGTCCTCATTCATTATTATTTCATGTGGGTATATCTCCTGGTCTTCACTAGAATCTTGTGTAAATAGTTGATGACCTTTCTCTCCTCCTCCATATCGTGGTATTTCGATTCGTCTTATTCGGAAAAAGAAATCGAATACTTCTATTTACTTGTTATCACTCCGCGAGGTTCTTTCTTACGAACGGTTCTGGTTTGGTAAGTTTTGACTCTTCGAGAAGCTTCGTTCGATTTCGCGTTATACTTGAACCCTAGCACCTTTGACCTCACAGTCATCCACTGTTATCCACGGCTTTGTATAGCCCCTGCTGTTGTCTGCGGTTGTCTGGTGCGGCTGGGTTTGATCCTGACCCATCCGAACAGGAATACATACAAATCCACATATTTATATTGATACACACAACATCGATTCGAGGATCGATCCTCCCCTATCGATCCGAAGAGGTTTGACAAGTCACCAAATTCCATGTCAAGCGTGGATCAAAATCAAATACGAAGTGTATATTTGTAAATCAATGTTCTTAAATGTGTATATCCAGGTATACCCGTAAAGGATATGACGTGTTGTGGGATGTGTTCCTTTTGTCCGAAAGTCTCGGAGGTCCACGAAGCCTGTTGTCTGCAGCGATAAGCAAACAGTCGCATAGATAAATAGCTATTTAAATCGACCCACGCCTTCATCTGGATTCTGGTAGGCTCACCAATCTGATCAAGTCCGTTTCTATCCCAGCGATTTCTTGCTAGCTATCATCGTTTCCCCTTCTGAGTAAGGAAAAAAAAGAGGTAAGCCGACTTCCTAATGTAGCTTTCTCCGGCGTGTTGTGATCGTAGCTGGTGGCACGCCCGAAAGTAGCATGTGCACATGTTTGCTTCTGCTGGAGCCTGGCTCCCTTTAATTTATTTTATTTTTCAACGCACTGATTTGCCCTTGCTTGCTAATATATCCTCCTCCACCAAATCGATCCCGATGTGTTTTCTGTAACTCACTTTTCTTCCCTTATTATCAACCTGCACCCTCCTTTCAGAACAAACAAAAAGGAACCCGAGCGAACAGATGCCTCAAAAAGGAAGCTCAGGTGCTGGCCCTACTTCCTCTGGTCAATCTGTAAGCCCCGTTTAGTCAATTACTTGCATCCCCACTCTGCCAACACAGATAAACAGTACTTGAGATGGAGGAACGCAGAAAGGCGGATTGGATCCTGCTGCTGTGATTCTGCTCAGACATCCGTCAGAAGAGACTCAGATCAGGACACTGCAGAGACTGTAAGACTAACTGTTGCACACATTGGGGTTTCTGCTACCAGGGCCGAGGTGGGGGAGGCTCGAAGGGCGGGATGACGATGGAAGCTGCCTCGCGGATCCAATCCGCCGAAGCCCGCTCGAACGGAGGGCAAGTCTCCTCGGACGGTTTCGCGGCCAGAGCTGCTTCCGCCGCTACTCATAACGCTCAATCCTAGTCGGTAAGCTTCCCTCAACTCATATCTTGATCCCATGCTATCATCATCCATCCTATCCCGTCCTCAGATTGTCCCTCTTGTCTCTTGTTGTGATCAAATAAACAGTTCGTGTGCTGATCTGATGTCTCTTTACATTCATATATGGCTTTCCTTCTGGTTTTGCGTAAAAGGTCCCTCCCATTGCCCTCCCATTGAGCCAAGAATCAGCCTTACAAAGGCCCGAGCGTCCTTAGATATACATCTTGTTAGATTTTGTTATTGCTTCTGAGTATGACGACACCATCGTCTTATGATTCTTATGATGTCATTCCAAGATCAAAAGTCGCTGCAAAGTTTCCTAAGCCATTCAGAGAGATTCAGAGGCTGCAAGAATTATATTCTCCGGCCTTTCCTTCTCCATAACATTCCCGTTGAAAGGTATCTATGAACATGAGCGACCCCTATTGGGCCATCAATCCATGTCAGCTTGAGCTGAATTGTGAGATCAAGAGAGAGATGCTGGAAGAGATTTGTGAGTTATGCCGGTTCGTCTGTCGGTGAATTTCTCAGGATGCAAAGCTGGCTATGTAACTGCCTCGCGCGGTAGCTAGTGCCAATTCTGTTTCCAACATCTTGTGAATGTTTCTTTTCGGACGCTGTCATGATAATCATCGATACTCTGGTCGGACTCAATGACGACACACTTGTTTCTTCAAATGTTCGAGTACAAATATGATTTATATTTCCAGGGAGACGGCTAGCGACAACTTAAAGTCATTGAGTACGGCTGGGCAAAACTATTGATTCATGTACACTTTTTGTATCTATTTGTTTACTTATGTCAACAAGATTGAGGAGTTGACTGAGATCGAGACTAGTGATACTGGTAAGCTATGATTATTTGCGTTTGACGGATGTTTTGCCGATCTTAGCTGCGTTTCTTTTCCGCTCTCGTTCACTAAATTTCCTTTGTTCAGTCGGGGTCATCTTTGCAAGTTTCTCATCCTGCGCGGCTTTCAGTTTTTTCCGACGTTCTTCCTCCTTCTCCCGTTCCTTGAACTTCCTTTCTTCGTCCAACAATAGGTTCGAAACGTCCGCCCGTCTTTTCGTCAGTTTGCTGGTAGCTATGGCTGTCAAGGAGACTACTTGGTCTATTGAGTCGATCAGATTGAAACAGAATTCAATCAACGGCATTGGGTCCAAAGTTCGGGAGTGGGGTGGTAGCCGGAGGCGGAGCGTGATTGTGCGCGCCGAAGGAGCCAATGGCAGAGGAAGCTCCCTAGAAGTTATTGATGGTCAGGCATTTCATTTGGCTCAATTCTGTAGCCACATCTCACTTACGAAAGTGATGGCTCTTGCTGAGAGGTGCCTGAAAGGACTAAACTGTCAAACCAATCCAGACTGGAGGGGTTATTTTGCAAAAGCTGCAAAAGACCAAGCTCCTTGTTCCTGTTTTTATTTTATTCATCAAAAAAAAAAAAAATCAGTATTGACGGGACGATGCGAGGTTGTTGGAATGGACATGTGACGAACTTGATGATTTGTTCATTAATCTCTCCCGATTCAGACATGAACACAAGGTGTGATGGTAATTGATTAGATTCCTTGACTTCGGTGAATGTCCGCTAAATGGATGAATGTTGAAAATATTTTGTTCAGCGATGACTCAAGCAAACCAGTAGAGAGCGACATAGATTGAGAGACTTACCACATCCCATCTATCTTCGCGAACCACATTCATGACACGTTTCTCGACCAAGGCCCAGACAAACGAATCTTTTGCTTCAAAATGCTGATTTCTCGGTGCCAAGGACCAAACCAATTCAAGCCGATCACTTCGACCGGTCCAGCTAAAGTCAATCGCAGCCCGGAGCTCCTCGTAGATCATAAACGGCAGATCTTGACGTGGTCGAAGTGCGAAACGTATGGTCAGGGCTTGGCAGCCCTTGCGACCGGTTGCATAACCGTAGAACAAAGCGGGTCCATCGGCGATGTAGCCTTTGCTCGATCCGGCGCCAACTTGACTGAATTGGGTACGAAGTAGTTCAGAATGCGAATCCCACCAGTGTGCGACAGTGTCCTCATTCTTGCTTTTCCCACGATAGCTTGTTAAAGTATAAATGATAAGAGCAACGAGCAAAGCACCCTCTAGCTTCAATTGAGCGGGCCGAATGACAAATCTCTTGAATCGGTACTCCTTGCCAGTATATTTTTCTCGAATTGGGAGTGGCGCCGAGCCAATAGGAGGGTTACTACCGTCGGGTTGTTGGTTCGCCGGAGGAAAGGGCGTTGGGGGAGTTGCAGGAGCTGGATCGGCAGGGAAAGCTTCTATCTCAATTTCATCAGATTGATCGAAGCTTGGTGGCCTTGGTGGACTAGCGGCTTGAGGCATAGGTACGCCATCCTGGGAAAGATGATCTACAAGAAAACATATCGTACAATGGAAGGTTAGCGAGCTTCCTGTATCTCAGACACTCGATCAAATAAAAAGCCAGGATGAATGATTGAACACTGACCTGAGGAACCAAGCACCAGATTATGATTGTTTGACGAGACAATCAGCCAGAGTATCAACCAGATCGGAACAGGAGAGATAAGAAGTTGCCATCGGAAATGATTGAACATCTGTTGACCGTCTTCAGCGTTTGGTGGGTTTGAGTGTGAGGTGGACTGACGACGTCGACGGCGGCACCCCACATCAAGAAGTCAAGAGACAGTTTGACCAGCTTACGTAAACCTCTCTTCACCTTTCACAGACTGCGACATCCCGACGAGTGATCCGGGAAGTCCTTCACTCAAAGTCAAAGGAGTGTCATCGACTGGTATTTACATAGAAAAGAATACCTCAAGGCCATTACTTCAGACTATTTGGAGAAGACAAGTCCTTGAAGCTGAACAGTTCAAGAACGACCCGAGTCAGAAGGAAGAAAGGTTCTGCAAAATCCCCACATTGGTTGATTAACTAATGAAATAGAAAAATTGTTTGAGCTTGAATGGACATGCAATCTTTCCTCTTTGACGCTCATTGGTTATAACTCATCACTTGGAATTTGTAATCTGATCAAACAAACTCCAGTGCTGACCAATGTTCAGCTTGCCCAGCTCATTGGGGAGATCCAGACCAAGACTTATAACGCTCCATTGTTGCTTTCATGGACAATTTGTATGAAAAGAGAGGTGATGTATGCAATGACGTAGGTGACTTTCTTCATCTTCTGTATGTTTTTTTCATATAAAGATGATTGGAGGAAACTCCTGAGTAAGATAATGCTCTCTTTAGTCAGCATTTATTCATAACTTTTATCATCAGCATTCATTAGATTGAACTCTGTTGACTGTTTATTGTTGGTGTTGACTGTGATAGACTGAAGATGTCGTCAGTTGATTGATGAGTCATCTGGATTTGATTAAGTGCTTTGATTGAGCCTTACTAAGGATCTATTGTTGATGGCTACTATAAACTGTTCATTGATCATGATCAGTGTTGGTCGTCACTATGAATAGCTGTTGGTCTTTGTTTCGTTGTTGACCTTCTCCTCTTCCAGCTAGTCCTCATCAAGATATTCTTGTTCCATTCCAAAAAGAAATTCTCAACAGCAATCCAAAGACATTCAGCGAGGCTATTGATTTGCGAACGGTTCCTGCTCTAGTGATAAGCTTCTCTTCTCCGAGGAGCTTCATGCCATTTACCCTAGCACCAGACCTCACTGCATGTAATTGTAACCATCTGAATTATCAGAAAAACAAAACCAGGAACGCTGATGAAGGAAGGGGCGCTGAAGATGGATGCAAAAATTCACGAGCAGCCAAAATAGTCAGAATTGGTAACGAGCCAATCGTTACAATTGTTTGTTGGTGAGTCCTTTCTGCCACTAGTACTACTACAATGCGGTTTCTCATCAGAACAAGTACAAGATCGGAATGACGTTGCTTTCCAATTCGCAGGATGCGCTATCAGGCCTCCTTGTGCCGCGAACAGTGCTATCAAGTCATCAGCAAGCATGGGCATAACAGTCTTCCTGTACACCAGTCCAGATCACACACGCAGCTGACGTCTGAGCGATAATTGACCGGCCGCAACCCGGTGACGGTTCCATTCAAGATCGAACGGAGGGCACCTTTGAATTTGATTTCGTCATGTTACTGAGATCAGCTGCCAAGTCGAAATAAGAAATCGAATACGTTGCCACGAACAAACTTGAGGGTCCCTCGTTAAGCTTTGCTAGCTTCCAGCGCAGCCGCCCTACAGCGAAGTCGGGGTCATGCCCACTCGAGCTTGACCGCCAGACGAGGGACTTTAGTCAGAGAGAGCTGCATTTCGACCTGATGCCTGAAGAGAGAGCCGGCTGAAAGCGAACCGAGGACTTGGAACCAGGGCTGACGCCAGTGGCGAAGGATGATCAACGATCTAGGAGAAAGACGGTCCATTTCCTGATGATCGATTTGTGCTGTAGATTCAGGCGCAGGAAAGTTTTCCTCGATCATGATGGCCCTGCAGCCGGTCCCACTCAAGCGTTACTGAGGGCAGGATCAGGGCGAGCCGGTGCATAGCAGTCCGGCATTGCCAGGGCACTGAGGTCCCCCGCGCAGGTGCCTTTCTCCGCCGACCTGCCCTGAATCTGATCATGCCTTGAATGTGTGCCGGCGAAATGGTGAAGGGTGGTGGTGACCTATCCTGCGCCTGGTCGATCAGGAGATGGGCCGCTTCTCTTTGCCAGAGTGGCCCATTTCTTCCTTCACTCCGAGAGTAGACGGTTGGCTCAATAGTTCTTAAGAGAGCCTTCTGTTCGCACATCATAACTCTTTTTCCCCATCATCAGCTTTTCTATCCATCATTCAACATCTGTAACACTTTTTGTAAACCCTTCAAATCAGTTTTCATACCTTCCTTCGTACTCGTTCTACCTGCTTCAACCTTGCACTTTTACAGCTACCAACACTACTCCTTCAGTCCCCGTTATACCAAGTTCTGTCCATCTTCCAACCGTCTTCAAAAATGCTTTTCTCAATCCAAACCAAGGCCGCCTCTGCCTTAGGACTCGCCATGGCTGTCGCATCTGCGCCGCTCAACGAACGCACTAAGCTCAACCTCTTCGAGCGTGGTGTCGGTCTTGGATGGCTTTGCCACTATGATGGCATCGCTGCGCCTTCGGTTGATATCGACATGAATCTTCCTTTGATGCTTGGAGAATTATGTATCAAGGTTCGCACAACCTCGATCTTCAAGCCGGCCTGTCTGCTGTGCTAACCACTCCTCTTTCCTCCTCATCAGGTCAACTACGACCACAAAGGCTGCAAAAGCTTCAAGCCGACTGGCACAGGAGCTCAAGGCGACCCTGTCAACGCCCAGTCAACCCCACAGGACGAAGACTCCAACGACGGCGACCACGAGCACGTGAAGCCCAAGCACCCGAAGCATCACAGCAACCCCAAGCACAATGACGACGATCCCGACAGCTCAGTCGGTGCGCAATCGTTCAACGATGCCGACGGTAGTGAGCCCACCCATTCCTCGCCCCGCGGTGACGACAGCTCGCCCAGCTCCCACCATAAGAAGCCGAAACACTCTGGCGATGACACCGATGGCTCTGTTGGAGCTCAGTCGTACAACGACGCCGGTGATCACGACAAGCCCAAGAAGAACCATCCTTCTTCCGTTGGCGCTCTCGGAGAGGGGACCGACGACTCCGACAACTGCAACCGCAACGAGTACTACAGTTCGCAGCTCAACAAATGTGTCAACAAGAGCTTTTTCTCCAAGGCGAACGATGACTCCACTTGCAAGAACGGCAAACTTGATGCAGTAAGTACCTTTTCCTTTCGCGATTGTCTGTCTGGTAGCTGCAAAGTTGACTCATCTGGGGTGAACTTTCCTAGCTCCTCAAGCTCTGCTTGGATGTTTCGGGTCTAGGTCTCATCAAGCCCATCCACGCCGAGGCTACCGTCTTGCCATTCGGACCTGGTCGTAACGGCAAGGACGGCTGCCCCGTTGGTCAACAGCTCTCTTCGCTCTTGAACGTTTGTGTCGACCAGAAGTTCTTCTCGGGTCCTCTGGCTGACAACCAATGCAAGAAGGGATGGAAATTAGACTTGGTAAGCACATCCATCTTCTCCTCTAGCTCAAATCGATCGACCAACTGATTCGAGCTCTCATTGCTTCTGTCCCTCAGGTCTTGGGCATCTGCTTAGACTTAGTGGGTTGTCAAAACCAAGGTTTAACTAACTGAGCTTCTTTTCTCAATTAGTCCTGTTGTTTCGAGCAGTTCAAGTAGCTCGTCCACTTTTATCATTATTTGTTTGTTTGTTTGTTTTCCAATCGTTGTACCACTGTCCTTTTGTCTACGCTGATGCGCCCTAATATAAACCACCAACCGTGTCTTTCTCTACACCTTTCGATGTCCCAGCCGTGTTCTTGTCTTTGGATTGGCCGTCTAAATTCAGGCGCCTCCAGTAGGCTCCTTGATGCACGACCGTGTCTTTCCCTACATCTTTTGACGTCCCAGCCGTGTTGTCTTTGGATTGCCCGTCTGAATACAGGCGCCTCCAGTAGGCTTCTTGATGCAGTATTGCGCACAGAGGAATTTACTTGCTTGTCCCAGGAGTCTGATTGTGGTCAAGAGAAGCTATTTTTCTCTTGACCACTTTACTCCGGGCTTTTGACCTTGGTGTAACAAGTTATCTATCTTAACCCGGGTTAAAACTGTGAAACCTCATCTCATAGATTTCACATACAAGTCAAAATCAGATTACATAATCATTCTAAAACTCAACGGTATTATTTATTGTGTTGCCCCCCCTTTCCCCTTATAGCCCACTACAGACATGACACTTTATGAGGTAGCTAGCACTTCATATTGTGCGGTTCTCAAAATTGTCTCTCCAAAGCATAAGGCTTTGTTGCAGATCCACTCTCTGTCAAATAGTGAAGAGTATACACAGGACTCTTACAAAGACACTTCATATTAACTGTTATTTGAGTCAAACAAGTAAAGGGTCTTGTTGTGGCATGTGCTTCTTGGGAATAATTTTGCTGTCAGTACCAGTACCAGTGCCAGGAAGTAGGAAGTAGCAAGATGCTTTTAAAGTAACAGAGGGGCCTGGAATATTTAAATTTAAGTGAATACCCTCCATTGTTTATGTGATAAGTCACACTTGCAGAGGTGCTTTGCACATCCACCCCTGGAGGGACTCAGTTAAGTTATCTTCTGAACCAAAAAGCTACACCACCAAACATATCAATCTCACAAAGTTAGTTGAGTATCTGTAGTAAAGATGATATGTAATTTACCATGCTAGATTAGAACATTCTTTTTAGGTGATTGTCCCACCATTTAATGGCATGAGTGAGTCATGGTCTCATCACCCATATCTTTATGTGACCTCAACTGGAGTGCTTAGACAGCTTTGGTCCAGAGATGGCCAGATAAGCAGTATTGGCCTATTTGTTTGACACACATTTTTGTCTTGTTGGTAATCTGTTGTGATCATTGGTTTGTGTTTAGTTCTTATATACCTGATCTCAGCACCCCAAAGATGGGCAACAGACTACAGTAGCCATTCAAAAGAATGTAGATTTACCCCAATTTCACTTGCTGCAATCAGCATTTATCTCACAGCATATTTTATTCAACCCACTGTGCTGCCAGACAGCCTGCAGAACATCTGGTCCCAATCTTCTTTATATGGTACAATCACAAGACAATTGACTTAGGCTTTCTGAAAATGTAGCTTGGCAAGGTCATAGGTTCTCATCAAAAGATCATTGGTGGAGGATGAATTGGATAGATCAGAAAGATGAACATGGTGCCAATCAAGCAACCAACAAATCAATGGCCTTCAAACTTTTACCATCAAGCTTTCCATTGACTCTGGGTATAACTTTAAGGTCACTTCAAACTGCCCAAATTCATGACACTTTCTCATCAAAGATACCTGCAACTTCATGAAACTTCCAAATGTAGGCATTCACATTCTTTAGGATTGCATTCAGAAACTATTTTATCATATACAGCTAAACCGAAAAAGCTTGCGGGCTGTTGAGTCGGAATATCCAAAAAAAAAAAAAAAAAAAACTGCAATCGGAATGTTAGGAAGAATACAGACAGGAATACAGGCTGCCGTATACCTGCCAGCAGCACCGGTGGGACCTGACCGGCCCCCCAGGGGGATAGCTCAGCGGTGGCCATCATGGAGTAAGGGGAGGCCGTTGGAGTGAACTTTGCATCAGGATTCCGATGGTGTTACTCTCATCACCTGAAAATGAGAGAACAAAAAGATAGCAGATTCAACCCAACATGATGCATCCATACATGAACCTGTATTCTTCCAAAACTTCCAGCTGTAGTCCGTAGATTTTTTTATTTTTTTATATTTTCTGACTTCGGAGCCCGCAAGCTTTCTCGTTATAGCTGTACTTATAAACAATCAAGAACAAAAGACACCATTGGTCAACCAAACCAACCCACATACGCATACATAGTTAAATTGAGATGATTTACATATGGTGTTGCAAGCGGGTCTGGGCACAGGCCCAAGTTGGGCAAAAAAGGGGCCAAGCGGGCTTGGCCGATTCCCAAGCGCGCGTGGCGCCCTTTAAACCCAACTTGGCTCAGATTCAACCCTCGCTTGGCACCTCCCCAATTTGGAGGGGGTCGGACCCAAGCCACGCTTGGCCGAGCCCAAGCAAGGGTGCCACACGCGCCAAACCTGAACTCACAGGTCAGCCAGGTGGGTCGCGGGCTTGGTGGTGGTGGTAGTCGATATCGGTGATCTGGTGAGCCCAGAGCTTGGGTTCAGCCAAGCCAGACTTGGGCCAGTGCCAAGGTCCGACCCCCGCGCGACCTGCCAAATCAAGCCCCCTGGGCGCTGGCCCAGGCCCCGGTGGCGCGAGGACACGCGGGACTGGGGCCTGTGCCCAGACCCGCTTGCAACACCATATATATCCAATCTGGGTTGTTCTCTCTTCCCTGATAAAAAATAACAGTAGGTAACAATATCCTCATCAAATAGTATACCCAACCAACCCACATGAGTTCAAGATCAACAAAGATGAAAAAAGAGAAAGATAAAATTATCTAATTGTGTGTGTTTTTCTCATCTTTTCTTTTCTTTCAAAAGATACAAAGATAAGAGTGGAGTGAAGTGGAATACAACGTGCAGTGAAATCTCAGTTTTATTTAGAAAAATGAACTAGAAGAGAAAGAAAACAAGAATAATAAAAATAAAGAAAACAATGTCTTGTGTGCGTTGGATTCAAGGGGAATGTTGGTGTAGATGAAATGTTGTACTCCTTAGGGGGTTTTCAAGTTTCAAGGACATACAAAGACAACCCATTGTTCAATAAATAATTATTCAATATGTATGAAGAAGAAGAAGAAGAAGAAAATGATTGCCGAACCCCAGAATCAAAAAATGAAAGAAAAAAAAGTACAACAAGATAAGGAATAAGAAAAAAAGGGCGGAAGTTACACGATAATACAGTCTTCTTTTCCTTTCTTATTTTCGGCGCCGATAGGACTTAAGCCTTGCCCGGATGAAGGATGAGGGGGTGGAAGAGGAGGGTGAACGGGGAGAGAGTTTTCGTTGGGACTGCCCGTATTGCGTCTGGTAGTGAGGGGAGAACGGCTCTTGCGTTTACCGCCGGCCCCATCTCTGGCATCTTTGCTATTATCCTTAATCGTGCCATCCTGAATTACCGTCAGCCCACCCGCCGCATTTTTCAGTCGCTCCTTAGCTCGCTTGTCGCCATGTTCAGCTGCGCTCCTGAACCATCGTTGCGCTTCCCGTTCATCTCGAGTGGTCCCAACACCGACCTATCCAAGGGAAAAAGAAAAAGAAAAAATCGATCAGCATCTCTAGTGAACTGGAATTCAATTTGAAGGGATTTGTAATCACCTCGGTAAAGTATCCGACTGCATATTCAGCCTTCGCTAAGCCTGCCTCGGCCGCTTTCTTGGCCCATAAATACGCCTCGGTATCCGATTGGGGCAAGACACCAGGCGAGCCCACGAGATACCAAGCCGTAAGAGCGAAACAGGCTTCTTTATGGTTCTGCTGAGCAGCGATGTCTAAAATGTGCATTGATGTGACAGATTAGAATCATCTTCAAGAGGACGTGATAAGAAAAAACCGGATGGAAGCTCAACTGTAATAATGAATACTCAATGCTGCATCCTGAGGGCATCCCATTCTCCCGTACTCGTAACATTCACCGAGCTTGTATGCACTCGGTGCATAACCTAATTCTGCCGCCCGAGCGAGCAGTTCCACCGCATAATCGTAATCGACAAAGACCACATGTTCCAACCCACGTTCGTGTAAGAGAGCGAGTTCGTGCAAGGGATTCGGGTGCGCTGAGTCTGCCATCTAAAAAAATCATCGGGGAGTGAGAGTTAGCACCAGGAATAACCGATTCTGCAAGCCAGACAAGTTAATGTTTTCAAGAATCCTTACTTCAGCAGCCCGTTTCAACCATTTTACACCATCTTTTGGCTTCCTTGGCTGACCTAGATCGCCGTTCAGATCAGCCAGGCCAAGACGATACATTGCCAATGGGTGTTGAGCTATCGCGGCTTTTCTGTATAGGCACATCCAAACAATAACGATCAGAAAACCTCGATGTGGATGAGTAGACGAGGGAAGGAACTGACCGATAGAATTGTAGAGCCTTATCTCTTTCTTTACGAGTTCCCCAACCAAACTCGCAGCACTGTCCAGCACGATACATGGCCTCAACATGGCCGTGTTTAGCAGCCAAGACGAACAGGGGGAACGCGCGTTCATAGTCTTGTTTCGAGCCCTTTCGCGTCATGGGACTGGATATATCCGATCCAGGTCCGCCGCTGCCAAGCTGCTGAAGACCAACAGACGATACACCACCACCAGTTCCGATCGCTTTGGTATAACAATCGGCCAATAAGAATTGTGACTGGACATGCCCACGATTGGATAATTTTTGGAGCAAGAATAACGCCTCCTGGGTAAGTGAAGCCTTCTCCTTCTCTCTGTCACTGTGATAAAAAACACTTGCTGGTAAGAAAAAGAAATGAGGTCAGAGATGTACAACATGGGCAAGAACTAACGTGCTGGGGCATCCGGGTGATGAGGATTTGGGAGAAGGATCTAAAGTAGACCTTCGTCTCTGACCATCGAGGGAATCAGTTTGACCATCGGCAGATTTGCTGGGGAGGGGGTAGAAGGAGCGATAAGTAAATTTCTTTCATAGACAAGAGGGGAGACGGGGGATTTACTAGTCCTCATCATCCTCATAGTTCATCTCTTTGACCAAGTCCATCAAGAAACATCCAAACTCAAACATGACCTCGGGATCGTTGGTTTTTTTGGCATTGTTTCGGTAAAGTTCAAGGGCTAAAGAAGCATGAGGAAGAGAATGTTGAGTTGATGCTTTGTATCAGGAGCACCAGGAGATAAAGCAAAACATACTTTTGGCATGATTCAAGAGTTTGGCCTTGTTGCCAGGTTTGAGGTGGCTATTATCGAGTAGGGGGCCGGCCGAGAGACTGTTTGGGTTATTGGGATCGAGGATAAATCCTTCTTGAGGATGAGGAATCGAGCTAAGTCTGCTGGATTGGCGACGTTGACTGGTGCGACCTATGGAGAGGGTGTTGAGCTGGCGATGGCGGTGATCGGTTGAATCGGGTGGTAAGCTGGACGCTGGACTGTTGGTGCCGCTTGATCTGTAGTTTGGACTAGAATGGCCTTGGGTGCGTTCTGCGGTGGGATCGACTTGAAGTCCGTAGAACGATGAAGGTCGAAGGTTGGGATTGACAGGTTGGCCTTGAGTGAATTGATTGGGATCTGGCTGTCGTTGTTGGATCCGTGGATCGGAGTGAGGGGTACTGTTGATGTAAGGTTGTTGAGAAGCAGAGACGGGCTGAGGTGATTGTTGGAAGGGTTCGATCGTATCGATCCCAAAGAATGAATCAGTCCTGATGCGAGGTCGCGTTTGACTGTGTTGCTGCTGTTGCTGTTGCTGTTGCTGTTGCTGTTGCTGCTGTTGATTTGAATTGGATGATGATCCAGACGATTGGGATGAAGAAGAGGAGGGTAGGTTGGGGGGTAGAGGTGATGATGGTTGAGATTGCTGATCTTGATGTGAGAAGATCAGTGGCCTGTTTGGTGGTTGAGAGGAGGGTGATAAGGGTGAATTGTGCTGTGGAGAGACTGGCGATGGGTAAGCGTCTGCTGAGGGAGACAGATGGCTTCTGTTATCGTTGCTGTTGGGTTGCGGCTGAGAACGAGGGCCCAGTGGATGAGAAGAAGGGTTTGCGGGTTCGATGGGGTTGATGACTGCAATAATATACAAATAAATCAGGGTGAGTTATTATGGTTTGACTGATTCTTCTTCTTTCTTCTTCTGTCTTGAAAATCTTTGGGGGTTTTTTGTGGGAAGGAAAATCAGTTGCAGATGCTTACGATTGGGTGGTTTGGGCAGAGCTGATTGCTGGTCGGTTGACATGATGTTTTAGTAGATGAAGGTTGAAGAGGGGGGGGACTTTGGTTGTTGTTGGTGGTGGTGGTGAGAGATATGTAAGAGATGGGAACAGGTTGGAAAGTTTTGGGTGAGACAGGGATGGAGGAGCTTTAAATACTTGAGCGAGCACAGCACTTGATGACCAGTCGGCTCGGTTTAAGGTTTAATGTAATAATCAGCTGCGTTTTTTTCTAACCAACCGTTCGGTCGCCTGGCCGAGTCCGAGTCATTCACGACCGTTCAAGTTGGGAATGGTTGGCTGACTGGTGGAGTTGGCTGAGTCCGCTGGCTGGCTGACTTGAAAGTTGAGACTGGGAAGACCGTCGCGGATTTCAATTCAAATTAAAAAAAAAAAACAAGAAATTCGTCGATCGAACCCCATCAACTGTGAGAGACCAAGTTGAACTGACAAGAGTATGGACTATACTAGTGGATGGGCGAATTGGATGATGTAATCGAAGAAACTGACTTATAAAGCCAAGTCCCAAATCGAAAAGAGGAAGAAGCTGGTTTCCATCTAAATATTTAAATATCTTTTGGACCAGGATCAGCCCAGGTGTAGTGAAAAAACTATTCACAGAACTAAAAAAAAAAAAAACCATCGGCGGCACCGTCGATCACCAGGCGACCACCGGAGAGGAAAGGGTCATCTCCAACGGTGGGAAGCAGCCAACCGGAATTCGGCGATGAACAGGCCGACGATCATCCTGCTCAGACTCATCGCGATTCGCAACAGCACTCGGCCCTCATGACGATCCATGCGCTTCTTCGGATCAGCATCCCAGGACCCGCCTCCGAGCCCCGGCACACCATCACATAGCAATCATCAGTCAGCTCCTCAGAGGATGACATCGTCCTAACAACAATCTCGTCAGATCCACCGACTCATTTAACTGATCACCGCGGACTTCAGAGTCAACCCGGACAAGCGTTGGATCAAGCCTGTCAAACACCTTGGGAACACACACACAAAACTCCTTGCACCTCACTTCGGCTCTTGGTTATATTGATTGTCCCCATCGATTGATTTGTAGCACTACATATGCTTTATTTGTTCATGAGCTGGCTCATTAGATTGATCTATCAATATAACTATCCAATAGATTGAGAGCTAAATAACTCATCCTCTCTTCCCAAATTGAGCCAGAGAGAGAGAGAGAGAGCAGACTGATGACTGAAATAATATTAACCAGTCTGACTTATCGTCAACCTGACCCGTGAAAGAGATGGCTTAGTCAAACGGAATTTAAACTTCTTTGTACCCGATAAGTTATGTAAGCCTCTTCAGCAACCATAATCTCAGCCCCACACGGCGACTGCTTGCCGATCGAAGCCCACAATATTACACAACGATCTGCAGTGCTCCAAAACAAGGTGTAGATATTTGTATGGAAACAATTTGCAGAAATATCTTTCCGTTTTTGTAGCTTTTCCGTTTCCCTTTTTCTTTTTCTTTCCCTCTTTCAGTTTCAGTGGGTTCATCGTCCATAAAAAAAATGCCACTCACAGTCTCAGACTGCAATATATTAAGTCGAAGATGATGAAATAGATGAGATCGAGATGGGCTCAGTTTTAATCATTCTGCCATCCCACCCACCCGACCCCATCCGAAACAACAAACTTATCATATGAGGATCAAGATTTCGAAACACTCGTGGGGGGGGGGGTGGGAGGGAGGGTGGGTGGGTGGGGAGGGGCGGGAGACAGCCAGGCAGGTCTAGGCGCAATTGATCCATCGGGATTCGGTACTGCTATAACGAGTAATATTCATCAACACCTCAATAACAGCTGTGCTATAATGAGCCATACTAAACACGATAATAACGGTCCCTCCTATCATTCAGAGATATAAAAACTGGGGTGTGTGGTTGGGGGCCTATGCCATTATGCGATTGGGCCTTGCTTTCTAGGTTCATTAAAAGGAGACCAGTGGGTTGTACCCATTAATTCCTTTGAAGATTGAGGCAGCTGATCTGATAGACAAGGATTGCTGCAGGACACTAGGACCATGCATCTTGTGAATATTTAGACTTAAGGAAAGTGAAGATTAGTTGACAAGATGATGAATGATCTTGGAAAAAAGCTTGCAAGATTGGAAGAGTAAAGAATTGTCTTCCTTGGGTTTTTAATTTGTAAGGTCTCCCTTTGAAGGACCCAGGAAACCCCCTACATAGGTGGGCAACCAAAAATCCCGGATTTTGCAGAAATTCATACATTTTTGGAAGCCATTCATGCCATTTTCATGCATATGCTGAGAGGAAAATCCACAAGAAAGTGAGAAAATTGCCCCCCCCCCCAAAATTTGGGGATGTGGCAGTTTATAGGCAGGCTTTCCTCAAGATTGTACCAAAATCCATACATTTTGAACCACTTTTGTGTGTACCATGTGAGGTTTTTGAACGGATTCATACCACATTTGTGTGTATGATTTTGGGATTTTCCCCAAAAATTCATACATTTTGGTGACCCACCTCTAGAGCCAGTAGAGGGGGTTTCCTGGGTCCTCCTTTTGATACTTTCAAGAGCTGAAGAGAAACAACAAAAAAGATAAAAAAATTAAGCTTGGATATGTGCAAGCTTTCCAAAGTAAATATCCATCCTGAGACTCACAGCTAGAGTGACATTTATGCATGTACCAAATGTAGATGACTGACCTTGTCCACATGTACACTGTGAAAAAATCTTTATAAACTGGTGGCAGTTGACATGCAATATTACAAAGGCACCTTTGACATGTCAACTGCCACCAGTTGATCAGCTAGATTTTTTCACAGGGATAGTTTAATATTTGGAAATGAATGAACATTTGGCTTGCCTTTTTTTGGGGGGGGGGGGGATTATCCTCCTTAACCTAATTTTTTAGAAAAATTTGTCACTGTATCAAAGCTGGGCAAAACCGCAGCAATTCATGTTCAATAACTTCTTTGGAATCATGTGTGGCCTTGGATTCTGACTCATTCCTGATCAAACCGTCAACAATTGTACACTTTGATCAAGAGAATAGACTTGACATAGTTCTTGAAACCTAATTAGTAGCATCTGATCTTCAACTTATGTATGTTGCTAAAATTGTTTTTCTTTTTTCATTGACATTTTTGTTATTTTTCATGTTGAATATCTGTCTTGTTAAATAGAGCTAACTAGGATTAACCAAACCTCACAGTTCTATTCCTTGTGACCTGAAACCAGTCCAGCAGGAAGTGGCCAAAAAGCCACAGCCTCTCTCTGAAAGTCTGTCACCATCATCAACTTAAATTTCAACCACCTGACCCCCCAAATAAATGGTCCTGTTCCCCTCCCATTTCCCCCTTGGCTCATCTACCACCAAATCATTGGTTTAGTATGGTTTCAGAGTTGCATTCTGTGCCAAAATTGAATTCACTTTGGATATGGGACTGCAAAATTGATTTTTGGGACTAGGTTTGCTTTAACTCAAACATATAAAAATAAATCATTGTTTATTGATTTTCATTGTAGTTGGGTGATGAAAATGCACCTCTGGAGAATCCTAACCCAATCCTCTTCTTGAACCAATCTAATCTTGTTCTTCTATTTTTTCTTATGATGATTAAACTGACAAAACAAAATCAATTCACCTTTGCCAGTTTCCTTCACAAATCTTACCATCTGGTCTACAATTCCAAAGCCATGAAATCCATTAGGATCATAAAAAGGCTTACTCCTTCAGGATAATCTCAACCTAGCCAATCATGTTGGCAGTGTTAATTATCAAAACAAGTATTTGAAGATGAATATAAAAACAAGAGGTCAACAGATTCTTTCAATCAGACTTGTCCACACACCACAAGAGAGCAGAACTTATATGAGATAGAAACTTTGAAGTTACCAATTTGAATATTCTGTGCAACTCGTGTTCCTAGACAAACTTGATCCTATTGCGCCAAAAAAAAATCTGTCTTATAGCTGGACACATCCACATATCATTTCAATTATTGTTTGATTGCTCTTCTGATTGGGCAAAGCTCTGAAATTCCAGCACAGGGGATCTCAACAATGACTGAGGACTACAAGCTCACTACATGCATGTTTTGTAATTATCATATTAAACTAGACTAGATCCAAAAAAACAACCCAACTCAATTTATCCAGACCCAGTTAGAATATACAAATTGAGTTCTAATTTTGTGGTAGTTTTAGCTTGGAGGATATGTTCAACATCCTTCTCAAGGCCTTGCATGAAAACAAGTGGGGTGTCCTCATGAGATGCCTCATCGCTGGAGTGTGAAGATGAAACTTGGCTTGAGTGTGGGGGTGAGGCTTGGCTGGAGGTTGAGGGTAAAACTTGGTGGGATTGTGGGGGTGAGCCTTGGTTTGGAGGTGAGCCTGGGTTAGAGTATTGAGGGGAGCCTTGGTTGGTGTGTGGGGGTGTCTCCTCGTTGAGATCTGAGGGTGTCCCTTCAGGATGTTGGGGCGACCCTTGATTGGAATGTGAAGGTGTTGCCTGTGTGGAATAATGGGAAGAAGAAGAAGAGGATCCTTCGTGGAAATGTGAGAAGGGCCGCAAGCTCCAAGATGAGTGGGTGGGCTGATTGATGTATGAGGGTATCCTGAGATTTGCGTCTGAGGGTGCGCCTTGGTTGGGATGAGGCCGGGGTGTCTCTTGGCTAGGGCAGCGGGTTACCACACAGCCGTATCCTTCGCGTAGGCCTTTGATAGTCCAGTAGCCTTCGCTCGCTCCTACAAGCACGACTGGGCGGTCGTTGGCGTAAATTGTCTGCTGGTTTCGGAGGCTTAGTCTTACGGGTGCGCTCAACAGAAAGAACTCCTCCGGTTCATTCATCCCGCTCAAATTCGGTCGAGAACGGAAGCAGTTGAAGATTCCGACACTGGTGTCGAATAGCTGGACGGCGCTGAAGAGGAAGAAGAAGCAGGCCTCGGGCGTTCTCATGTCGGCCGGGTACTCGCGGTAGACGTGCTTTTCCGGGGAAAGATGCCAAAAAAAGTGGGGAACTTCTTGAGAGGGATCGTCAGGGCAACTGTGATGAAGAACTCGCTGTCAGCGTTCAAGGAGCAAGTGATGAAGTGCCAAAGACATGTCTTACGGGAATCTCTCTAAATTGGAAGCTTTGTGACTAGAACCGGTAGGCTTTTAAAAACTTTTTCCGCGAATCCCAGAGGATGAACATATATACATGAAGAAGAGAGGAATAGTTTGAAGGGGTGGAATACAGCGCTTAAGGGCGAATGCATCGACGGAAGCGTCCACCAGCAATGCTATCAGCTGTAGGCCTAGCCAAAGATGAAACTTTTGTGACGCGTGCAGGCCGCGTTTTCATAACCACTATGCCTGGAGGATGTGGTTTATCCGCTTATGTAATTCTATCAATTCTTCAGGAGTGTTACAAGGTGTTACAATGACTTATACAGAGCAAAATTTCGAAGCCTTTGATGTTTACAGAATCCGTCATCAAGTCTGGTTTTGTGTACAACTTGATTCTCATGAAGGGTATTGGTTACGAGTAAGTTCTTGAGACGCCAGGATTTGGAAAACCCGCGTGTATTTCAGTTGATGAGCTGATTACAAAAAGGCCATTGAGCCACTAACTTAAGCAGCAATTATAAGGGGGCCTCCCTCCGGTCGGCGCAATGCGACAAGTAGTTTAGCACTCCGACGAAGGGGGGGGGAAGGGACCTGGCTAAACTAGTTCAGATTGAGCCAGCTCCTCAGAAACTGGATGCATTTTGGGTCTGATCACTGATCATTGTAACAACACTGCTTGATGATCAATCTCGCCAAACTCACAGTCACAGATACATGTGTAAGCTAGCCTTGAAGGCCAGACAATTTACTATGATTAATCTGAATTGGCTTCGACTGTGACTCCATCTTCAATCGTAAACGGAATCTTGCTTTTGCGGACTGTGATCAATACACTCTTCTCCGGAACATATATATAACCGAACTAAACTCGACATTCTAATTCCATCCCCACAAAAAAAAATTGATTTACCAACCATTTTGTCACTTGTGTTTGGGGCTGAGTGAGGAGGGGTCTGCTCAAAACACCCAGCTTGCTCTACCGTTTTCTTTACATCAACATTTGGAAGCCAAAAAAAAATACAAAAGCTGAGATCATTAAACCAAAAGTTGTGACTTGGTGTTCATGTTGCAAAACAAAAAAGCTGCATATCTACTCATAATTTCAACTTGTCCAAATGTTTCCCTTTATTCGTTTTGTAACCACAAAAAAAAAACTCTGATGGGAAGCTTGGCCGGTGAAAGGAAAGATCACCAGCTGCAAGCTCCAAAAAGGAAAACGATCAAGATTTCATAACCTTCATAGCTCCTTCCCTAAAAAAAGAGAATGATGGAAGGATGAATAATGCAGAAAATGATAAACCAGATGAGCGAAGGAAGAAGAAGAAGAGGAAGCGGAGAGACCCACCAGACAGCCAAAGCGGCAGCATTAGTTGGAAACGCTCTCAAGATGCAGGGAGTGAGACCACGGTAAAAAGCCTGGATAAAAAAAATTGAAGAGTACAGAAGAAAATTGATCAGAAGAAGATGGGAGGGGGGAGTGATAAGTGGACGGACTTTGAAGCCTCCTTCGAGCCAGATCGCTCTTGCGGCGGAGATCCAAGTGGGGTATCTTGGCTTGATGAACGAGTCGCACATGATTCGACTGGGAATAGTAGTTCAAGCACGATCAATTGAGGAAAAAAACAAACTTCTCGACAGAAGAGTTGGAAGGATTGAGTGCTTTACTTCTTGACCATATCGAGCGGATATCCGACGAGCCAGAAGGCTTCCGCCGCGAGTCCCCCGGCAAGGAATTGGGCGACAGGCGGAGTGAGGGCGAAGAGACTGTTGGGGTTTGAAGAAGCAAAGTCTTGGAAGAGGTTGTTGAAGGTATAGTAGGAGGAGAACATGACGGCGAAGCAGGTCCGGAAGAGGAGGGTGGCCGGGAGGGCCCGGTAGAGCTTCTGGGGGCCCCCAGAGCCGACGATCTGTCGTGCACAATCAATCGGACCGGTGTATAGTCTCGTGCGCGGATCTGAGGTCTGCATCTGTAGTTTGGCCTTGCTGTGGGGATCGGATTCGGTCCAAGTACATACAAAAACAGATCGAGTGAGTTGGGAAAGATGATCGCTATAAAGAAGTAAAGAGAAAAGAGAGAAGAAACGGGGACTCAACATGGTCTCGATCGGGGTGACGATCGAGCAGACCGTCCAGCCGGCCAAGGAGCCCGCGATCTTTTAGAAGCGGATCAAGGGAGGAGAAGAAGAGTACTGGGAGCCGATTGAGTGGGGCTGGAAGAAGATGCACTCGGAAGGAAGGAGTGGATCAGAGGACGTACTGCATGAGAGCGGAGCGAGAGTGGCTGGGAGCCGTCGGGCGACTCGAGCTGGCCGAGCCAGCTCCGGTAGCGGTCCAGGGAGCCCATCAGGACCGCATCGGAGAGCGCCCAGCCGACCGCCGGCGGCGAGGCTCCCTTATACAGTGCTCTTGGTCCCTAAAACAGCAGACAGAAGCAAGGCATGACAAAAAATGTCAGCGGTTGTTGCGACTCTAGAAAAGAATTAAAAGAGAGAGAGATCGAGTTTTTTGTTTTGGACTACTTAACCTCCTTGCGGATCGTTTGCAGGAAACAGTCCATCGGTCCATGGTAAACGCCGAGTGGTGCACATTGAATGCGAAGCTTGATAGTCTTCATGATCCAGAGGTTGAGAGGATGAGATTTATGATTATTTTGCTTGTGGATAAATTGTGGATCTACTTACATCGAATGGATGGCCGACGGCGAGCTTAGTGAGTCCGGAGAGGACGCCGGCGAGGAATCTGCCGAGTATAAGCCGGGGGTGTCAGTATCTGAAGATGAGATGGGAATCGAGATGGTTGGGCTGACCCTCGTGGATCGGGCAAGTACTGGTGGTTGAGGAGCCTGGTGAGGGATGACGTATTAGGTGGTTCCGACATGGCTCGGTGTTGGGTGTTTCGGCTGGTTGGTTTTGCTTGGTTGGCTGGCTTGCATCTCATTCGAGATCGAGACTCGGGAGTACACAACAGCGCCGGGCCGACCCCCCACTCTAGCCAAGGCCGGTCAAGCTGTCGGCAGTGCTCCGGGCTAGGCATCTCCCCCGCCTCCAGTTGCATGGCATCGGCGATGGTTGATCCAAGCCAAAGCCAATCCAGCCAGAAGATCATAGCACATCATCCTCGGCCGTACAACAACATACACTATCCCAAGCCCAATACTCACCGATCCTCTCCAGCAGGGTGCTCATCCCTTATAATACCAGGCTTCACTTCTTCCTCACTCCCTTCTCTCCCCATCCCTTCAAGCTGTAGCAGTACAAGTACCCTCCTCATCACTCAAAAAAACACCCTTCTGGTAAGGCTTTAACAAATATCCGCAATCCCTGGTTGAGCCATTCCAACCGTCGATCAGTACAACTCCGGCACCCTATTTATTACTACGACATCCTATTTATACCAAAAAACACCCAAAAAAAATAATATACAGTCTCAGTCTCGTCATTTGTAAGCCCCTTATCATCCTTGAGTTGAGCAGCTTCTTGGAGAGAGAGAGAGTTGCTATCCAACTGGTTGTCTAGTCTAATCCCCCCCCCCCTCATCAAAAGAAATCGTTACTGACCTTCTTCGGTTACTATTACAGTCTCATCAACGCCTCGTCGAGACATCCTGAACCCCTACTGAAGAAAAACAGAGCACCCTTTCTTTCCTCAAAACCTCGTCCCCCCTAGAATATATTACCCCACTCCGAGTCCAGCGCATACATCTCTCTCTCTCCACTGCAAACTCCAAAAACTAGTATCCTACTCTCAAACGCAAAAAAACACTTGAAAAAAAACAATTTATAAATCAAACCCAATGTCTTCAACCAACCAAGCCCCCACCCCCAAGCAATTCGTCATGACCCAATCCCTCACCGGTGTCAAACATGCCCTCTACCTCATCGTCGCCCTCTTCTCCTTCATCCTCTTCATCGTCGCCTGTGTGGTCGTAACCTATGAGCGAGACACCTATGGAGGGTCAGTCCGCA